GATGGGGGGAATATGATGGAAAAGTCCTTCACAGGAAGGACTGGCCTCGGGGGAGTCCGGGGGGATGCGGGGGCGGGCAGGCTTTGGAAGGTTGCGGAGGGCGGGACGGGGTGAAGGGAAGGTATGGGGCTGGGACAGCTCTGGGCTAGGGCGGGGGCTGGGGCCGGGGGCTCAGTGGCGGGGGGCGTTACGTAAGGGACATTGCGCCCCGCCCCGCCCCCTCCGCGCCGACCATACCTCCCACTCGGCCACTACATACCCCACCGACCCGCGGTATCCCCAGAAAATCGCCCGGGAGAAGGCGGGTATCATGAAGTACGGCAGACCGGTGCTGGTGTCCCCCCAGGAGCCGGAAGCCATGGAGGCGCTGCGGGTGCGTCCTCGCGTGTACATGCGTATGTCTGTATGTATATGTCGGGAGGGAGGTTATGGCATATCTGTATGTATGGAGGGGGGCATGGCATGCATGCGTGTGTTGTGTGTGTGTGTGTGGGGGGGGGGGTATTAAACCGAGATGATGGAAATGCCGACGGTAGTGATGTGTAAGGTGGTGTTTATGGGTGCTGGGGCGGGCAGTCAGTCGAAGGGCGATGTGCGGGTATGTCACACAATGACAGGCTGGGGCGATGTGCGGGTGGTGTGGAGGGCTCGTAGGGCTCCCTATGTTGTGTGTGCGTGTACGTGATAAGAGGCTCTCTCCCTCCCTCCCTCCCTCCCTCTCTCCCTCCCTCCCTCCCTCCCAATACACACACACACACACACGCAGGAGGTGGCGTCACGTGTTGGAGCACAGCTGCTACAGCCAACCCCCCTGGAGAGCTACAGCCTCCTCCCGGGGACCGGGAGCACCGGTCTTGACGCAGCTTCGTCGTCGCCTCCGTCACCGTCACCACAATCCACGTTTGCTGTACGGCACAAATCCGCCAGTGAGCCCCATGCCGCCGCCGCCGCCACCGTCTCCGCGCCCGCCAGCTCAGCCCCCCGGCAAGCGGGACAGCACCCGGGGAAAGCCTCAGAGGGCGCGGGTGAGTTACAGGGGAAAAACACATGTGACCATGTCGTACTGGGACTGGGTGGAAAGCACATGCGTGTGAACGCCGCCCTGGCCGTCGCGCTGGTGGCGGAGTGGGAGGCGCAGTACGGTGCTGCCGCTGCCGCGGCCGCCGGAGAAGAAGTACAGGCCGTCACCTCGGCAACCGCGTCTAGGAGGCGGGTGGCGCTAGTGCCGGGTGGTCCGGATGCGGCGGCGGCAGCGTTGCGAGCCGCCGCCGTACAGTCGTTGACGTTGCCGTACGAGTATGCGGCGGGGCTGCGTAACGTACGGTGGCCGGGGAGGAGCCAGGTGGGCCCGGGGGATGGTGCGGGGTTTGTGTGCGCGTGTGTGTATGCGTGTGTATGGGGAGAAAATGGAAAACCCGGAGGAGAAAAGGGGGGAGGGGGAGGGGGAGGGGGAGGGCGGGAGCCACCCTGAGACAGGAGGGGTGCTCATTGCGCCCGATATGAAGGATGCATACATGCGTGTTGGGGGCCCACGGCGGTGCGTGTGTTGTGTATTTGCATAAACTGAGCCGCGTGTGCAGTCAGTCAGCCAGTCAGTCAGTCAGTCTGTATTCTTTGCCTGCACTGCCCGGTGTATATAGTGATGTGCTGATGACGTGCAATGCACACGCGGCTCGGCTCTGTGCGTAATTTACCCGAATGGTACGTTGTCATACGACATGGTACGGCAATGTACGGTGACTTACGTACGGTAATACGGAATATGTGTCTATCCCCGGTGGGGCTCAGGTGGTGGAGGACGAGGTGGCGGCTTCCCGGGGGGGCGGCCGGCTCACGGTCTACCTGGACGGGGCTCACACCCCGGAAAGCATGGGGGTGTGTGCGGCGTGGTTCGGGGGCGAACTGGCGAAGGCGGGGAGCTCTGCTAACCCGCCGTACACGACTCGTCACGCTGCGGTGCTGTTGTTCAACTGCATGCGGGAGCGAGATCCTGCCGTACTGCTGCCCGCTTTGTCGGCTGCACTGGCGGGGGCGGAGACCGTCCGGGCGTTTGACGCAGCCCTCTTCACGCCCATGCTCTCCGGCGGCGGTGTGCTACTGCCGGCGGGGGACACCGGAGGCAAGACAAAGTCGCACCCGCTGCAGCCGTCATCGCCGTCGCCGTCCGTACAGTCGTCCGTACAGTCGTCTGTTCCTGCTACGGCGACGGGGACAGCGGTGGCGTCGCCTGCTACAGCCCCTGTCAATGACCTCACCTTGCAAACCCGCATGCGGGACATCTGGGAGTCTATTGATGCGGCTGTACGGCAGCCGCCGCCTCCGGAGGCGGCAGTAGCAGAACCCCATGGGCTGCAGCAGGGAGTTGGGACGCTGGGTTTGTATAGCCGTGGCAACGGCAAGTGCCTAAATGGTCTGCCGTACGCTTCAGTGGCAGAATCTCTGCCGGCCGCGCTGGAGGCGTTGCGGGGTGCGGCTGCGGCCGACCCACGGGTCCATGTTCATGTGCTGGTGACTGGCTCCTTGTACCTGGTCGGGGATGTGCTGCGGCTGCTGAACAGGGCCCCCATGTAGGCGGTCATATGTGTGTGTGTGCGTGTGTGTGTGTGTGTGTGTGTGTGTGCACGTAAAAGAACGTTACAGTGGACGACCAAGGAGATAGATGTCCCCAGGCGGGGGCTCCAGGGGCCGTGTCGTACGAGGAAAGGAAGGGACGCGGAATCCAAGTCAGCGGTGGGTCGCGGGTGATCATCATCGTGACAGGTTGTAATGTAGTAGTACACATGATGGCAGGAAACGTGCCCTAAACGACCCCCTCCCCACAGGAAAGGCGGTCACCTAAGTCACGCCGATAGAGTGACACCGCGAAGCAGCGCGGGAGCTACTGCTGCTGCTGCTGCTGCTTGGGAACTGCAGCTATGACAACTTGACAAACCCACCTCCCCACCTAGCCACCAGCCTAGGGCTATCGATCCAATTCAGGATTCCAGTGGCTGGCTGGCTAGCTGGCGCCAGCAATTACTACATACATACATACGGACGGACGAATGGACAAACAGCATCACAATCATTCGTCTTGACCATCAGCTAAGCAAGTCACAAGAAACGAATAAGAAAACGAGCAAATGTCCCGCAATCGCCAATTTAAACCAGGGTGTATATAAGCGGCTGCTACCCAGGGTGGGCAGTACGGCATACTGCGATGTACGGCAGATTCTGTAAGCTATTATTTGTTTCATGTGTTGGGGTCTTGCCAACTGGTAGATGTACCACTATGAATTGACGGTTTGCTGTAGCTGCCGTACAATATCGGCATCGGCGACGTTCCACTCGTAGTCCTTTGGCGGATATGGCGAGGCCATGGTCATGCCGGGTCGCATGTACGACATGCCGCTGACGTGGCGTCTGACGTTAGCATCAGCTCCCCGCGGGTCCAACGGTGGTGGGGTGGGTGGGGTGGGGGGTTCAGGAGGGGGACGGTCAGTGCAGGCGGTGGCGGCAGCGCACGTCAGGCCCCGGGAGCTAGGGGGAGTGGGGCTGCAGGGAAGGGCAATTAGATTCTGGCGTGTGTGTTTAAGTGTGGCATATGTAGTGGGTGTGTTGGGTGGGGTAGCTGTGGGGTGGCTGTGGGGTAGGGGGCCAGGGTAAGCTGGCTGTCAAGCTGTTCCAAATAGCACGCACCACCAAACCGAGGAGGTAACTTCCAATCCGGAGTGCGGCTCTACACACCCAACCCGGTGCGGCCCCCTCTCTCCCCCGCCCGCCTCAGCTACAGCTGCGCACCTCTTGGCGCTGCTGTGCAGCTCCCGCACACCGGTCAGCCGCACCAGCTCCACCGCGTTACCCGGGCTCACACCGCCACCCGCCATCACGCAGATGCGACCATCCGCCGCCCGGACCAGATCAGCCAGGGTGGCAGCTCCCTGCAGCAGGAGCAACAGCGGAGGTAGCAGCAGCAGCAGTAGCATTACCAGCAGCAGCAACGGCAGGATCTCTATGCCCCGCGCTTACATCGTACCAATCAGGACGGCCCCAATGCACAACCTATACCGTACAATTCACATAATAATCTCAGAAAGTACGGAGCATACACGCATACATACATACGTACACCTCCCCCAGGGCGCATGTCGGTACCCCCCCACCCATTCCCACCACCTGCAGCCCGACTGGCCCCTGAGCTTGACAGGGCGATATGTGGCAGGGCAGGAACACACCGTGTTCGGGTACACGAACACCTCTCTAGGGAAGAATGGAACTTATCCCTACGCCGTCGGCCATGTCTCCATCGCCTACCCTACTGCGATGCGGAAATGGCACCGCCTCCGGAATACGGACGGAGTTGCAGTGGGTCAATGGATCATCCACCCGCCGTATCCACCCGCACCTGCAGAGCGGTTGGCTGGCCACCGCTGGTCAGCACCCGGGGGAGACCCACAGCCATCAGGTCGTACAGGGCCTGCTTTCCCTCCCCAATACCCACCGGGCCCCAGCACAATCACAATCACACACACCCCACGGTTGCACAAGGGGGAGTGTGATTGCTGTCTGTGCAACGCGCCGGCGGTTGCGAGAGTGGGGCGGCTTGTAATTTGTGAATGGAAAATTTTTGGTAAAAAAATATTGTTTCGGTACTGGGATTATGAATCGATGTTCGAAAGTAAAACCCGAGCCAGGCAGGGCCATGTCCGGGGAACAGGGGGTTGGGCCCCCTGGCCGAGAGGGGCTTGGGGTTGAGGTCGCCTGCAAGCTGGATGATAGGATTGTTAAGTCGGTGTCTAGCTGTCTGTCTACCTGTCTGTCTAGCTGTCTGTCTATGGGCGCAAACAGCCGCAGGTGGAGGGAGCAGTGTCGTCACGTGGCACAAAAACCAACGGAAAATACATACATAAATGTACACATACGTGCAGCAAAACGGCTTTCAACACCCTCCCGGAGAGAGTCCAGGCTCCCACCCCAACCCCCAGCCGCTCAAATTCGTGCTACTGTTGGGGGCTGATTTTGTTGTTGATGTTACTGCACTGCACTGCACTGACACCTTGGTCCTGTCTTCCTCGGGCAGGTAGTGCCGTCCACCTGCCGAGCTCCTCACCGTGTTAAACAGGAAAAGCGCCGGCCACGCCCACGCCCACGCAAACAACGATACATATTATCGCATCGTTATTTTTGCCCTTCGCAGCTCTTGTTTCTCGCACAGATGTATCGCTATGTGCCCATATCTTAGTTTGCTCACGATAGTTCTTCGGCCATTGCTGAAAGTTTCATTCGGGCCAACGCTTTTGAGGTGGTGTTGTCGGTGATAGGGGTTTTGTAACATTGCGCCCGCGCAGGGCCGGGAGCAAGTGTGCAGCTTCCTTCGTCCCTTGCCAACATCTGCGTCCCTTGTTTACGGGAAACGTACGACACCTGCAGGGGGTCTGCCGTCATGTCGAAGGCCCGATGGAAGGTGGCGTCCAGGCCCTGAGCGGAGTTCGGCATTAAACAGGGGACAGGGGCCCATGAACAGCAGCATTTTCCATAGCTCACATGCGGCCCCGATGTTATCGTGCCTGGAAGATACGTGGGTAGGTAGGTGGGGCGAATGTTGTTTCTGCATGCGTGTGGGCTTATCAGCCGAGCCCAGAACGCGTCTTGTAGGCATAGCGATCTGGTACGACAACAACAGTGCTTATTTGAAATATTGAACTTAGAGAGCAGCAGGTTGCCAGGGCGCGTCGAACGGCAGGCCTTCTTTTAGGATACCTCACGCACCAGCTCTTGCGCTTGGCGCCAAAGACGACCTGTCGCCCTCTTGTCAATTGTGCCATCGCAACCAAGGCAGCCAAACACAACCCCGTCAGCCCCCAGCACTTTCGCCTGCCGAATATCCTCAATCATTACCTACGAACATGGTCAATCATCTAAAAAAATCCTCTTGCTAGAGGGTGTAACGAACGTTGGTGTCTATCCGGAACAAGCGACATCTTACAAGTTGCTCCTCCTCACTGTACAAAAAATCTCCGCCACGAGGACGGATGATTACCATAAGCGTTCCCTTAAAAGCGCTCCGGCAGGCCGTAACCAGGCCAGCTGAGGGAGTAATGCCGCCTTCGACCAAGGCTGAGCACAATTCCACGCGTGGTGCACCACCCGATTCTGCTGCCACAGCACCATGGATGCTGTCTATGCATATCTCCACCAGCACCATCATAAAACAATAAACAGAAAGGTGCAAACAGGGCTAACAATCCAAACCTGCTGCAACGCAACAAATAAATTGAGGCTCATAGTGAATTAAGCTGCTAGATCAAGGCGAAAATATATAGATCCATGTCAATTTAAATCCTGAGAACTGAGACGAAGTGCAACAGATGGTTAGCCATTGGACGCCCGATCGCTCAACTTCCCGCGCTGTACTTGCACATCACCCATCGTGCAGTTGACCTGTTCACCACACACATCAGCACGCATTTGCCGCGTTTTTCTTCGTGACACCACTGCCCTGGGACCTCGGGGGTGGAAGTAATTCTTCAACCTGGGTGGGCCTCAACACGTATGGTTGCCCGCCCCCAGACCCGATTTTCTGCTGGCTGTGGTGCAGAAGGTTCAAGGAGAGCGGATGTTTGTTACCCTGGTGGTGCCTTACTGGACCGCTCAACCGTGGTGGCAGCAGCTAATGGAGCTAGCAGTGGAGCTGGTCTTCCTGCCTTCAAGCACAGAGTCGTTACTGGCCGGGGAGGGGGGCTAGAGGGTCTTCCTTCCCCCCCCCGAGCTGGGAGGTAGTGGTGGTCAGAGTGCAGTGGTAGGCTGGGCACTCTTGCCTGGCCCGCGCGAGGTTGGTGGTGTGACGCCCCGTTACGCGCTTGATCTCAGCCAGGTGGCTGCACCTCCTGTCATTACTAACATTTTTGTTTCGGGGCTGGACCATTCAGTGTGGCTCGCTCAGATTGCTCAGGTAGTTATGTCGCGCGTTGGCGCCAGGCCGTGGCGGTCTTATGAGTCCCACTTCGCGTCTTTTGTGCGGTTTTGTGTTGTCGAAGGATTGTAGCTCCTGCCGGCCTCACACTATGCGAGTCTCTTGTGGAGTCCGTTTCTGGTGGCTAAAAGTACCTTTTAGCACCTCCAGCTATGGCTGCGTCCCCAAGCCATGGGGACCTCTGTCGTTGGGGAGGGCCCTTTGTACCGAGGCTCTCTCCCCTTGGGGAGCCTGAGAATCTCCCCAAACGATTTTCCCTGGGGAGCATTTCGCCGTGGCTGAAGCGCCCACACCGGACGCGCCCGACCAGTTAGGGAAGGTCCAGGAGTTACTCGCGCCGCCTAGCGCCATCGATTTCCCGCAATCCCGGCGACCTTCCCGACGGCCCAGCACCATACCAGTTTGTACGGCATGTGCTGGTGAACGCCCTGTCGGGCGTTTCATAACATGCGTCCCACAGAGTTCAACTGCCTACCAGACGCTAACACTGAGTGGGACCTCCACCTCCACCTCCAGCGAGACGGCCAGCATGTTCTCTGGTGGCACCAGTCGCTCCTGCAGCTGTTCGACCTTGTGTCATTCAGGAGCAGGCACCTGAGTGCGGACGCGTTCTGCTCTGCACTCCTTGACACCTGGGAGCAAAATGGCATCCATTGTCCAATTTCCGTTTCGGCAAGCCCTCCTCCTGTACACGGACTGCCAGGGTGTCGTGGATGACTACCCGGAGGGCACACTTAGCACCTGGCCCCGTGGAGCTCTGAATGGGTGCCCTTGTTGTGGGTACACTCTCAGGTGCAGCAGTGCAGTGAGTGGCGCTGCCGCAGCCGCCCCAGCCCCTGTTACAGGTGCCGCATCGCCGGGGGTCGTGGAAGAAGCAGCAGCAGTGGAGGGGCCGGAGCCTGGACTGGAGCGCAGAGGTGGCGGCAGGCAGCCCTGCCGCCACTGAGGGCAATCCCGTTCCCCCAGTCCCGTCAGCCGGCGCAGCAGCCCTGGGAACCATGGCGGCAGCGGTGTCCACGGGCGCTGCAGTGCTAGGGGCGGCAGTGCTCGCGTCGACTGACTGGCTGCTTCGGGACGCCTGCAGCCCGAAGCCGCAGGGCCCGGCCCCACGAGCACTTGCACTCGGTACATTTCGATGCCTGCTTTAAGCTAAACCTGCTGTCCCATAAGGGCTACGTTTCTGGCTACACACAGCTAGGACGGCCCCGTTACTTCTTGCCCAACGCATCGATACAGCAGGTGCTTTTGGATGGTCATGCGTCACAGCAGATTGGTGTGACGCACTGCTCGAACTTCGATGCTGACAAGGTGGGTGTGGGTCGGGAGCCAAGGTGTGTTTCTAGTGAGCAGCCTTTGCCTTTTCCCCCAATCACCATGTGCTTACTACGCCACGCAATTCGCTGCATCCACCTTTTTGCCGTGCTGTGCCGTGCTGCCGCTGTCCAACGCAGTGGGTCAGAGAGAGTATCGAGTTCTTGGGGTTGTCGTGTCACCCCACCAAGTGCCAGTGGGAGCCGTCGCAGTCAGTGTACCACTTAGGCATTACGATCAATACGGCAGCTGGTGTGTTTGAGGTGCCTAAGCAGAAGCTCGCCAAATTGCGGCGGCTGGCGATCGGGTTGCGGATCACGGCAAAGAAAAATCGGCGTCTTGTCCAGAAGCGTGAGCTGGCTAAGTTCTGTGGTTTTGCGCAGAGTGTCAAATTGGCCCTTACTCCAGCGCCTTTATTTCTCCGCAATTTTTACGACGACATTAAGCAACCGGTTGGCTGGTCTGGTCGAGTTCGCTTGTCCCGTGGGTCGTTACGTGACTTAGATTGGTGGGCGGACATCCCTGCCCACCACTGCTCGGCGGCTATTCACCAAGGCCCTACTGCAGTTGAGCTTTCGGTGGATGCATCGCGCCATTCGTGGGGCGCGGTCCTGCATGGTCGTGTGGCGCGCGGTTATTGGTCGGCACCAGAGCTCTACGAGCACATCAATTGGAAGGAGTTGCGCGCGGTCCGTCATGCTGTAGAGTCCTTTCTCCCGTTCGTTCAGCAGCGTGTTGTGTTAATTAGGGAGGACAACATGTGCACGCAAGCAGTGCTAGGGCGTCTTTCCTCGCGCTCGGCAGCTCTGCATGCCGAACTAAAACTATTATGGGAATTCATGCAGAAGCATAGTATTGTTCTACAAGTCGAGCGTGTGGCTAGTGCAGACAACGAGGCAGATGAAGCCTCGCGTTGGGTAGACCGTGATGATTACCGCTTGCATCCCCGGTTTTTCCGCCTTTTGGAGCACCGCTTCGGTCCGCACCATGTCGACTTGTTTGCCACGCACATTAACACACACCTCCCGGTTTTCTTTTCTCGCCACCATTGCCCGGGTTCGTCGGGGGTCAATGCTCTTTTGCAATCTTGGGCTGGGCTTAATGCATATGGCTGCCCACCCTTGGACCCTAACTTCTTGCTCGCTGTGGTGCAGAAAGTGCGTGAGGAGGGAGGGTGCCTCACCCTGGTCGTGCCGTACTGGACGGCCCAACCTTGGTGGCAACAGTTGATGGAGTTCGCGGTTGACCTTGTGTTCCTGCCGTCCAATACGGAGCTGTTTGCGCCGGGCGAGGGTGGGTCGAGCACCTATCCACCACCCCCTTCCTGGCAGGTCGTGGCAGTGCGGGTGCAGTCGTCATGTGGGTGCTTTGCTTAGCACTCGGTCGTTCCGTGAGGCGCTGCAAGTTCGACCGTGTGTGCCCCTCTAGGAGCGCTTTCCTAGCATTTCCCCCTTCCCCGTGGGCCACGTTATTTGTTATAGGGGCAGTGGGACCATCTTTGAGGTAACGCTGTAGTTGCTTTGCGCAGGGGAGCAGTTATGCAGTTATGTGGAGCGAATAGGAAGGGATTTGTTGTGTAAGGTGTGCGCTCCTTAGGCACCGCGCAGGTAGTTGGTTTTCGTCGCTTTGTGTTAACCTGCGTTTGGTTTCTCGTGATTTCGGAGCGGTTTCGCTTGCTTGGTATCCGGTGGTACCGCTGGTTCCAATCCCGCTGGTTCTGGGACTAAGTTTGAGTAGTGCCATTGGCGCGGAATAGGTCCCGGTTTCTCGCTGTATCTGCAATCCGTGGCGACATCCCCGGTCTTTGATAACTTGTTGGTATCACAGCTGTCGCTCGCCGGCCTAGGGTCCACATGTCTTGCCGGTTGCCAGGTTACCTTGTCCCAGGGTTAGTGCTACAATCAAGGATGGTATGCTGCGTCTGGACGGCTGGCACCTGGATTTCTCTATGACTTACGGGGCTTGCAATTGCAGAACCTCATCACGGCTGTCGGTGTCGTGTTATGCCGGCATGGTATGCTCCTGCGGCTCATGAACCTCTTCAGTGGGGAGCAGCACGCATACTCCACTGCTGCAGCGCTGTCTGTCCTTGCAGCTGGCACCGCTGTACAGTACTGGTGGTCCGATATCGCATGCAGGTAAGCTCTTCTGAGGCACGATGTGCGGTTGTTGTTGTGTGGACATCTCACATGTTGTACTTTTAAAGATGGGGCAAGTCATACGCCAAGTGGCTGGAATGCCAGACACCAGACCTGCAGGGGCTGGGCAGAGGCATGCGCCCACTCATTCCTCCCTGGCACCGATGTGCTCACAGGTGCGTGTTTAGCACCGTATGGGCCTTTTGCGTCTCCTAATACGTGTTTGCCTTTGCCCTGCAGTAACGCATGCCAGAAAGCGTTTGGGCACCTTGGGCAGGGTGCACGGTGCATGGTGTGGGACATTGGGCGGGCGAGCCAGCAGAGATATTCAACAGTGTGGCTGGTCCGCATGGCCGTACCATACAATACATGAACCCTGTCACTAGGGAAGCGCACATGGAGCGCGTGGCGCGGCTGTACTGCAGGCATGTCGTAAGGGATTTACCGGCAAGGTTGTGGCGAATGCGGACTCAGGCTGAAGCTGCCCTGGACAGTGCCAGACACCGCATCTGTGTCCCTGGGGCTGCGTTGGAGCAGAAGGGCGGTGATGCAGCTGTGGTAAGCAAGCGGTATTTTAGCAGTGAAATCGTAATGCCAAACGTATCCTTACATGTGCAGGTACAGCAGTCCCTCCAGCAGCAGCCTCGGCAGCTGAAAGCAGCTGACATGGTGCCTGCCAGCCCAGCGGCTGAGTATGCTCGCTCTTCAGAAGCTGCAGCGGGAGGGCACCCTCGATGCCAGCTCTGATGCGGTGCGGCTTGGGTTGCTCTTCCCTGGTGCTGACTCTGTGCCAGCCCTTATCCGTACAATAAAAACCTGGGCTGCCGATCTTGAGAAGGCCCGCTAGCCGGCATGCATGCCCTGGACCACGTGGTATGGCGACTCAGCGGGCGGCGGCATCAGCAGCAGCTTGCCACTAAGGGAAAAAACGCGCTAGGCAACGGTTTGTGCAGCTTTAGGAGCAGCTTACTAGCTGGAGTGCTGTACCTGGAGCAGTGACACCGGACCTTGGGCAGGCATTGGCTGTGAAGGGAGCGCTAGGCCAGGCTCTGAAGCACAGCGGTATCCCTGGGCTGCACAGTCATATCATGGGGTGCCGCAATTGGAGGCAAGCTTGCGCCGGGTGCTGCAGGAGGAAGCACGGTGCAAGGAGTTGGCATTGATTCAGGATGAAGTTGAGTGTGCTGTAGCATTTTATGTCCGCCGGGTCACTCTACTGGAGGGGGCAACTCAGAATATGGCTGCAACGAGCAGTCATGGAAGGTTGCTGCTCTTGCACCTTGCATGGCAGCAGCACATGCTCGAGGGGTTCGCCTTGCTGCAAACGACCCAGGATGTGCCTCGTTGATGTAAGCAGCTATTATCCGTGTATGGGATGCACGGCTTGGGGAATGGAATATCACGGATATTGGTTGGTGAGGCAATGACGGCTAAGGTAAAGGTGGCAATGCACGTGTTGTTGTTCGGTGGACATACGCTGCATGGTTGGATGCTGCCACCACTTGTATTGCTGACAGCTGCTTGAACAGCCTTCTGTATGGCCAGGGGTCTTATCCACGGCACATTGCAATGTTCCTGGGCAAGGTGCATCTGGTGCATGCTGCATGGTGTGCCACTTGCGTATTGTCAGCACTCCTCTTAACAGCTAGGAAAAGGGTAACCGACCCGTGGGTCAGGGGGCCGCGTGCAACGATGTCAGTGCCTTAGTCCCAGACAGACTCCATCTGTGGAAGCGCCGTCCCCCAGCTAGCAGATGGGCATGCCAGGGGTTGCACAACCATCCCCTGGGTCGTGATGCAGATGCACCCACGGGCTTGTCACAGTCCTACACAGCCCTATGGCACTGATCGGGTCGGTAAACCATGGGTTACCCACCTTCAACCCCCGGTAGCCCATGCGTAACCCCCTTGTAAGTTCATACCCAGCAGGGAGGGGTAACACGGCCCCAGGGTAACCCCCTCCGTTGCCCTGGACTATCGACATGGGCCTACTGGTCTTATTCGTTGTCCTCTTAAGATATCTTTGTAAATGTACATGTTAGCAACCTACAGTATCTTGGTATCTCGGGAAGCATTGTTCACCATTTCAAGGTCTCTAATGCTGGCAGGACACATGCAAAGCCATTGTGCTGAAGGCTGGGCATTGAGCAATAAATCTGGCAGGTGCAGGCTGCAGGTGTTACAACAGCAATGGGTCAGGGTTCAACGAGGCAGCCATTGTGTCACAGTGCTTGCTTCCTACCAGGTGTAATAGCATTCAGGGTCACGAGAACTCTGATACAGGCCTACCCATCTTTCCTCTCGAGCAGGGAAGCTGGCATCCATGGAGAGGACTTCCCAGGACGTACAGCAGCCATACCGATGCCGACATACTGGTAAGCCGCACCCTGAACTGATGCCGTGAGCTGTGATGGGCGTCATTTCGTTTACAATGTCAAACTTGACTAGTGTCAGAGTTGAGTGTCAACGGTCGACCTTGGCCATGGCATACCGAACATAGCGACATGGATTATTGCCAAGCAGCCCGCGTCCTGAAATTGTTATACAGGCCTTTTCGATCAGCAATAAAGGTCACAAATACAAATTTTGGCTTGGAACGGATAACCTCAACTTTTCGAGCCTCCCCTTTTGGCCACACTCGAGCCTGGCCCAAATGCCATGCGAAACCCGGTACCTCAGAAGTCGACCACCTCCAATCACCCTGAAAATTTGACACGACGACCTTCATGACATTAGAATCCTTATGCAATGACTTTTCGCCACGGGCTCAACGTTCTGCCGCCACCGACATGGTGTCAGTTTCCCAACGTTGGAACCTGTGTCATACCAATCTCGTTGCCACAGTGCAGTGAAAACAACACTGCATCTTCCGTTCATTTTAGTGACTCCAGGATTGCTGTAAGCCTGCCACCCTTATTCACCCTCCCTCGTCCCTGATCAGGTGCGCCCCGTTTCCCGCCATTGCCCAATCGTCCTCTACCGGCACCGCTGCTGCCGCTGCTTCCCCCTCGGGTATTTGAGCGACAACTGGACCGTCTGGGCTCCTGAGGCCCCATCACCACGGTTGCATGCACTATCCCTACGAACACGGAGGCGGTTTAAGAACGTTCTTAAGTCGTTCTTAGCCCAGCCAAATTGATAAAATTGAATTAACATTAGAACGTTCTTACACCGTTCTAAGAACGTTTTAAGAACGCTCGTATGACCTCCGTTTATCTTAAAACCGTTCTTTCTAATTCTTTAGCATTCTTCAGGGCCCAGCAGTCTTATGTATTCTCTTCCATTCTTTGGGGTGTTCTTAGGCCAACTTATTGATTCGTTGTCCAAAGCATACTTAGCTGCTCTTTGGCCGGTTTTAACCATTCTTACCATAGGTTCGCTAAGTATGGCACTCATTCTTAAGTCATATTCTCAGGAAATTCTTTTTGCTGCTTACATCCTTAAGCCTTAAAAATGTGGGATTCTTAAGGGGTGCTCGTGATGAAAAAGCTATTCAGACACATGTACCGACCTCTGCTTTCTCACCTGAACTTCAACTGGTAGGCGCCCATTTCTGAGGTATCCGCAGGTTTCTTAGATATACAATGCATTGATTCACATTACTGGATGTACTACGCTGGGGTCGAACTTAAGATTTCGTACTATGTACTATCACTAAACTTATGCTTTAAGAAAAAACGTCACAAGATGCTAAATGTATTACACTGCCTGAGTCTACATCTATGCTAAAACGTGTGCGTATACTGTAAGCTGCACCAAGTGCCGTACACTAACATATGTGCGTGTACGACAAACAACTCAACACCTGTTCAGCAACTCAGCTATCAGCCCTAGCCCCTGTACAAAATCCTGGCGTGCAGCCTGACATGGCCACATACCTGCTGCAGCCCACTGCCAAACACCATCCCTGGCTGCTGCAGCTGCTTGAAAAACAAGAGGCGCCCCCAGGCCACTGCCATGTTTAGCTGAATCCAAATGGAAGCATCCTTGCTTGCCATGGAGAGGCTGGCAGACTCATGTGTTTTCTACAAGCCCCCACCAGAAGAGTTTGGGGCTACTGAAACTGTAGCAGTCGCTCACCTGGGCGGATGACTGGCTTTGCAGAAGCGTGGAATTTAGAGTCCCCACTGAGGCAGGAAGAAGTCCAACCCAGTGACAAGCACTAGCATACATAGACCCGTACGAAACACTCTGAGACGGCAGCAGCAGAGTCTTGAACTCTGAACACCAAGTAGTCATGATACTTAAGTGCCTGGCCATAGCACCCCGCCCGGGTAGCTACATCTTGGCCTACCTGCCGAAGATTCCCTACTACATTCCTGCCGTGATAGGATACTGTCGGTGTATCCTCCGGTGGCAGGGTGGTACAGGAGGGTATCCTCCGGTGGCAGGGTGGTACAGGAGGGTATCCTCCGGTGGCAGGGTGGTACAGGAGGGTATCCTCCGGTGGCAGGGTGGTACAGGAGGGTATCCTCCGGTGGCAGGGTGGTACAGGAGGGTATCCTCCGGTGGCAGGGTGGTACAGGAGGGTATCCTCCGGTGGCAGGGTGGTACAGGAGGGTATCCTCCGGTGGCAAGTTGGTACAGGAGGGTATCCTCCGGTGGCAAGTTGGTACAGGAGGGTATCCTGCGGTGGCAAGTTGGTACAGGAGGGTATCCTGCGGTGGCAAGGTGGTACAGGAGGGTATCCTCCGGTGGCAGGGTGGTACAGGAGGGTATCCTCCGGTGGCAAGGTGGTACAGGAGGGTATCCTGCGGTGGCAAGGTGGTACAGGAGGGTATCCTGCGGTGGCAGGGTGGTACAGGAGGGTATCCTCCGGTGGCAAGGTGGTACAGGAGGGTATCCTCCGGTGGCAGGGTGGTACAGGAGGGTATCCTGCGGTGGCAAGTTGGTACAGGAGGGTATCCTGCGGTGGCAAGTTGGTACAGGAGGGTATCCTCTGGTGGCAGGGTGGTACAGGAGGGTATCCTCCGGTGGCAAGGTGGTACAGGAGGGTATCCTCCGGTGGCAAGGTGGTACAGGAGGGTATCCTGCGGTGGCAAGTTGGTACAGGAGGGTATCCTGCGGTGGCAGGGTGGTACAGGAGGGTATCCTCCGGTGGCAAGGTGGTACAGGAGGGTATCCTCCGGTGGCAGGGTGGTACAGGAGGGTATCCTGCGGTGGCAAGTTGGTACAGGAGGGTATCCTCCGGTGGCAAGGTGGTACAGGAGGGTATCCTGCGGTGGCAAGGTGGTACAGGAGGGTATCCTCCGGTGGCAGGGTGGTACAGGAGGGTATCCTGCGGTGGCAAGGTGGTACAGGAGGGTATCCTGCGGTGGCAAGTTGGTACAGGAGGGTATCCTCCGGTAGCAGGGTGGTACAGGAGGGTATCCTGCGGTGGCAAGGTGGTACAGGAGGGTATCCTGCGGTGGCAAGGTGTGTCACGACATTTTAGCGTCATGTTCATTTTACTGTCTTTTATAATCGTCTTAGGTTATTATTGGTGTGAATACGCGAATTTCGGGTTGTCTTATACTCGCGTAAGGTATTTGGTTCTTAACTTACACTTCGCTGATCGACTTATGGACGAGATGCGAATGTACACTCGTTTGCGTATATTTATGTATTTTACCTGTGGATTGTTCATTTCTTGTGTGAATGTTTTGTCACACGGGTATTATGTGCCTTACTTGTGCCATTCGTGGATAATACGTCGTGGTTGTACTCGAGGCTTATCTTTTGAGGGCCTCCTGTGGTTGACAGCGTGACTTTGGTATTTATGGCCGACAGCGAGCTTGGAAAAGTCGCTTTACGGCTCTAATCAGAACGTTCTAATCAGAACATTGTAAGGTTCTTTGAGCTAGACAATCAGCCCTGTGCGGTCCTCCCTTGTGTACACCGCATAAGTAACATCCCTAAACCAGCCGAACTCCTGTGTGGGCCGCTCAACGCCCATATCCTTCACGCCGGGCAAACTCAGTCGGTAAGGTAAACCCTCATCGCTGTTGATTGATTGCCTGGAGGGAATCTTGGCCCCTTTCGTGGGTTGCTAGTTGCTGCGCATTACGAGTTGCCCGTTTTTGTGCCGTCTAGTCAGCACCTAAGCTACCTGCAGGACGTTGCCAGACCACCCTGCTCCCATAGCCATAAAGCCTATATCAGGCTGAAACACCAAGTAAGTTCGGTTTTGGGTTTTACCTTAGGTGTTCTGTTGCCTAGGGGATATTCGGGTTGCTTTTCCCAGCACCCTTTTTGGTAGGTTAGGTAGGCTAGGTCACACCAGCCGTACCTGTCAGCAGTGTTACGCACAGCTGCCTTACCATTCAGCAATTTTGGGCCATTTCTTTACTGGTTCGATTTGCTTTCGTATTTGGGCACTCTTACAATCGATACTGTGTTACGCACAGCCGTCTGTTGAGCACTCAATCCCGAATACTCGATACAATTTACTCTCTTCTAACTAGGCTTGGTCAGCCCAGCCTTGCATTATCGATAAAATATATATTCAGCTCACCTGAACAGCAGGTTCGAGCTTTTCTGCGCTTAACAAATATTTCGCGTACCTCTGGCCGAATCAATACGTAATTTTTCACTAGCCTCAATTCGCTTCTGCAGTGGACCATTACGAGGCAGAGCACCGAAGGCCATTTAGAGGACGCACGGATTGAAACCCTCTCGGTGTGCGCAGCCGAGGTTCTTATCATCAAGGTGGTCGGGGCCAGCAGGGCCATCGCAGGCGGTTTCATCAGCCTCAACATCCACATTTGGTCGATCCGTTCGACCAGGAGTCGGAACCTGTCGATATAGGCCTTTGGGCGAGAGGCGTGCATTTTGATTTGGAGCTACGCCCAGCTATCTTCCGCATACGCTACCTAGTAGTAGTGCAGCTGGACCCCGAGCTTGAACAGCTACCGCGGCCTACGAGCTTTGTCACGGCCAGCTCCCAGGGGGCGAACATTCGATTGCCGTTATTTGAATACGCGGACCTGTGCGCTTCTCCACGCAGCGACATGATGGAGTAATCGCTGTAACCTTATTGAGTCGATTCTCTCCTCTTTCCTGACACGGTATCCACAGAGCAGTCTTCCTAGCACCACGCTGCACCACGTACTTATATTATCACTCTCCAGAGTCACGAATTACTCCAGCTGTTTTCACGCAGCTACTTTTTATTTTGCAGCTCAATATAACGCAGTTTTACAGCGACACCAGCTTTGGTGGGGCGGGGTACAGTACTCGTTAGTAGTCACTAGGCTTTTATCGCTTAGTCCTTGCCTGTTCGCTTTGCGTTTGCTGTTGCATATTTTCCTTTTTCTTTTTCTTTTCTATCTTTTGTGTTCGTAAGCCTATTATTATACAGGGAAGTATAAGTCCCACGGAGCCGCTACGTCGTAACATCCCGCGGGCCGCCACTGTGCAACATCTTCGCTCGACCAGTCAGCGAGATCAGCAGGAGGTAAGTAAGGTTTCGCGTAAGGATACGCGTAGGGTGTCCACCTCAGGGTCTCGTACTAGTGAAGCCTCCCGCATTGCGCGCTCGCGTTCGGATAGTGGCCTAGCAGTACAGGTGGAACGTTTCCTTACTAACATAGCTCCTACTGAGGGTGAGGTTACTGCTCCACTAGAAACCACCGGAACAGATTCCGATAGGGAGAAGTGGTCGCGTCTCTTTGAAGCGCTAGGTAGGCCCCGCACCTACATTAACCCTATCTTTTCTAGGGACAGCGATTCTGACGACGAAATCATGCAGAACCTTTATCCTACCCTCGACCCGTTCCAGCACAACGGGTTGGATGACTTCCTCACTAAGGTTTTCCAGCAAGGAGTTGCCTACCCGCTCACTAGGAACAACTTGTCTGTTGAGAGCCTCAAATCGTACCTTGATGCACTGCCTGGTTGTAACACGCCATTCGAGGCGTGGTACAACTCCCACAGACAGGACCTCGTAGCCAAAGCTGCAGCGCACTTTAGAGTAGCTGAACCAGGTGCGGCGGCCAACGCAATCTCTCCTCGCCAACTGTACGACTACTACACCCACATTTTAGAAGAAATTTTTGCCTCGGTGCACGCGGAAAGTGATCTAGCGCGTTTCAAAAGCATTCAGCAGGGAGCTCTTTCTCCTATAGTCCTTAAGGACATGCTGTTAGCGCTTGAGAAGAAGCTGGATGGTAGAGTGAGCAAACACCAAGTCGAAGAACGCTTTCTTGAGGGCTTAAACCCCGTGGTTCGGCAGCACTTGGAAAGGCAGCTTATAACTGTGGAGCGTACCAAGTGGTATGATCGCTTGGAGAATACGGCACGTGAGGCTGAGGTTGTGTGGAACAATCTCCCGTTGGAGGACAGAGTAGCTCAGGTACACAAAAAGCAGCAGCAGCAGAAGAGTGTAGCAAAGCCGCCCATCAAGGAAAAACGCACCTTCTACTGCGAGAAGCACGGCACCAACACATCTCACGATACAGCGCAGTGCCATGTCTTAAACCCCCCAAAAACGAAGTCCGCCCTTTTGACCTCTGACATCCCCTCCGGTATTGTTGAGCGTTTGGTAGCCTTGATTTCTCAGGGACAGGGCAACGTGTCGACCTCAGGGGGGTCCAGGGGAATGGGCGGGCAAAAGCAGAAGGGGGCTGGGCCATCTAAGCCCAAGCAGGGACAGGGCACTAGTGAACCACGGGGGCTTTGCTGCACTCTTCTGCTGCGGCGGCTTTTTGGTTACCTGCGCTGCTGTCCTCCAACGGGAGATTATTCCAGACCTCAGCCTCACGTGCTGTCTTCTCCAAACGCTCGTACCACTTGGTGCGCACCACAGTCATTAGATGCCTTTCCAAGTGCTGCCGAACCACGGGGTTTAAGCCCTCTAGGAAGCGTTCTGCGACTTGGTGCTTGTCCACCCTGCCATCCAGCTTCTTCTCAAGCACCAGCAGAATGTCCTTGAAGACGACAGGAGAAAGAGCTCCCTGCTAAGTGCTTTTGAAACACGCTAGATCACTTTCCGCACACACCGAGGCAAGGTTTTCCTCTAAGATGTGGGCATAATTGTCGTATAATTGGCGAGGGGAGACAGTGTTGGCTGCCGCACCTGGCTCCGATGCTCCGAAGTGCGCTGCAGCTTTGGCTACAAGGCCTTGTTTGTGGGAATTGTACCACACCTCGAATGGCGTGTTACGACCAGGCAGTGCGTCAAGGTACAACTTAAGGTTTTCTATGGACGAGTTGTTCCTAGTAAGTGGATAGGCAACCCCTTGCTGAAAGACCTTAGTAAGGAACTCATCTAAACCGTCGTGTTGGAACGGATCGAGAGTTGGGTAAAGGTTCTGCATAATTTCGTCTTCCGAATCGCTGTCCTTAGAAAAGATAGGGTTAATGTAGGTACGGGGCCTACCTAGCGCTTCAAAAAGACTCGACCACTTCTCCCTGTCGGATTCTGTTTCAGGTGGTGTCTAGTGGAGCAGTGACCTCACCCTCAGTAGGAGCTATATTAGTAAGGGAACGTTCCACCTGTACTGCTAGGCCGCTATCCGAACGAGAGCGCGCAATGCGGGAGGCTTCGCTAGTACGAGAACCCGAACCGGACGCCCTACACGTACCCTTATGCGAAACCTTACTTACCTCCTGCTGATCTCGCTGACTGGTCGAGCGAAGATGTTGCGCAGTGGCGGCCCGCGGGATGTTACGACGTAGCGGCTCCGTGGGACTTATACTTCCCTGTATAATAATAGGCTTACGAACGCAATAGATAGAAAAGAAAAAGAAAAAGGAAAATATGCAACAGCAAACGCAAAGCGAACAGGCAAGGACTAAGCGATAAAAGCCTAGTGACTACTAACGAGTACTGTACCCCGCCCCACCAAAGCTGGTGTCGCTGTAAAACTGCGTTATATTGAGCTGCAAAATAAAAAGTAGCTGCGTGAAAACAGCTGGAGTAATTCGTGACTCTGGAGAGTGATAATATAAGTACGTGGTGCAGCGTGGTGCTAGGAAGACTGCTCTGTGGATACCGTGTCAGGAAAGAGGAGAGAATCGACTCAATAAGGTTACAGCAATTACTCCATCATGTCGCTGCGTGGAGAAGCGCACAGGTCCGCGTATTCAAATAACGGCAATCGAATGTTCGCCCCCTGGGAGCTGGCCGTGACAAAGCTTGTTGGCCGAGGTAGCTGTTCAAGCTCGGGGTCCAGCTGCACTACTACTAGGTAGCGTATGCGGAAGATAGCTGGGCGTGGCTCCAAGTCAAAACGCACGCCTCTCGCCAAAAGGCCTATATCGACAGGTTCCGACTCCTGGTCGAACGGATCGACCAAATGTGGATGTTGAGGCTGATGAAACCGGCCCTGCTGGCCCCGACCACCTTGATGATAAGAACCTCGGCTGCGCACACCGAGAGGGTTTCGACCCGCGCGTCCTCTAAATGGCCTCGTAATGGTCCACTGCAGAAGCGAATTGAGGCTAGTGAAAAATAACGTATTGATTCGGCCAGAGGTACGCGAAATATTTGTTAAGCGCAGAAAAGCTCGAACCTGCTATTCAGGTGAGCTAAATATATATTTTATCGATAATGCAAGGCTGGGCTGACCAAGCCTAGATAGAAGAGAGTAAATTGTATCGAGTATTCGGGATTGAGTGCTCAACAGACGGCTGTGCGTAACACAGTATCGATTGTAAGAGTGCCCGAATACGAAAGCAAATCGAACCAGTAAAGAAATGGCCCAAAATTGCTGAATGGTAAGGCAGCTGTGCGTAACACTGCTGACAGGTACGGCTGGCGTGACCTAGCCTACCTAACCTACCAAAAAGGGTGCTGGGAAAAGCAACCCGAATATCCCCTAGGCGACAGACCACCTAAGGTAAAACCCAAAACCGAACTTACTTGGTGCTTCAGCCTGATATAGGCTTTATGGCTATGGGAGCAGGGTGGTCTGGCGAAGTCCTGCAGGTAGCTTAGGTGCTGACTAGACGGCACAAGAACGGGCAAGTCAAGTCGTAATACGCAGCAACTAGCAACCCACGAAAGGGGCCAAGATTCCCTCCAGGCAATCAATCAACAGCGATAGGGGTTTACCTTAAAAAAAAAGTAGCGGCGTGGCTACAGCTGGCCTGATTTGTGGCGCGGGAGAGTGCGCGAGAAAAGAAGGTACGGGGTAATGTAGATTAAGTTGAAATTTACAGAATTTCACTCGCATAAGTCTGCGTACTCAAACAGGGGTAATTGCACTAGTCCACCTGTTGTTCTGACAGAAATAGTTTCACTCGGCCTGGGAAGCTGCTCCAGGTCCGGGTCTAGCTGAACCGCTATCACGTAGCGGATACGGTAAATGGCCGGTCGGGGCTCGATGTCGACCCTGACGCCGCGAGCCAAAAGACCTACATCGATGAGTTCAGGATCTTGGCCAAAAGGCTCGAAGATATATGAAGCCTGCTGATGGTGCCGGTGTCCGGCCACCACGGCGAAGAAAAGTGTCGGTGTGAACACCAAAGGGATTGCGTCCCGGGCGTCCTCTGCGTGGCCTGGGGTTCACTGCCTCGTAATAGTCCACTGCAGGAGCGAATTGAGGCTAGGAATATTTTGGTGTGAGCATGTATAGTGCGGCCAGAGGTACGCGAAATGTTTGTCAATCACAAAAAAGCTCGAACCTGCTGTTCAGGTGAGCTGAATATGTAATATAACAATAATACCAGGCTGGGCTGACCAAGCATAGATGGTAAAGAGAGTAGATTGTATTCAGTAATCGGGTGTCGAATGACAGGCAAACGGCTGTGCGTAACACAGTATCAGCTGTCAAAGTACCAGAATGCGCAAGCAAGTCGAGCCAAATGGCCCAAAATTGCTGAGTAGTAGGGCAGCTGTGCGTAACACGGCTGACAGGTTGCGGCTGGCGTGACCTAGCCTACCTAACCTACCAAAAAGGCTGCTGGGAAAAGCAACCCAAATATCCCCTAGGCGACAGAACACCCAAGGTGAAAACCAAAACCGAACTTACTTGGTACTCAGCCTGATATAGGCTTTACGGCTATAGGTGGCAGGGTGGTCTGGCGAAGTCCTGCAGGTAGCTTAGGTGCTGACTCGACGGCACAAAATATATACGCAGCAACTAGCAACCTACGAAAGGGGCCAGGGTTCCCTCCAGGCGATAATCAACAGTGGTAAGGATTTACCTCACCGACTGAGTCTGCCCGGCGTGAAGGTTATGGGCCTTGATTAGCCCACACTAAGAAAAAGGGAGTACTGCACAGGGCTTGTTGTCTAGCTCACAGAACTTACAATGCTCCAACATGAGGAGAGCCGTAAAAATTTGCCAAGGTTGCTGCCGGCTATAAATACCGAAGTCAAGCTATCGATTACAGGAGGCCCTCAAGAGATAAGCCTCGAGTACGACTACGACGTATAGTCCACGAATGACACAAGTAAAGCACATTATCTCGGTGTGACAGAACATTCACACAAGAAATAGTTAATTCACAGGTAAAATACGTAAACATACGCAAACGAGTGTACATTCGCATTTCGTCCACAAGTCGATCAGCGAAGCGAGTGGAAGGTAACCAAACACCCTAGGCGAGTAAATGACAACATGGAATACGCATATTCCTACCGATATAATCTTAGACAAGTAGGAAATACGGTAAAATGAACGTGACGCTAAAATGTCGTGACAAAGGTTGATTCCCAACATGTTGCTTCGGAAGTCCCTTACCTCACGCTCGACTTCTGCCTCGAGGTGTTGCTGCAGCTGGGGCAGCTGTGTGTGTTCATGGTAGCCATCATCTATTCGTTGCGGTGACTAAGTCGGAAGCTGTGATACATGTCCATGGCTCTACTTGGTGTATGCGCCATGGCAGGATGCCGTGATGGACATCAGGAGTTGCACGCAGGATGGAGCCCACAGCTTGTGTGTACCTGGGGACTGGACGCAACTGAGCATGCACGTGTGGGCATACATTTGTAGTTGTACAGGAGAAAACCTTCTACAGAGAATTGCGGCGACATGGCGGGAGGAGGTTTGTACCTATTGCACGCGCTGTCGTTATGGCTGCTGGTTGTGTGCTACTGCGGCAGGTCTGCAATGGCATAGTGCTGTTAGAAAGGAGGTCACTCCGCTGGGGTGCTGTGCTGCAGAATGTTGTTGATTATTGTGGGAGGCGTGAGAAGTCAGTACAAGTGATTGCTCTCTGGGTAGGTGGTACAGGTTGGCGCAGACCTTCTGGATTGGCTCGCTTGATTGTTGACCTTGCCCCTGTACATGCTGTGTGTTGGCTGGTGTGGGGAGCTTAAGTATTCCGTTTCTGTTATGTTCGGTGTCTTCAAATGGTGAACTTTGTCAATGGCCACACACACCTCCTGCTGCCATCCGCAGAAGTGTGTATCAGCTGACGTCTACAGAGCTAGAGCCAGTTGAAAACGCACATCCCATGATGTGGAGATGTGGGTGTATGTGGTTATAGAACAATTGGGTGCTAATGCAAGCGTTTACTAATGGCATGGCAACAAGTCCGTGTGGCGCCCAAGCATGATCAGCTGAACAACTGGTAATTGGTGAAGAAGCATCCTGAGCTTCTGGCATGCGGGTGTTGTGGGGGTTGCATTCCTGGATGAAAACTTGACACCAGATGATGCACACACAATGATTAGGTTAATGCTTTCTTGCGGAGGCCTGTGACGTGTTTCACTAGGGTGCCTTTTTGGCCTCGTTATACATGCACGGGATTGCGTCATTTAGTAAGCTGCAAGATCAAGGCTAAAAGTCATTGAGACCTATTGTCAATTCAAATCCGGAGAACTGAGACAAGTGCAGCAGGTGGTTAGCCGTTGGACTTCCGATCGCTCCATTTCTCAAACATGAACCCTGTTTCTCCGCACTGTACTTGCACAACACCCATTGTGTACTACTCACGCAGTCTTCGCGAAGACAGTAACACTCCAAGCAGCGTTTATGCCGACACGGGTTGTGTATCATGCCCATGGTAATGAAAGGCCAAGTGAATGCAAGCCACTGCTAACCACAACATACTTGTCACTACCTTCCCTACCTGCACCCACCATCACCACCACCACCAAAGCGACGCCACAAGTACCGTAGCGTTCATGGTGAGAAGCACATGCGCACCTCTTACTTCCACAGCTCCCCCGACCGGCCGCTCGGGCCCTAACCCCAAACGACAAACGCACTTTGGCTGCAGCCTCACCGGCTACCTGATCGGGGACGGCTCACCCCGAACTTGAAGCAAAAGCATCAAAAGCGCGCGACGTCGCCTCACAACCGGTTATCGCGGCAGCTTAAAAAGGGGGGAAGTGGGGCCTTTACAGCAAGCGTGGTCATCGGCACAACACCACGGCACCTGCCCGTCGATGATTAGCTCGTCAAATATAAACAGTAAATAACAGCATGATGAAGTCAACAGTGCGCGATGCATCACCATGACTAGCAAACGCTAACGCTAACGCTAACTGAAACTCTCACAAGCTGCAATCACTGGCCACGGCGGAGCGTTTAAAAGTCAGGCAACAGGTCCGGCAACAGGTCCTTCCCCGGGAAAAGTGCGCAAACCGTGACAGGCCGACAGGCAACCCACACTACCCCAGCGCCGGCAGTCTCCCCCCCCATGCCTGGTGTAAACCCCGAACTACCCACCACTCCCGACTGTATCCGACAGGGCCTCCGTCGATTAGCTTTCCATCCCCATTTCCCCCGCCCCGCGCCGGTCAGCAGTTTGAAATTTGGATGAGCAAGTGCTCGTAAGGTAAAGTGGCGGGAGACAGGGCCGGAGTCAAAACATCGCCTTTCCTCTGAATCGAAAAGACGAACGACAGTGGAACTCTAGAACGGCATGAATAACGATGAAAGGCGCACAGAAAGAGAGAGAGGGCTACAGACGCGCACACACACACCATTACATCCCCACACAAACATACGATGACAAGTCGACAACATCTCATTGCAATAACACAATAAACAGCAACAAACACGCAACACGGGAAAACATGCAGCAATGCATTTTGCCAAGTGTACGTCATGTCCCTATCAGTAATGCCGACAATGCAAATTACCCTCGCATACATGTGTACGGTCAACGAAGAGAGAGAGAGAGAGAGAGAGAGAGAGAGAGAGAGAGAAAATCAACACACAACGTGCGCGCTTGTCACGTAACAACCTACTGCCATAACCTAACGTTTAAACAATAAAGGAAATCCGCCGTAACATACGGTAAGAGTGCCTGCACGAGCCATCGTGTAACCTTAAGCTGCCTAAGCACTATGCAACGCTTTCCTGCGCCTGCCCCAGCCCGCGTTCCAAATTGAAATCCATCAATATTTGAGTTTGCCCCGACAGGTCACTCCCCATCCTTTACCCGCCCAAGCAGCAAACCATTTCTACGTACGATTATAAACCCTCATAGGAGATCCCCTCATAGCCGGTCCAATAACCCAACACCCTCTCAGCCCGCACCCCACCATCAGCCACCCTCTGGTGCTGGCTGAGGTTCCCTGGGCAGGTGGTTGCTGATAGCAGCCGACTAGCAAAGGGGGAACGGGCTCGGCAACTATTCTCTTACTTTCCCCTAGTCATCCTCCTCCTCCTCCTCCTCCTCCCCATTATTACAATTATGATTCTTATTCGTCCTCTATCCGGAGGGGAGGAGCGGGCCAGGAGGCCTCCGTGTCCCCCCCTCCTTTACCCCCTCCCGTCCGTCCCCACTCCAACTCTCCCTCCTTGCCGCCTGTACTTTATTCTCACGCAACCTCCTCTCTCACACGCAGCATCAGCATCAGCAGTAGCAGCAACAGCAGTGTCATGTCACAGCAACCCCCCACCCCCACCCCCACCCCCACCCCCGCCAGCAGCGCTGTCCAACCAATCAGATAGCCCAACAGCACCCCACCTCCCTCCGCTGCTGCGTCACCGGCATATCCTCACCGGCATATCCTCACCGCCCCGTCATCCCCCGCCACAACCAGCAACCGGCTACAAGGCAGGACAGCCAAACCCGTGACCGCTGCAGACTCCCGACCGCCGCGGCCATTGCGCAGTCGTACAAAGCTGGGCCCACCGCCCCCACCGCCAGCGGCGGCGGCCTCCCCGGGCAGCGCCATGACACCAATGCTGCTGCCAGAGGTCATCAAGACACAATCCCGGAGCACCCGCAGACCCTGGACAGCAGAACGCAGGGACCAGGGTTTATGAAACAGCGTGCCGCACAGTTCGTTAGGAGGAGTGTACGTCAGCCTCGAAACTATTGAACGTCATGGAGGACAACGGAATTTCAACACCCATGCTCATACGTTCGCTGTCCCGAGTTACCAAGGCTACCAGTACCAATACCATTACATGGCTACCGGTAACAGTCTTGCGTCATGCTAATAGTGAAGCATAATGGGATGTTCTATCCACAACAACCGAATCCGTGTGACTGGTTTTCTGTAAAACGCACAAACAGGCAAACGCGCAAGCAGCTGTGATATTGCGAAAGGAAGAACTCTAAAACTGCGAGAGACTAAATCACATCACCAAGTCTTTCGCACATTAAAAGTCTGTTTGATGACTGAACGACGCCGAAAATGACAACATAACAACACGTTGACAGCACGGTAGCACGGCATTCGTGCATCGCCCTCATCTCACAGCACACATCCCCAGCGGCGGCGGCCCCCTCACCTGAACGCACTCCCGGGGCAGCGGGTAGCTCCGCAAGAGCGCCGGGGCCGCCACACCGAGCCATGCTACGTGCTGTTGGGGGTGCTGCTGCAGCTGCAGCTGAGGTGGTCCCGCCACCCCAGTCAGCATCGACGAAGCAACCGCCGCCGCGGCCCCCGGTGCCAGCGCCTGCGTCGGGAACGTCACGTCCAGCGCCCCGCCAGGAGCCATCCCACCGCCGTACAGCCCGTCCCCTCCGCTCACGGCAGCGCCAACAGCCACGGGTGACATGGCGTCTAGGATGCCCCGAAACGGCTCCGCAGCGGCGCCGCCGGCACCGCCGCAGCCCCGCGGGCCCTGCCATCCTGACCAAGGACCCGTACGACTGTCGTACCCCGAGCCGGTAGTGCATGTAGTCCATGTAGACGCACCAGCGCTGCCGCCCCCGCCGCCGCTGCCCAATGCTGCGCAACGCCGCAGATCCCACAGCCGCAGCTGCTTGTCGGCCCCCGCCGTGATCAACGTGAAGTCGCCGCTGGAGGCGAGAGACGTCACCTCGCCGCCGTGGGCACGGAAAGCCGCGGCTGCCGTACCGCAGCGGCGGTCCAGGACCACCACTCGGCCGGCCCGTGAGCCCGCCGCCACCACCTCTGGATGCGCCGCCGGCCATCCGGCGCCGAAGGTTGCCGCCGCGGTGTCGGCGCCGCCGCCAGGCGTACACAGAGCGGTGACGGCATCCTCGCTGTCATGTCGTATTGCCGGCGCCGCAAGCCACTCGGCCACCACCCGACGGCATTCCAAGTCAAGGGCGCACACTCTGGCATCGGCGGTCCCTGCAAGCCATCAATGTACAGCACCGTCGTACAGCGATGCCAGACATGTGAAGAGCTGTCCCTCACACAGTCCGCGTATTGGACTTGGACAAGCGGTGGCCCAAACTTAGACGTCGATAAATTACCCCCACTCTACACAACTGCATTGCTCTGCAAGCTGGAACAATAAAAGCAGACGCAATGAAAAACACACACGGACGTCTGTAGCTGCGCCATTTCCACAGATTCATCAGTTTTTACACAACCTGCTGTGCGCCTTACGGGACCGCGCCAAAGGGCACATTTCACCTTCGCGTCCAATCCCTGATCGTTCCCGCCTGATCATTCAAACGCCATAACCGCCAAAGAAAAACGCCCGCACCGACCGGGATTCGAACTCCCACCTGCATAGAGCACCCGGTGCTCCTCCGGCGCGCAGCACATAGTGGTGAAGCCCAGACGCAGCGCTCCCGCCCCAGCCTGCCCTGCCGTCACCGCAGTGGCTGCCAACCCCGGCGTCGGCGGCGACGCAGTGGCCGCTGGTACAGCACCCAGCTGTGTCGCCGCACCGCTCGACAGTCCCTGGATACCGCCGCCGCTGCCGCCGCCGCTGCCGGCCCCCGCCCCGGGTCCGGACGAGGCCTCTGTCGCCGCCGCCGCCGCCACCGCTGATGCCGACAATTGGCGACTAGTTTTCAGGCCCCCCAGGGACTGCCAACCTCGGGGCTCTAAACCCTGGCTGGACATGTAGTAATGGCCAGACCTGCGCGATAATGACAAGCAACGCGTGAAAGTTCCTGGTAATAAATAAAAACAACGCTTGTGCAGAATGCATGGCTTCAAGCGTGTATTAAGAAGGCGACTGCGCTTCCGGGACATTCGTTAACTAAAAGCGGCTTTGGAGGATTCCTATATAATTTACGATGGTGTACCAAGATTCTTCCAGAAGGTTGGGGCTTTTCCAAACCTGGGTCACAGCCTTATGGAGGGACGGAGAGACAGCGTCCCTCGCGACACCACCCGGCGCTACAACGCTGTCAGCTTGGGCTGCCGGCGGCTTGCCAGTCCACTATGCAACGAAACACACATACATACGTACGTATATACGTACGTATATACGTACGCACGTACATGCATGCAGACATGTGCCATCCGTCTTCTATGCCAAGTGGCCAGAAAGGATCAGCTGACCAGAACCAGTCAGAGAAAGCGCTCAAGACAGCGTGAGATGACATTTCAGCCGGCCCTACAGACACAGGTGTCGTACATCTTCTGAATGTACCTGTCAATGAGTTCGCCCCAAGCGCTGCTGCTCAAGGAAACCTCCGGCGAGGAGTCCGACGGAACAGGCGTTTCGCCAACGGCGGCGGCGGCCGCGCTGCCGCTACCGGCGGCATTGCCAACGCCTCCGCCGCCTCCGCTGGCAAGTCCTCCGCCGGCGCCAGTTCCCCCCACGGGCGCAAAGCAGGCCAATTGCTGCCCAGTGTCGTACGCCCACACATGCAACTGCGCAGCTGCGTCAAGCGACGCGACTACAGCACCACCGGCGCGCGCCGCGCGGATCAGCAGTAACGCGTGTACGGCAGCACGATGACCACCGTACTGTACACGTGCCTGGCAGTCAGCCAGCGACCATACGCGGACGACGGGCCCCTCACGTCCCGCCACCATCCCTCGCCCCGCCGTCAGTACGGCACATTCGCCTGGATGCGCCGCAAGAGCTCGAATGCGATCTCGATGTGCCGGCCACGAGTGTACGACAGCTGCTTGCAAGCTCCATACATCGCCAGCAGCCGGAGGCGCGGCCGCTGCCGCCAGCAGCCGTGCGCGCGATCCAGCGCGGCAGCTACTACCGCTGGACGCACCACATGCCGCCGCAGCAGCGGCAGTATGTACGGCATTCGCCGCGGAGGTGAGCGGCGGCAGCCAGTGCCACCGCTGACTCCCAGTATCCGGAACCTGGCTGTCGGACACAACGGGTGGCGGTATGAGTAGAGGCGATAGGGAGTGTCCGGCGGCGGCGCCATTGCCGCGACGGCCGGCAGACCGGCCCGCTGCGGAACAACCCGCTTCTGACGCCAGCGGAGGCTGCTGCGGCGATGCAGTTGAGGTGCCGGAGCCCAGGTGATGCTGGGCTGGCGGCGGCGGCGGCGGCAACGGTTCCACTGGCGGCGACGGCGGCGGCGCGGTCAAGACATCTGGTGCTGCCGAGGATGGAAAAGGCGACGGCGGCAGTGCCGCCGCCGCCGCGGTCGCCGTTGCCCCTAGCACCTCAACGGCTGAACCGCTGCCGTCGACTCCTGCCAGCCTGCCTAGCTGTAAAGGTGGTGGCGGCTGCGGCTGCGGCGGAGGTGATAGTTCCTCTGGACTTCGTTCCGTTGCTGGTGGCGGGTACAGCGGTGAATCTGAAGAAGCCGTCATCAGTTCAGTTTGTACGGGCGGCCGCTTGACGTTGCTGACACGGCCAGTGCGAGCTGGTACGGCTCCCGTTGACGGCGACTCCCGTGGGCCTTCGCCTTCCCGTCCCGAAACCACCTCCGTGTCGGCCACAACGGCAACAGCCGGCGGCGGCGGCAGCAGCTGAGGCTTCGAACCTTCTGCCATCGCTTCCACGGCCGCCGATGAATGGCCGCTCGCAACAACGCTTCCAGCATGCCGCGTCAACGCCGTCACAGGCGACGTCACAGCACTTCCACTATCGCATGATTGCTTCATCTCCTTGCCAGGCGCGTTGACACTGGAGGTGGTTGCCGTGGAGGTGGGAGTGGCGGGAGCTCCAACCGGCGCCACAACAGACGCAGCGGCAAGATCATCTCCTTCAGAAAATGCGTCCTGTATGGGAGTCGAATCCCGATCGCTTCGACGGCGCAAAAAGTTTGAGGCTGTGGTGTTGCTGCTGTCGGACTTCGCAATCGACAGCGAGTCTACAGCTGCTGCTGCTGCCTCCCCCACATGCTGCCCTGCAGGGCCCGCCGCCTTGGCCTGCTCCTGCTCAGCCGCCGTACCCAAATCATCGACCCGTGCAGAGCGTCCCCTTCCACCACCGCCGCAAGAGGAGACGGCCGGGGAGGAGGAGGAGGAGGGGCCCACGCCATGCGTTCGCGAATCGACTTCACGCCTGGGCGCTGCCGCCTCCTTCCCTATGCCGGGCCCTCTAGCTGCCCGCGCGCCCGCCGCCGCAACCGTCCCCAAAGGGACAGTGGTGTTGCGGCCGCCGCCGCTACCTGCTGCGCCGCCGCCACTACCTCCACTGCCAGTACGGCGAGCGCCGTTGGGCGTTATTGACACCAACGCGCCGCCCAGGCTAGCCTGACGGCCCAGTAGTGCACCACCGGTTCCGCTGCCTCCAGTGACGCCCATACCAGCGGCGGCGCCGCCGCCTTGAACAGCCAAGCCTTCAACCACCGTCGGCGACCCTATCGCTAAGAGCTGCGGCCACACAAACCCCTCCTCAGGGCCGCAGACATCGCGTCCCACTCCGTGGGGCCCGAAGCCGTACCCGCCACCAAGTGCAAAGTGATAGCCGCCGCCACCCACGGCGGCGGCGGCGGTGCTGCCGCCGCCGGCTCCGCCGGCGGCAGACAACGCCCCCTGTCCCCCACCAATACCGCCGTTAACCGCGTACGGCACATCCTTGGGCGAGGACCGTGGCGGCACCGCCGTCGCCAGGGATGTCGGCGCTGACCAGCCGACCTCCTTGATGAACAAGTGGGTGCCGTGGATTGCCGCCAGGCGCTGCTGCTTGCTTGCAATTTCCTGCCGTACTTGCATCTCCAGAGCAGACAGAGCGCTCCGACGCGAGCTGCCGCCGCCGCCACCACCGCTGCCAGCGGCGGCAGCACCGCCGCCGCCGCCGCCGCCGCCGCCCCCTTCTGCCGTCCCTGCTGTCGTCTCACCGCAAGATCCCGCTGCCGACTCCGCGCTACCGGCGCTACCCGCAGCGGTGCTGCTGCCACCTAGGCCGCTGTCAAGGCCGCCAACGCCCCACAGCCCCGCGGCGGCCGGAGACCACCCCAGGCGCCTCGACAGCCCCGCCTCCACAATCTGCCAGCCGGGAAGCAAGTTCCGAACCGTCAGCAAGCCAGATGAATCCACCAGGTGCCTACATTTGCAGCGAGGGCGGTTGACGGTTGGCAGTTCTGGAGTGCGGCATACGCGGCTTGTGCTGGCGGAGTGCCATGTTGGTGGCGGTGGGTGCGCAGGAGAGCATTCGAGGGTATGTATGTATATATACCCCAGCCCCACCGCGACACAGCACCGCCCTTGCATGAAGTCAACATAACGGTATATGTATGTATATACAATACAAGTCTTTTCTTATAGTTCCTTTTGCCGATTATTAGCACCCATTATTGCGCAAGCTAAAATTTGACAAATGATGGAAGGTCAAGTAAGTATCGTCCGACAATTTCAGATTTTTAGCTGTATCGATTGATGAGCTTCTCACGTACAGATTATAGATACATATACATACATATTTACACGCTCCAATGTTCGCTCCCTCTGTCCATCTCTCTCTTTCACACTTCAGACCTATCAAGCCAGGTCCTCACTCGGCGCCACAATAATGACAACTGACCGCCCATGGGGCCCCTGCTTACCCGTACACGCAGTGTACCAGTTCCCAGTATCCGTCCTCATCATCACACGCGCCCTGCGCCGCGGCCGCTGTGGATCCCCCGCTCCCAATTCCACCGCCTGCCACGCCGCCGACGCCTTCGCCGCTCGGTGAAGATCGACTGCGGTGCAGCGTCCAGCTTGCGTTGGAACCGTTCCCCTGGCTGGCGATGGCGGCGGCGGCAGCAGCGGCTGCCGCCGCGCCCGCGCTGCCGCCGTACTGCGCCATCGCCACCGCCGGCAGACCCTGGTCGTGGATGTGTGCAACGTCAGATCCCCCCCAGTACCGCGTTGTACCGTTAGCTCGATAGGAGGCACGGCGAGCCGCCGACGCGTAGGAGAGCAGAGGCGTGAGGTGCGGGAGTACGACCCAGGCCACGTTCTCAGGCCGGGCCAGGCGGGCAAAGGCCCGTAGTGCAAGGCCCGCCAGCATTGTCAGCGACCCCGGCGCTACACGGTACGACAACGGATACAGGAAGCAGTTCACCAGCGACGGAACGCCGTCCGCGGCGGCGGTGATGGACGTACGGGGACTGGCGGCAGCGGACATCGGGTTCAGCGGCGGCGGCGGTAGAGGGGCAGCATCCGCCACACCCGGGCTGGCGGCGGGTGACCCGTGGGTCGACGGTGAGGCTGGCCCCAGGACCCACGAAGGTGCAAGCCCATGGAGGAAAACCCGCGGGATGTATTCCCTCGGGAGCAGGTCCATAACAGCAGTAAGTACGGACAGAGAAGTGTAGATCTGGTGCTGAAGCCACGGCTCTGTCGGAGGCGGTGACGGCGGCACTGTCGCTGCCGACTCTGAGGTGCCGGCGGCGGCGGCGCTAGAGGCGGATGCTGAAGTGAATTCGCTTTTTGTGCCGCCCGAAGCTCTCAATGACGAGTAGCTCTGCTGCGACCTGCTGCCGCGACCCACCCCACGACTCGGCGCGACGGACTGTGGCGGCGGCGGAGGCGGCGCTGGTACGACAGCAAGTTGCAGCAGCGCAGGCGCCACATGGCGCGCCGTTAGCTGACCGCCCATCTCCGCACACAGCTGCGCTAGCAGACGCGGTACGCTCGTACCAAACGTCATGTACGATAGCAGAGGGCTTACAATACGTTCTAAGACCAGCGGAAGCGGAAGCCGCGCCGCCAGCGCAACCACCGCCGCGGCGGCGGCGTCGCTGATGGTGGAAACGGCCAGGGCGCGCGCAACACCGCCAACAGCGGCATCGCCACCGCTGCTGCCGCTGGGCGGCCCGGACGCGGCCGCGGCGCTATCCGCTGCCGCTGCCGTTGTCCCCGATGACGAGCCTTCCTCGCCGCACAGCAGCGCCGCCAGCAGGAACGGCAGAACGTGCTGCATGTATAACTCCAAATCCGATCCTCCCAGGAGCTGCGTCTGTAGCGAGGCCGACAACAACCGGTGCTGTAGGGCAAGTTGCCGCCGCCGCTGCCGCGGGCCTCCAACACCGCCGCCGCCGCCATCCAGCGGCTGCTCAATAAAGGACGCCAGGCATGCGCACACGTACGGCAACACGTGCGCCGCAACCTTATCTGGAGGTAGCAGGCCCAGCAGCGCCATCAGGATGTCGTACACACAGCTGCTCACCTCGGTGGCCAGGGTTGGCTCTCCCGTCACTGTGGATGTGGCTGCTGCCGTGGCTGTAGCAGCAGGTGGCTGCGGGAAACACGCCGCGACGGCACCGTAACCATTCGCATTCGTGCTACAGCCGCTGCCGCCGCCACCGCCGACAGCAGCGGGGCCGTGCCCCAGAGAGTTGCAGACGGCGGCGGCTTGCCACAGCAGATGTATGATATGTGGCAGGCAAAGGTCCAAGACCGGACGCAACCGTGTTCCAACGGTCGCAACCGCTGCCAGAGCGCTGAGTCGCTCTGGTACTCGCAACAGCGGAGGCGGCGGAAGCGATGCTGGTGTACTATTGAATGCTGCCGCAGCTTTGCCGTCGTACAGCGTCGTACACAGCAATTCGTGTGCTGCATGCAACGCGGGGCTGAAGAAAGGGTCGCTGAGGAGGCGCTCCGAGGTGGTCTGCAGGGGGAGATTCATGGCGTAAAACGGGAGAGGGGGCCCGATAACGTCAGTTGCTCAGGTCTAGTGGGAAAACAAGGCATGGGCAAGGTGACCCGGGTAGAGAGCCCGGTGTTTCATATCTAATTCAAATCTAGTTCCAAGATATGGAAGTAAATTCCAGGATCCTAGTTCCAAAGCGGCAATCCGTGTTTCCTTGGGGCCCCTCTCCCACCCATCCTATCCTAACCCGCGCACTGGCACCACACCCACAAAAGTGATCAGCGAGAACAAGAGGATCCCTGAAAATACCTTTTCCGCACTAAAACATCAGGAAAAAAACGACTTAAGGAAGGACGCATTAACAGCATTAACCCCTGCTCCCACCTACCAGCGGATCGAAGCAGAGCCGCACAAAGCGCTTCGCCGCAGCGGGCAGTCCGTCCGCCAGTCGAAGCCAGTACCCCGCATGCTGCTGCGGGCCGTAGCAGCACCGCCCGAGGTACAGCTGCACAGCCACCTGACCAATCGCCTGTGGGACGGCGCGCAGGCGCCTCTGCGTGAGCGCGTGTACTTGGTAAAAATCAGATTAGGCGACTAAAGCAAAAACAAAGCAATGCAAAGCAGGTCCAGATCAGGCACCACACTCCTGACCTGCCTTGGAACCCCCGTGAGCTTGGCTTGGAGACTTGGCCTACGGCGCTTTACCTGATGTACTGTGTATATGCTGTGCCCCACATACTCCTTACCTGTTTGTTCCCTGCTTTTGTTTAGGCAGAACCTCCTCCAGCCATTGCACATCAGCCTTCGCTCGCTGCTGAGCCCTCTCCACGCCCCACTGCAGGTAGATTTCACCCCGCTCTACGTGCCCTGGCAAAGCCAAGTCACATACCAAACAGTTCCCGCATATTCCTCGGCGACCCAACGGCCGACTGACGCCCATCCTCTCTCCATGTAACGCTCTCTAGCACCATCTCCATGAATGATCCCTAGTGCCGTCCTTTAGGGCCCCCCTCCCCTCACACTCACACCTCCCGCCCACTTCTCGGGCCCACTTGCGTTCCCCACTCCACCCGGCCCAGCTCCGCCCACACTGCAAGCCCTCCACTCCAACCCGGCAGTCCAACCGCCCTGACTCCGGGCCCATTCCCTCCCTCGTGTTCGGGACTGGAATGGCGCATGGGGCACATCGCGCCCCGCGAAACTCACCCAGCAATCCTGTCGCTTCCGCGCCAGCACCGACTCCTCCGCCATACCCCCCTGCTGTCCCCAGGTTCGCCCGCCTGCCGCTGAGGCCGTGGTGTTGCCGCCGACAGCCGCCGCCGACCCCACCAACCCTTTCGTAAGGCCCTCTTCCTCCCCTTCTTCCGCCTCCTCGGGCTCCTCCTCAAAGCCCAGCTCCATACATGCCCCTAAATCATGGGCAGCTGCTGCCGCGGGAGATGCCGGTTCCGGCCGCCGCCGCGGCAGCGGTAGCGGTTTCATCAGCGGGGCAAAGTAGTCTTCATGCAGCCCCAGTCCACCCTCCCTGGCGGCCACCGCACCCAAAAGCTCCAAGCTGTCAAGCTGGCACAACACGGCGCCTATGCCGGAGACAATGGAGCCACCACCACCACCACCACCTTCAGCTGCGCCCGCACCCGAGCCAAACCCAACACGACAGCCTCCACCGGCATTGCCAGTACTATGGACTAAATCCCCGCTTGGCAATCTCCCGCGGCGATGATGCCTGTGCGTGGATACGCTTCCGCCTCCACCTCCACCGCAGGTCCCGGTTCTGGCGGCGGCAGGACCGGCGGCTGCGGCGGGCGCCGGAGGGTGGGGGGATGGCAGCCGCGGCGGATGCGGCGACAGGAACAGCGGCGGGTGCATGCCCACGGGTGCGTAGGGAAGCAACGACGAAGCTGCGGAGCCCTCCGCCACTGCCGTGGACCAGGCCATGGCGGCAGCGGCTGGGCCTGAGGCTGCTGCTGCTGCTGGCCCCGCCGCTGCAGCGGTCTGCGGCTGAGTGTTGGTGAGGTACACGTTTTTCGCCGCCACTGCTGCGGCCCCCACCAGCTTGTATCCGAAGAAGAGGTCCAGCCAGTGGTGCAGGTGACGGGAGACGTGGTCGGATTCCAACAGGGCCCTGCAGGGGTGGGGTGGGGTTGGAGGGGGAAGGTACAGGGTCATGGATTATCAGGTAGAAATGTCTTTGCAACGCAACAGGCAAGTGAACTTATCCTCAGGGCGGCGCACCCACATGTTGTGTGGGTGCAACATGCATGGCCCCGGAGCCCTGGGTGGTGTGTAACAGTTTCTAACGGCACTCGGTTGCACCCACATGTGCGTTTGAATCTAGTTTAGTGCTCCGGCCGCCCTTCCCCCCTCTCCCCCAATCCATCCTCAACCATCCGCAGGCCACCCATCTGGCCCGCTCTCGCGCGTTCCTCCTCCATTCCCCGCCCGCCCTCATCACCCGCGCACCTGTGCCAACGTATGAACTCCTGCGGGCTGCTGGCCCACTCGGGCAGCTGCAGGTCAGGTAGCTCCGGGTGGATGGAGCTGTCGTGGAGGGGGCGGAGGGGGGGGAGCAGGAGTTATATGCACTGCAGTGAAAACGTCTAAAGCATTAAACAGCTGGTGTCCAGAATGATGATGATGAGGAGGGGCGGAACGGAGGGGAGGGTGGAGAGGAGAGGGAACTTTTAATAGGATCTCGCTTCATGCAAATCCCTCTCATCTTTACACTTATAACAAACACACCACCACACACACACACAGGTCAAACCATATCCTTTTCACCCATCATCCATGGCAACCCTCGTGGGCCCTAACCCTAACAAGTGTCCAACGTTGCCTACACAAACAGACAATGGCAACCCCACAAAATCCAACCTCCATGCCTCCTCCCCGCCCGCTCCGAAACCCGGCCTCGCACCTGAAGATCCCCGGGTCCGTGTACAGCTGCGGCAGGCACTCGTCCGGAGTACGTGCCAACATAGTCTCCAGGGAGGGAGGGTACTCCCGAGGCTCAAAGTGGGACCGTACGGCACGCTGTAGTACGGCACGCGGCGTGACACGTGCCATGTATATGCAAAAGCTTAACTCCGACAGCGGCTCCTGGCGGTGCGGTGGGCAGGGAGGGGGGGAGGGGGCAAGACGAACCACTGGCGAGTGAAGCAGATACCAGAGGGGATACCAAGGGGGGAGGGGGCGGGGTGGCGCTCAGAGGCAGCGGGTGGGCAGGGGCCGATGGGCCGATGGACATTAGGGCTAGGGCTTCGTTGGCCCTAAAAGACGGGACGTGAAACCCGGAATAAAATGCTTTAACACAGTATTCAAGTGGGCGCTTGAGCTCGTTGAGGATGGCGGTAAGAAAGGGATGCCCAGCCCTGGCAAAAACTTGCCTTAGCAATTCACGTTTGACCTTTTGTCGCTGTTGCTTATGTTTGTGGATTGTTCTCCCTCCTCTCCCTCCAGGAACCCCCTAGTGATGAGGCTTTGCGCGGGGTGAGTAGGGTAATCGATTATGTCACGCGGGCCGCGGTGCGCGAGCAGCCGGCGGCAGCTATATGCCCTGGCAGGCTTTCAGCTCCGTGCCTTCCATCCCCAACCCGACCTCTTCCCCCCATTTCCCTATAGCGGAAATCCAATTCCTTTTATCATCATCCCATTACATCGGCCTCCCTTTGCTGTGTTTCCTAGCCCCAGTCCACTCCACCCCACCTGCGGTATGTGGTGCGGCACTTCGGAAGATGAAAATGTGACATCTAGCTGCAGATCCCCCTTCGCCTGCCGGTATCGCGACCTCGTCAGGTCATGCCAGCCCCCGCCGCCGCCGCCGCTGGCACCTCCGCCGCTGGCCCCACCGCTACCGCTGCCGCCACGACTGCTACCGCCGCAGCTCCAACCGCTCCCGCCAATAGCGGCGGCGGCCGCCGCCAGCATCTCTTGCGGCGGCACTGAGAAGTCCGTAACCCAGGGAACAAAGGGATGAAAGGTCCGATCGCCCAGTCGGCGCCCCGCCAAGAGGTTGACGAGCATCAGGTAGTCCAGCGTCGACAGCGCGTGGTGCTGCCAGGCACGGGTCAACGCCGGCAAAGTTGGTAAGGGGCGTCGCAGGCATGCCGGAAGCAGCGGTATCGGCGGCGGCGCAGCCACCTGCTGTTGCTGCTTCCCGATAGATTGCTGCTGTGGCTGCTGCTGCTGCGATAGCGGTTGCGGCGGCATTGGCGGCGGCAGTAGCTGCAGCCAGCCGCCGGGCTGCAGCAGCACTGTGGCGGTGGTGATGCCGCCACCGCCCCCTAGGTCGTAGCCATGGCTGTGCAGATGACACACAGCCGCCACCAGCTGTAGCAGCAGAAAGCGGAGGTGCTGATCACCTCCCGGTGGACCCCCGCTGCTGCCACCCCCACCCCCACCCACTCTGCCACCCCCGCCAGGCAGCAGACCGCAGCTGGCGGCTGCCGCTGGGAAGCGGAGGCAGTCCGCCAGGCTACAGCCCGGGTACCAGGATGCACCCACGGTGGCGACACCCAACGGCAGTGGCTGTGTTGGTGCTAACCGCAGAGGTGGTGGCTCAGGCGCTGGCGGCGGCAATGGCGAAGCGGTGGCCGTGGCGGATTCGTTGTCTGCTGTTTCCTGAAGTGTTTCTGGCGCTGCTCTGGTAGTGACCAGCGCTGCGCGGTCCTGTATGACGTCATATAGAACTGCTAGGTTGGGATGACTGGGATTGTATGCAGGTAGTGCATGGCAGGTGGTGCAGGCGGAAGGCGCAGGCGGAGGGGTTGCTGCAGCTGCGCTGGTGGTGTGCCGATGGGAGGGTGCGCGCGAGTGTGCGCTCCTGGGCGCAGTGTCGTCTGCGAGAAGCTCAGCGGGAATTTCATGCAAGTACTGCGCCAGGGATACATATTCGTTGTGCTCGGGAGGCAGACTCCGTGGCTGCAGCGCAGCGAGGATGGGTGCGGCATTTTCGGAATCCCGCGGGGCCCGGAAATGTGCAATCACAGGGTGCGTCGTAGATGGACGGGCACCCGCGACCCATCCGCTTAGTCCTTGGATGTCAGGCGTGACTGCGGGCACGACACGAACGGACAAAATGTTGAATGGCGCCAAAGCTGCACGATGTCCTGTAATGCGGCCTTGCCAGGGAAGCAACGCCAGAAACTCCAGCCGCAGAACATCGATACTTAGCAGGGCACTTACCGTAATCAAGCTCCAGGCCGAGGACAGATGCTGCAAACGTCTGCAATTGAGCTGCGAGACGCAGCAGTCCATCAGCCACTTCGTCCTCTCCGTATTCGGTGCTCATGTCAAGCAGCTCTCGGTGTCCGTCACAGCAATAAGCCCAACACGACAAGCATCCTCATGGCAGGTTTATACGCAGGTCACTGGACTTCGCACTGTTTCCCGTTGGTGTTTCACCGAAGTTGTGATTAAGGATAGGCAAGGATTGATTGTAGCGCGAAAGTTCCCGCAAGTTGAGGGAGGGCTGCGAAAACGCTACTGTGACGAGGCAAGAATAGCGTTGGGCATCAAATGCATAGGGCACACGTAAATAATTCCAAAATTGGTCCGGTGCACAATTTGCGGTTGCTGTCGAAGTCGTTGGCACAGTGCAAAAACGACCTGCGAAGGACGCGATCAGAGCTCCGAGCTTGTATTGAGCTATCGACGACTAGATTCTGTACCTCCAGAGAAATCATGCATCGTCTTAGCAGAACCCGTGCCTCGTTCACTCAAAACTGCCCTAGGCAGTGGACGTGGCAAACGAGGCCCCCTTACCGGTCATGCGCGCATGATAGCCCAAAGTAAGCGACGACGTATCGGCAAAGGCTAGTTCTGTAAAAGTAACCTGACGCGAAGAAAAATGGTCGTACGGCAGTGCGAGAGACGAAAGGACGTTGGTCCTAGACCTCCACAATCGCCAACCCAATCCAACAATAGGCCTACACACGAAGTGTACATGTGCAACACCAACATCATCCCCAATAGCTGCCTCTACCCCGCGTGGCCTTCTTCCCGTTGCGGTTGACGAAGCCGCCAGCTACAGGAGCAACGGACACTGTGTGCCGATTAATAAAACCCGATTCGCTCCACGCGATTGCTGTTTGCCCTGATGCCAACCCAGCCTCTGAATAACCTTCAAATTCATAACCTTCGAATTCCCAAGAGACTCAGTAGTTCAGTGTCGGGCAAACTACCGAACTACACGAACTGAAACTGATCATCTAGTCGATCCCATAGGACCCATAACGCTGGCCCCCATCCTGTTCCCCATCTATACGGGCCCAAGCCAACCTGGGGGAGCTCCTGTCGCATAGAGGAAAAGATCACCAACGATAAATCCATCAGTCCAAAGTAGGCCCTACCCCACTCTAATCCTCGCTCCAATTCTCGCTCTAATCCTCACTCCAATTCTTTGATTCCGGTCTCACTCCCACTCTTGACTCCTCCCAAGCCCAGTTCCATCAGCCAAACGAAGGCCAACCGGGCGCCACCTCTGAACCCGCTCCCTCACCAGCCACCCAGCAGCTCACACATATGTGCACTTGCCGCCCGTCACTGCCTCGACTTCTCGATTTACCTCCTCCACCTCCCATGCCGCCAATTGCGGCACCACCACCACCACCCCACGCGAGCCCAACCAGGGCCCCTCTCCCCCTTGACGACCAGAGGGAGCCCTGCTCGCTGCAGCTGGCGCCGCCGCGATCGCCACCTCTGGCTTGCTGCGGGCGCGATCGCCGACCCATGGGTCGCTGAGCAACGGACCCTTCTCCATGACGCCGCTATCAACGCTGCCACCACTGATCCGCGGGTCGTTGTCGCGGCCGCCGTCACCTTCACCAAGTGCTGTCGCTTCCACGCCGCCGCCACCACCGATACGGCCACGACTGACCCACGGGTCGCCGCCGCCATTACCACCCAAGGCCAGCACCAGCGCCCGTAGGCGTGGCAGCAGCGGCCGATCAGTGGCGTGCGCGCCGTCCTCCTCCACGCACAGCAGGCACAGCACACGCAGCGTGGGATGGCCGGCCAGCAGGCGCAACGCGCACAGCAGGTTGCGTACAGGCTGCAACGTGAGGCTGCGCAGCTGCCGCAGGCGGCAGCACGCCGCCACAAACCGCAATGAGGTGGCGGCAGCGGCCATGGAAGTGACTGGCGCCATCGGGAAGAGCTCCAGCTCACTCCGGGGGTCCCCTCTCAAGGAGCTAATGGCGGCTGCACGAGGGTCAGCCTGGCTGCTTTCCGCCATAGTGCGGCCACCAGCGCCAGCGGCAGCAGCCGCGCTGGCCGCTATCGTGGCTCCAGGGAACTCCCCCTCCTCCTCTCCCCCCTCCTCCCCCTCCTCCTCCTCCTCCTTGCTACTTTCACCGTCAGTCGGGGCAGCACAACTGAACTCGCGTGGCAGGGGAGCTGTTTCAACGGAGGGCAGATGCACAGGACCTTGCACGAGTCGGGCCGCCGCGGTGGCAGCGGCGAGGGACTCCGCTTCGTACGACTGGTAGCTGCACGGGTCGCGTTTAAGATGCGAGGAGTATGACAGGTCAAGGTCAAAGAGTGCCAGATGGCGGACCGCGTCACCGGCGGCCGAGGCTAATGAGGCGGCGAGAGCTGCTGGCGCCAAGTCGCGCTGCAAGGAAAGCTGAAGATCCAGAGTGGGGGCGGCAGCGTTGCAGCCGCGGCTGCCGCTGGTACCTGCGGGAATAGCGCCGTCAGTGCCATCAGCACCGCCGGTGCGGCTTTCAGCCGTACTGGCGGCGGCGCAGGGGCTGGAACGACCCATTGAAGCAGCGGGCGGCGCAGAGGGGCCAACGGCTGTGGGAGTAGTAGCAGTGGCAGAAGTGGCTTGTACGGCAGAAGAAGCTGAAGCGATGGATGCGCTGGCGGGACCCGCAGGCGCAGCGCTAGCAGCAGTAGCCGTAGCAGTAGCCGTAGCAGCGTTAGCAGTGATTGAGATGGCATTGAGCCGCCTTAGCACACGCATGAGAGCGTCAACGTCGGCTCTTCCTATACAGATGTTAACCTGTACAGAAATGAAGCAATAGTCAAGTTAAGGAGGTCAATGGTCAGCAGGTAGCGTTTGGTAGGTAGTTAGTCGTTAAAGGCAGACAGGTTAAGAGGTTTAAATGTCTTTGAACCCGAAGGCACATTAAGCCCTATTCAACAGTTTCTCAAAAGGGCGAAGACCGTAACGGCGGCAGTATATGGTGGCGGTCGGTATACGGCGCTGCCTGCTGCATCCCCAAACAGTCACAACAAAAAGAGAAAACGTCGAGCTGGGGCTTTGAAACCTGTCCGAATTGCTCTCAACTCAGAAGGTCGAAAGCTTAGGGTTTTAGCCAGCCTTTAGTTAGGGTTTGAAGCCTGAAGCACCCACCAACCCGGGATGGCAGCTAAGATAGTTGATTCACCTCCAGGTGCCGCAAAGGTCCCGCTGCCGCTGAACAACCGCTGCCGCTGGTGCCGCCGCCACCACCGCCGCCACCACCGCCGCCGCCGCCACCGGGGTCAGCGGTGCGGGTGACGTTGGCGGCGGCAGCAGTCGCGTCGCCGCGGGCATGTAGCGCTCCGGGCACCATCGGCCCAGCCGTACAGGCCAGGTGCAGCGGAAGATAACTCAGTGCCGTCACGACGTCACGACTGTCGTACAGTCTTCGCGGCCCCGTCACGGTCCCAAGCGTCGCTGTCACCGCCGCATTTCGCCCCGCAGGGCTGGAGCCCGCTGCCGCCTCCGCCGCCGCCTCCGTCCACCGCCGAAAGTTACTACTGCTCCGTGACCGATGTGGCCCCGTCGGCCCCATCGCTCCGTTGCTCACATCGCAGCCGCCGCCCTCGCCGCCGCAGCACTCACATGACGGCCAACACGACGGTACCGCACCGTACCACCTAACGTCAGCCTCCGTACACCACCCCTGCAGCCCCACCTGCACTCCTCCTCCTCCGCAGCAGCAACCGTTGCTAGCAGTTACCGAAGGTACGGCACAGAGGCGCAGACCGACCAGGGACGCCATGTCGATTCCAAGACCCAACAGGCAAGAGACCAGGTTCGGAGGACAGGCGAGAAAGCGTATCGCCGGTTGGAAACTCCCAGCTGCTGCTGCTGCTGCTGCTGCTACCGCCAGCGCCGCTGACGGCGGCGGTGGCGGTGGCGGCGCCACCGCCCCGGGTCCCCACCACGGCAGGTCCACTGCCAGAGACTCCAGGGAGGCTGGAAGGCACTGAAGCACCCGGCGTATCGCTACGGGGCAGGGCAGCGGGCTGGCGGCGGCCGGGCGAGACCGGGGAACGTGTAGTTTGCTGTGGTGGCGGCGGCGGGGGGGGTCATGTCGACCGCGGTGATGGTGGTGGTAGCAGCAGGGCGAGGTGAGAGGGCCGCGGCCATCGTTATCCTCCTCCTCATCGCTCCAGTGTCGAGCTGATCTCGCACGGAGCACTAAGCTGCTCAGGCAGCTGTGCCCTCGGAGATCGAGGACCTGCAGCAGCAGCAGCAGCAGGAGGAGGAGGAGGGGGTGCAGGAGGAGGGGATGCGGGCGCGGGTTGGGGGTGAGAAGGTCCCGGGGGCTCTCTTGCGCTCAGGTCTCCGGCCCCGTACGAGAAGGATCCAACAATTCCGGTTTCGACCTTAAAATGTACCCAGACGAAAGGCGCCCAAACGTTTTTAACTTGCAGGGGAGAGGGAACCAGAGGCTTGAGGAGGTGAAGGAATGCAGACCTGGATCGCTCTCACAAAGGTATAATAAAACCCATCGGAGGCCCCAGCCCGCCAGTGCTGTTGGGATTGGAGGTATACGGTTTGGGTGGCTCGCCCCAAGACAAACGGACACTGTGCCGGTGGGGAGAGAGCGAATGGAGTGCGATGAATTCCCACCCATGTTCGTGTTGTAAGATGGAGTGATCGGCACACGCACACAAGTGGATACACATGCTTGGGAGGTCAGAACGTGCACGAGCGCGCAGAAAGCCATAAGGGGGCGAAAGAGATGACCGTACATTGCAGTACGCCATACCTGCATACCCTTATCGTACCCATCATGCAGCAGCTCAAGGTGCAGGTGTCGCAGGCCGGTGAGGGGCGACAACGAGGATACTGTTGCCTGATTTGGCACTGCACCCTGGTGGTGAGGGGGCGCGCGCGGGTGGGTATCAGGCAGGGCTGTTGGGCAAGATAGGGAGAGGGGATGAGCGTCTGTCCTCTCGTCACGGCCATGAGCTACTGGGACACACGCACACACGGGGGGCCACCACAGACCCAACAGGGGCCTTTTTAAGGGCTTTCCAAACCTGCAAGCTCTCACCGCCAGCTGCAGCGCCGTCAGCTGCGTCAGCGCACCCAAGTAGGGGCACGTGTACGGCAGCTTCAGTCCGTACAAAGGTCCGAACCGCACCGCTAGCCGTCGGAGCGATGGCAGCTCCGCCAAGGCCGCACCCTCGTGGGCTCCTGGGGCTGGACCTTCCAGCACCAGCGTCGTTAGCGCTGGGGCCCAGTACGGCAGGCTGCAGCAAAACCGCAGCTGGTACGGCAGCGGCCAGCCGGAGAGGTGAAATGCTCGAAGGGAGGAAGGCCAGGGGGTAAGAACACATAGGCACGTTTCCGCATCGACGCGCTTCTGGAAGTCCGTCGCACTATCGGGCCGGAGGAAGAGCGCCTGAAGGTTTTTGAAGCGCCGAGCCAGCACGGCTAAGTCGCCAGAGCGATAATGGGTGAGAATCCAAGGTACGGTGAGTGTCAGGTTGAGGTGGAGCAGCAGGTGTGAATCAATGAGCTGGGATACCACGCGGCAGGACAAGCGTAGAGCTGCAATGGAGCGGGGAGTGAGGTGACGGGATATCACCGTCCACACGTTGGGCGGAAACAAATCGAAAGGACATGATGACTGAGATAATACTGAGGTTATGCTGCTGCTGTTGCCGACGATGTTTCCTTCAACACTACCGCCATGAGGAGGGATGGGTCCCGGCGCATCTTCAAAGCAGCGTTCACCTCCCATCTACATACATGTATAGAGTTCTATATGAATACGCTTTCGTGACGTATTTGTCTTTTGCGCTCCGACCGCGCCGGGCTGGGACACGACAATTCATGATGTCGCTATCAATGTGCCTTCCAAGTAGCCTTCCTTTTTCTGTAGTTCACACTCAAAATACTGTAATAAAACTGTATTGAACAGATAACCTCTTAAGGCCTGGGATTTTGTAATGCAGTAGTGCAACACCTGTGGGAGGATAGACAAAAGGAAACGCTCGCACAAGATGCTATAGTGACACGCATACATACATCAAGCGCCGTTCGAAAGTCTGTTGACAAATAAAAACAATGGAAAGTTTTATAGAGGTACCGCTGGACAGCGACTTCCCGCTCGAAAACTTGCCGTGGGGCGTGTTTGAGGCCCCAGGCCCAGCGGGTCCCCAAGTCCATGTGGGCGTGGCGCTGGGGCAGCACGTCATCTCAGCCACAGAGCTCCAGGTGAGGCGACCACCACCCAATCTTATAGGACCAGAATTAACGAGAGTCAAAGAACGGCAACAGCACCAACTCCTCACGTCTGAACCTCGATTCTTCGCTGTAGCATCGTGACAGCTTGTTGCATGCTATGCCCCTTGCATGCATGGAGGCATGGAGGCATGGAAACAGGCCTCCTCCGCTGATGGCTGGTTGCTTGATGGCCTCCGAAACCCACCGTGCGGACGCAACGGCGCACACACAATACCCCCCTTGCTCCTTAACCTCCCCTTCCACCCACATTCCCATCCTTCCCAACCCGCTACACTTTCACGCTTTCATACGTGCCTGACGATACTTAAAATTACGGCATGTTGCTGCTGTTGTTTTCGTTGCCATTGTATGGCCTGCGATGATGTTATTGGTGGCCTGCAGGCCGGGGGCTACTTCCGTGACCTGCCAGGTGCCGACCCACGGGTCTTCTCCAAGGTGGGGCCCCCCGCCCCAGCAGTCTTGATAGAGCCCTCACAGAGCGCGTCGGCGAACATCCAGTGGACGTTCGGAAACATACAACATATTACGTTTGGTATGAATATGGCTTAGAGACGTTACCTACCTCATTTATTATCTTATTGTGTGTCAATAGAGGATATAGTTATGTTCGATTGTCGTACCCGTACCCGTACACACACGCGTACAGGGCCGACTTAACGAGTTCATGGCGGCGGGCCGACCGGCGTGGAGGGCCGCGCGTTCGACGTTGCAGCGGCTGCTGAATGCTTCCGAAGGGGAGCTCCGAGACAATTCCGAATTAATGTCACGTGTCGTACACAAACAGGTAGCTCCAGGTCCACGGGCAATTCCTCTTTTACGGGTCGTACGGCAGCAGTAGCAGCATGAGCTGCGAGAATCTTCTTCCTTCTCATTTTTGTTTTATGTCAGTACCTTATTCATCAGGTGTCTCGTCAATTCTGTTTGCATTTCCGTTAATCTGTAGTTTTTTTCTAGTCGAAATCAGGTGTCTAGTAGATTTCCCCTCAAGTATAAACTGAAAATGGACGAAATGGACCCTCCTGGACGAAACGCCGCCGTGGCTAGGCGGACGTGACGATGCTACTGCCGGCGCAAATCGGCGACTACACCGACTTCTACGCCTCCCGCCAACATGCCACCAGAGTGGGCTCCATGTTCCGAGGGCCCGCCAATGCCCTCAACCCAAATTGGTACGTGCTGTTCGTATGCTCGTACTTTCGTACAGAGCCCCAAATTTTGTCGAGTAAAAAGTAAAAGAGAGGAAATCTGTATGTTATATGCGTTTGTGGGTGTATGTCTGGGGTTGCATGTTGGGAAGTTTGTGTTTGGCGGTTCTGGTTCATTGCTGCTATGCATCATTACTTTTACAATCTGGAAAGTCGTATAGTGTTATCTTTCAACGTGATGCAAAATGAACGACGGTGAACGAACTCTATTTGATCAGTGCTTGAGTAGGGGCTAACTGGTTTGTGTTTGCTTGGGCTCTGCAACAGCAGTCACCCGTGCAGCGTCCAAGTGCGCGCCACTTCCTGGCGTGCAAGAGAAACCTCTATGGAGAGATTGTGGTGTGCGCGTGTTGCGATATTCCCCAAACCCTGTGTTTGTACGAACTAAACAAAACCTCATCGGGGGGGGGTCTGGGGGGGGCGTAGCCCCCCCAGCGCCTTACAGATTCGGAATACTTTTTACCCCCCGCGACTAAAAACCTTTTCCTCCGTTCGGACTGGAAAATTGTCGGGCAAAAAATGAAAAAAAAACACTGTTGGGAACTGGCGATAAGAGGGAGGGTGAAGGGTCAGCACAGCGCGAATGGGTATTATCGGTTTGTAGATCAGTTTGCAGGCACGGGTTGGGGTTACACGCGGGTTGAGGCCCTCATAACTCCCCTCCCGGTCTCAAACTGTCATAACGCATCATGAATTTAATTGGGATCCGGAAACCCGCCACTTCCCTTAGTTGTGCCGGGCCGTCAAGTACCTGCTGACCCCCGCCCCTTCACTCCTCAGGCTGCACCTGCCGGTGGGTTATCACGGCCGCTCGTCTTCTGTCGTACCCTCGGGAGCACCTGTACGGAGGCCTAGGTGGGTTGTTGGAGTAGGGGGAGACCGAGCGTCGGTGTAACCTGGTGCGTGCGTTTCAGGCAGGTGCGTGTGTGCATGTATGTATGTGTCTCTGTCCTTTTGTATTTCCTCTTGGGTGCGCGGGAGCTTCCCCTATTCAGAGGTAGAGGAATATCAAGTGCCTCAATAATTGCTAAGGGGCGAGGCTCCTCCCACGGCGGCCTGTGCACGTGAGCGTGTGTGACTCGACTCGAAAATGTGAGTCTGTCTGTCTATCTGTCTGACCAGCTCTGCGCTTCTAGCCTCCCTCTTCCTACCTCCCGCCCTCGCTCCCCCGCTGCGTAGGGGCCAGATCCTACCACCTGCGGCCCCCGGGTCGAGCAGTGCAGTCAGCAGCTCCAGCCCTCCCCCCCGTCCCGTGGTGGCCCCCAGCACCCAGGTGGACTTTGAACTGGAGGTGGTGAGTGGGGCTGGGGAAAGAGGAGCAACGGGCGACGGAAAGAAAGGGGGAAAGAGGTGTCTAAGAAGATTGCAGGGACAAGCAGTCCCCAGTGGGGTGTGTGTGGGGTGGTGGGGTGGTGGTGGTGGTGGTGGTGCGGTCAGGGGGGCGGTCTGGGGCTTTCGTGGGTTTCGACCACCGGTGATGTCCCCGGTTGTGGTCGTGAGGACAGAAAACGGCTTGCATGGCGCCCGCCGTCCTTCAGTTATCTCTTGGGGGGGGAGAAATGGAGTGTGCGGTCGGGGGGGAGGGTTGACATGAATCCCACCCGCCCCAACGTCACGTCTTCCTCCCCGCAACCCCCGGAGCCCCCAGGCTGCCTTCATAGGCCCCGGGAATACGCTGGGTGAGGCTATCCCTGTGGAATCCGCCTGGGAGCATGTGTTCGGGTTGGTGCTGATGAACGACTGGAGTGCTCGGGACATCCAGAAATGGGAGTATGTGCCTCTGGGGCCCTTCTGCGGCAAAAATTGGGTGAGTAGGTCCTGGGTGAGCAGGTGGACCTAGCCCCATTGGGGGAAGGGGATGAAGTGCGGGAGGAAGAGGATGTGTGTGTGTGTGTGTGGCACAGAGTTTCATTCAAGGTTAAGCTTCGTTTGTCAATTGTTCGTTGTTGTTAATTTTTTTTGTTGTTACAGAGTGGGAAGGCTTCTGGGCCACTTGGACACATTGTCAATTCTACGATTCATCACACCATACAGCACCATCCACCATTACCACACTGTACTACGCCATACGAACTGCAAGTCCAAGGCGGTTGATCCTGCCTTCTAGGATCCCTCCTCATCCAGTCACCCGAACATCTGCAGAGACAGAGGGTTCAGCAATCACCAACAATCCAGCGTGCGAATCTCGATCCATCAACTGTCACTTCAACTCCACATCTCAGCAGCTAGCCATGATCTCACGCTCCTGACAATGTCGGGGGTCTCCCCAGTAATCGGACCTTAAACCGCATATGGCAGTAGTGTCAGCAGACCAGACTGTTTGTTTGTGGAGTCTTGCTGGTCGTTTAACTTTGGTTCTTTGTTTTCTCTCTCACTGGTTCCTCACTCGCTGGCTTTTTCGCATGTGATCTCCTTTCGCCGCATATCGACTTCTCGGGCGGCAAAGATGACCAGCAGGAAGTCTGGAATGTAATGAATTCTGCTGGTGTGACATCAAAACCCCTTGTTTCTCACCATCCGTCACACCTGCCGCCAGAATCGGCGACATCGCTCCCGTCTCCCCGTTCCCCTCTTCTTGTAGGCGACCCAGATCTCCCCTTGGGTGGTGACCTCCGAGGCCCTGGAGCCTTTCAAATGCCGCCCGCCTGCAAAACAGGCTGGAGATCCTGACGTACTGCCGTACCTACAAGAAGCGATGCCGTACACTTACGATGTCAACCTGGCTGTGGACATCACGCCGCCAGGCGTTGACCGGGCTACGACGGTTACACGATCCAACCTGAAACACCTGTAGGTGACCGTTGGAATACCGTTGTGCAGCCGTTGCTTGTGTGCTTGCATGTCTTTGTGTTTCCTGCAATTGTGGACTTCGTGCTTTTTTGTGTGTTGGGCTGTATGTATGTTGGTGGCCAACCTGTATAGAATGCCCCCGCTGTGCTTCATCGTAATGGTCATGGGGCTGTGACGAAACACATCGCACTTGCTAAATTTGTAGCTAACCCACTTCCACTACGAACACGAGCACAACGCCACATGCCCGCTCTCCTCCGCACCCCACCCCCACCTCGCACGCCACCTGGCAACACTCCACGCCGGTGCCTTGACCTTGGCCTCAGAGCCGGATGTCGGTGCTGGTAACGCGAAATCACGACTGTTACGCAAGGCCATGCAGTACGAATAGTCATGTGCACATACACCCCTGACATCTATCATGAAGAACGTTTGAATTGGCGCGCCCCGCTCAATCTTCCCCGCGCCGTACAGCTACTGGTCCTTCGCCCAAATGATCGCACACCACACGGTTGGCGGTTGCAATCTGCGACCTGGAGATCTGTTGGGCTCCGGAACCATCAGCGGCGACGAGGCCGACTCCAGCGGGTGTTTGTTGGAGCTGACACATGCTAGCAGGGACGAGATCGTACTGTACGGCGGCTTTCGCAATGGTCACGACGGTAGCGGTGTGTGTAAGGCAAGCGCCATGGGGGGTGCTGGCGGCGGTGATGAGGAAGGCGACGAGGTGGAAAAAGGGGCGGAGGTTACGGAGGCGAGTACGGGTGTCGTACGGCGACGGTACTTGGAGGACGGTGATGTTGTGACGCTGCGGGGCTGGTGTGGTGGTGATGGCGTTCCGTGCCGCCGAATCGGCTTCGGACGTTGCAGTGGCGAGCTACTGCCGTGCCAGCCGTAGTGTAATGCCGCAAAGAGAGGTACGAACGGCACGATTGCAGTCTACAAAGTTTGCTCTATGCGGATAAAGATGATGAGCCCTATGTTCGTTGGTTTCAGAAGTAGGCTTTGGTTCAGATGCCCTCCTTTGCTCTCTCGAATCCGCAAGCACAGCGAGTAAACGGGTTTAACGAAGCTGAGCACTGGGTTCTTGAAGGACGTATGCCGTGGTGTTTGTCGGTGGCGGGTGGCGAGCAACCTTTGCTGCCTCATTTGCTATGCAGGATGGCAGATGGCCGCATTCACATGCAGCTGGGGCGGGGTCTGTGAACTCGCCCGGAATGCGGGGCTCACGCTGTTACCCTCGTGTATCCCAGCCCACAATTTGGGTGGCGAGTGCAGGTAGTTGTGCATATGCAGCAGAGTGCCAACATCTGGGCTATGCCATAATCTCAAATGCAATCAGGGCTTCTTTTGGACGGAGATGCCTTTATCGCTCAAGCCGCTCGTAGATGGGGTTCGCAGTGTTGGCGAGGAAGTTCCGGTGAAAGTCCCTGTGCTTGGTTGTCGTCCATGTCCAGGGCTGCCTCGACGGTAACGGCCACAGGGCGGGGCCGGGCCGTGGAGGGTAGTGGCAGCGATAGTCGTGGCTGTCGCAATAGCTACCTGTTTGGCTAACCGCTGGTGTATTCAACAATATGCACCGAAGCGAACCTTTGTATTCAACAGTAAGGGTTCAGAAGTGCAGTACTTTAGGATTTCCTCTGGCCCAGAGGTATTAATTGTCCCCCTAGGGATGTTATTTGTCTGCAAAAGGCTTCATACACACGTCAGCCAATTTGTCAGACAAGGAAACTTCATGCATAATAATGCGACACAGCCTCGATTCGTAAAGTGATTTCAGAACCACCAGGGCGCTTAAGACTCGACGCAACCCCAGGGTCCCCAAGACCCGGGTAACAGTTATGCAAGCTAAATTGCGGCATCCTCGCGATTTTGTCTTGCGACAATGTAAGCGGTTCAAGGACTATTGGTTAACCTTGTATAATATCCATGCCGATGACGATGCGGCCGGTCTCCTCAAGCCAAAGCGTCGCCGGCGGGGAACTTAATACTGCTCCAACGTTCACAGACCTCAACAAGTGTACCATGATTTTACGGATCATCCGTCATCCATCATGGTTTAAAATATTATATACTGTTATATACAAAATATTATATACATTCGGAAAGCTGTCAAGGCTCTGGCTAAATTCTTCATTGCAGGAGAAATGCAACCAGATGACCAGGTGAGTATGATTTTGTTGCAGTACAATTGAAAAGTAGCGGTACGTCGCTGCCGTATACAAGGCACAGGAGGCAGGAGGTTGCCGCACGCTGCTTGTTAATCTTGATGATTGGTGGGGCATCCGGTTCATAGTGTTTTCGCTGCAGTAGAAAGATTGCAAATAAGAGGCGGCCCTTGGAGAAATCCTGCCACCAAGGTTTTTATCCACAGTGTTTTCTAATTGTTTCCTTGACTGGCATTGAGCATTGTTACTGCGTTATTAAGGAATTATGTCTTACGACGAATACGAGTACCTTGAGCGCCAGCTGGATGGGGAGGTCAGCCACGTCCCAGATGCAAAAGCAGCGCGGAGCAAGTCAGTGGGCGGCACAGCAAGTGATGATGACAACAACCGAAGGCGCTGCTCCAGGTCCAGGTCTAGGTCCAGGCGCAGGCATCACAAGTCATCGCGGTCGCGGTCGCGGTCACGGTCGCGTGACCGTCGCCGCCGTTCAAGGTCCCGTTCACGAGATCGATCACGGCCATATTCGGACCATTATCGCTCTTCTCAGCGCTCGCTATCTCGCAGGTATGTGAAGAGTTGCTAGAATGTGCTATTCTTGTGTTTGTTGCTTTGTTTATGGTGTTCTTTTGTTGGATCTCAAGTCGCCTTAATGTTCCACGTTAGTCTTACCTTCAACGTGACCTGCAGGCGGTCGCTGACGCCCCCTTCAGAGCGGCTGGCTCGTGAAAAAGAACGCGAACTGAGGGAGCTGGAACGTGCTACCCGGACCGTCTTCGCGTATAACCTAAGCTTGCGCGCGGACGAGCGTGACATATTTGAGTTTTTTTCCAAGGTATGCTCAGAGGACCCTTAGCCTGCACCGCTAATCCCTTGGTCTCTCCTGAGACAGCCATTATTCTGCTTTCCCTCTTACAATTTCCAGTCTGTTGTATGCCCTGGTGCAATGCCTGGTGCAAGTGTAGAGGAAGTGGAGACTTGTTCCTCCCCTCTCGCTCTCTTTCCTGCAGGTCGGCCGCGTAGTAGACATCAGGCTCATCACTGACAAAAACACCAAGAAGTCGCGAGGCCTTGCGTATGTGGAGTTTAGCAAAGTCGAAGAGGTTATTTCTGCGGTCGCTCTCACGGGCAACATCCTGAAGGGGCAGCCCGTTATGGTGAAGGTGTGTCCAGGGTTGTTCTCTCTTGTCTGTATGAACTGCTCATGTCTTCGTTTCACGATATGCGATACCCTGTTTTGCGGAGGATTTAGAAGTGATAGCTGGAATTATTTTGTAGATGCATAATATTTTGACGACTGTCGCACTTGTGATACACATTCGGTGGTGCTTCAGGGAAGTCATACACATACCCCTGCTACGAGCATTGGCGCGCCTAGTAGTCATTAATCCATTAATCGGTGAACAGGAACGTGCTGCCTCTACGAGATGTCTGTTCCGGTACGCATGGTTACCACTTAACCTCCTAGCACAAGAATGGCGGCAGTCGCCAGAAAGCTCAGCTCCGAATCCCAACTGTATGGCGTCTGGCATATTCGTGACGAAGATCTTGTTGTTAGGCAAGAGATCACCCCAGGAGCTTTTCCTCCTGTTACACAATTGGTGTCAAACAAGTTGCGTGTTACAAACGAATTGTCAAAGTACCGTTTTTCTCACTTGCAAACCGGGGGTGGTGGTGACAACGCTGCTACTCACTGCTCTACCGAAAATGCTCTGGTGCTGCTCCTGTTCACAGCTCCTCTGCTTATCTTAGCTAAGCCCTGAACCTGGTTGCCCGTCTTGTTGGCGCTCTTCCTGGGGCAGGCATCGGAGGCCGAAAAGAACATGGCTTGGGAGGCAGCTCAGCAGCAGAAGCACTCCGCCCAGGCTGCGACGCATCAACTTCTGAGCTCCCTGGCTTCATCTACTGGGTCTGGTGGTAAGGGGACAAATCAGGTGGCTTTAGCGGGCAACGGGCCCTGCTGGCTGCAGGTCAGCAATCTTGTGAAGGAGCTTGGAGAGGCGGAGGTCCAGCAGCTTTTTGCTCCTTTTGGCAAGCTTGAAGCAGTGCAGTTGCGCAGGGATGCTACTGGTCGGAGCACAGGTATCGCCTACCTCAAGTTTGGGGCAATGGACGCTGCTGCAGGGGCCATGGCTCACTGGCACGGTCGCAAGCTAGTGGATTCACATCTGACCGTCATAGCAACGGCTCCGCCTACCCCAGAAATGTTGGCGCCGGCTCTTCCAGCGGTTCCTGTCTTGCCGGGCTTGTTGCCCGATGTGATGCCGTCTTTGGCGATGTTGAATGCAGTCGGAGCTGTAGCTCCCGGTTTGGTAGCAGCGCCGACAGCGACAGCAATTGCTCCAACCCCAGGCATGGCCGCTGCCACCGCAACACAGGCCGCTGTGGTCACCACTGGAGAGCTTGACGAAGATAATGAGGGCGGCGGCATCAAGATGAGCGCACAAGGGCGTGTCGCGTTAATGACGAAATTGGCGGGCTCGGCCGGGCTCCCTGCACCCCCAACTAGTGTACTTCCTGCAGGCGTGACCAACGCTGTGGCCCATGCAGTACTGTCTGTTGATCCCGTGCTTCTCATGCAGCAGGGTGTGCTTGGTCCGAGCTCGCCAATAGCCACGCCATGCTTGCTTTTGAAAAACATGTTTGATGCAGCCGCATCAGCCGGTGACGCAGCAGCACAGAATGCAGCAGCGTCCGTCCTTGCTGCCGAGGTCGAAGTTGATGTTCGCGAGGAATGTTCGAGGTTTGGCGAGCTCCTGCATGTGTGGGTAGATGCTAAGAGTAAGGTATGTCGCGACCCAGTTGGCAGCATTGCCGCAAAAGCAGAAAGTAGTGTGTCGCAAGTTTTGCTTTTGCTTCATTGCATAGATGTTGTTACATGGCTTAACTGTTGTCATGGCGTCTGTGTGTGGAGGAATGCAACATACTACACATGTTGCAATCGATTGAAACATCCAAGAGGCTCTTCAGTGGCTGGGTGGCTCAACCAACTAAACCCGGCATAATGCCTCTGCCATCTTTTTGACTGCCTTGCCTTCTATAATTTCGAATTGATTTGCTGCCCCTAACAACAGGGCTTTGTCTACCTGCGCTTTGCGACAACCCAATCAGCAGAGGCAGCGCATCGAGCCCTGCACGGTCGCTGGTACAGTGGCCGGCAAATTCTGGCGGAGTACCAGTTCATGCCATTGTACAACAGCCACTTCAAGCTGCAAGCCAAGTGACCGGGGCCAAGTGTGGGATGCTTTCTGCTGACTAGCTCTTCAATCGTCCAACAATGACAAGCCACTGATTTGCAGGCTTGTGGGCTCTTGGCGTCCAGCTTCTCCTGGCCTGTGTAAGCCTAGAAATGCTCAGCCTGGCACCACTGAAACGTTGGCGGTGACCATGTGCTGAGTGTCGCTGCTGGATTGCTGCGTTTTTGTGTATGCAAGGGAATCGGCAATTTGTTCCTTGGAATTGTTCTTTGCCAGGTACACATTCTGCCAAACCCGTTGGCCCTGCATAGGTAATGAGTTACAAAACCATTTTGGTCATCCTAATGCGCTAATGCGCTTTACCAAGGTAAACTAAGGTATTGAAAGCGGTGCGGTTGTGTTGGTTAACCATGTAGGATACGGGTTGTATGTCTAGTCCGGAAGGCACCAGTAACCGTTCTGCGCTGCTCCACAGGCAGTCAACATGCGCGGTGCTGGAGGTATGTTCTAAGGTGAGAAGGTCCTGACCCAGGGGCCGTAGGGTTCCATGGTAGCATGCTCAGCTTCTTCTTGGTATGGAAGGCCAGGCAAGTGTGGATCGGGTGCGACAAGGGTTGACTCACAACTTTCCGAAGTACTCGAGGCTTTGCAGGTAGCCAAGGCACGTGATGCTCAAGCTGCTCCTCATATTGGTATGCATGTCAGGTTTGCACTGATGTTCAGCGCAGAAAATGGTGGTTGCTAGCAGGAGGAACGTATTTGATTTTGTTTTTTTGTTCTTACAGCTGTGTGTACTGATGAGTATATTGATTTAAGATTTGTGTTTTGGGGAACAGGCGGATGACTGTCGCTTTTGGTGGTCTGCAACTGTGTTGGTGCGTGCAAGTTTCGTTGCAGGCGCGGAGAGTTATTGCTCTCCGCTTGGTTCAAGCTTTCTCTTTGTAATTATCTCGCCAAATCTTCTACCTTACCCAGTGATATTTAAGAGGAAAACTTCGAAACGGCTGGTGCGATTTCGTTACGTTCGGTCAAATATTGGCATACTGGATAGCTCTCGTCCGACTGGAGCATCACCTCTGTCAAAGTTAATCAAATACCGGATCCGCGCGTTGGCCAAGAACAGGTAAAACATTGTTAGTTGCCGTATATCTCTCTTTACCCTTTGAGACCTGGACCATACACCTCGTGTCCTCCTACTTCCGACCTTATGGTGAGCCCCTGTGAGATTTCAATATGGACCTGTGACATGGAATCCGGTCTGCCGCCTTATGAACTTTAAACTGCGCTTTAGAAGGAAAGCGTCACACACGCTTAAGTAGCCACAGTCGCCCATCCACTCAAATCATCCAGCCCGGTGGCCCGATCCATCGTCGATATAGCCAGATTTCGTAACGCAGTCTCATAAACCTCCGCTTCGTCATCCAGAACCAAGAACACCCGCGCCAGTAGCGGAAGCGAAGGTGGTCGCACCGCGGCGCACCCAATCCTAGCCGTCATGGCCAGGCGCAGCTGCGGGAAAAAGAGAACGGGCGGTGCAATACTGGAGGTGCTTCCTCTACACATGGACATCGATACGATGATGGCGGATCTTGACAGGTATTTATGACATGCCTAGAACGGCCAGCGGGGAGTAGTGAAGGAGGAGGCGGAGGATGGGCAGGTGAACGAGGCGCAGCGGGCTTTCCCTTCCCATCCCGGCCCCTGAAACCATTCAGTCGGATGGGCCATTCGTTGCTTAAGCCTCAGACCACCGTCCTCCTCTTCGCCCAGCGCTTGTGCGCCTGGCTTTGATATCACAGAAGTTTACTGCCCACCACCCACTGCCTACTACATCTTTCCAACGGACAATCCAGACTTAATGAAGCTGCAAAATCTTTCAGGTCCCGTGCCAGCATAGACAGATTCTCGGGGCATGTAGGGTTGTTTGGCATTGCACACTTTCGCTGCATCTGAGCTCCCTGTAACCCCTTTCACAAACCCCGTACCTCACTGAGCACGGGCACCATGAGTTGCAGCAGACGTGGCGCCGTGCACCTTGCGCCACTACTGCTGCTGCTTCTCCTGGTAGGCATCATGCGGACAGCCCTGCGAAGAAGTGCATTCATCCGAGGATAACACAGGAGGGATACATGCCAGGCTAGGCAAGTGGGCAGCGGGAGGTTGGAGATTGGCATTGCCACACGCGAAAGTGAGGAGGTATGTCTTCAGGCAGAGGCGGATCTCTAAAGTACTTCATGGTATACAGTACGGCGGACGGAGTGAAGTCGCGGTGTTCTTGTGGAAGACGCAGAAGGAAAGGGTTTCCTCGTTGTGCAGCGGCGAACAGCGAACCAGAGGGAAAGCATAAGCCGTGCGGGTAGAGCAGCATTATCTTGAAATCGAGGATGGTGTACATTTCCTGATGGGTACCAGCCATGAACTGCCAGCAGCCGTAAAACCACACACACACACACACACACTGACCTGCGTCCTCGCAGCCCCACGACCGGCAGCAGCAGGACCTGCATTCGAGGAGCGACGGCTGGCAGCCGCGATATGACCTCCCGCAGCCGCACCGACATATGTGCATCACTAGCACCACCGCCGCTGCTGCTGCCATTGTGATCGCCATCCATCTGCTCCCCAACCACCGCCCGCTGCAGCTCTCGTACTAGCACCTGCACCGCCACCCCATTCGACGCCGCTGACACACCCTCCGGCGCAGGCCCCCCTGGGTGCGTTGCCCGAACCGTTGAAGCGCCAGTGTCGCGCCGCGCGGAATGAGCCGACGCAGAGGCGGTGCCGCCAGACTGCTCAGCAGTCTGAGGACATGTCGCGCCCAGCTCCACGCCGGCGGGAAATTGCAGGTGCCCTGAAGGTTTGGAGCCACGGGGTATGTATGCACAGAAGGTGAAAAAAGATAGAAGAGGCATTCATGTCGCATAGCTCTTTTTATGGCACAGCGCAGCATGATGGAGGCCGCCACACAGCAGCATCCCCTTACGTGGCATCCTCCCAGCCAACGCATCAAACTGGTTACCTCGATGCGCAAGATGGCGCAACATAACGGCTGCGAGCATGGAACCATGTTCGCCTTCTACGGGACGCAATAAAGAACGCGATGAAGGAAGGTGAAGCAACGAGTGTACATAAGGAAAAGGCTGCCAGTCACGCCTTACGCCCGCGGAAACCAGCAACATCAGATAGCGAAACGGGACCCGCTGCGCACACCAAGAGACATGAACGGAACATGACTTCATCCTCTACGCTGCACCACAGCCCCGGCCCGCTGGAACGCCGGAAACCGAACACCCCCCTCCACCCCCCTCCGGGCGCCTCCACACTGCGGATCGGAGCGAAGTACGGATCACACAGTATTGGGAATTACAGCGGGCTGCCCAGCCAACGACCGGAGATCCAATCACCTCCTGTGTCGCCACCAACACCTCCACCCGTTCCTTCTCCTTCTCCTCCGTCCCCGTCCCCGTCGGCACCGCCATGACCCAGAGCTCCGGGGATTCGTGCGGGTGACTGCGGCGGCAGCAGTCCCGCCAGATCCACAACCTGAATCCCCACAGCCTGCAGCGACGCCAGGTCGTACGGCACTCCAGCAGCTGCCAGCTTCCGCCGGCTGCCCACGCTGAACGCCGTCACGCAGCGCAGCCGCTCTTGTCCCGCCGCCGCAAGTGCACGGACCCGTGCAGACAGAACCGCCGCCAGAGCCGTCCAGTCCGTCGCTCCTTCCGCGGCTTCCGCTGCTGGTGCTGCTACAGCGGCACCTCGTGACCGCTGCTGCTGCTGCCTCCTCGCGGGCGGCGCCATGGATCCGGGATCCAGTAAGGCGCGGACTGCCTCAGGTCGGCACCACACCTCCGGTATGTGCAGAGCTTGGGGCTGAATATCCTGAGGCTGGATTTGGCTTTGTGGCTGAGGGCACCCGGGCGGCTGTGCATCGGCGTGAAACATGCACTGCTGATAACGATGGTGGTGGTGACGGCGGTTGTATTGCTGTGTCCAATGAGGGCGCCGGGGAGGTGCGGGAAAGGACAGCCAGGCAATGGGCTCTCGACTGCCGCTGTGGGCCACCACCGTGACCACGTGAGACGGCCGACAGGGAATGGAGGGGGCGCCACTCGGCGGGGTCGCGGCTGCGGCCCTTGCCGCTGGTGCTGCCGGTGATGACGACGACGATGGCGACGACGGCCACGATGAGGATGAGGAGCAGCGGACTGTTACACCGCCGATGTGAATGTCTGTGACGTGACAGTTGGGTACAAGAAGGGTAGCAGTGGGGCGGGGCGATGGTGGCCGCTCTTCCAGCCTATTCATCGCCATTCTGTAGATTCGTTGCTACGCCCGATCCAATGATGGCGGACAGCAGCCCAAGCGGGGCCCATCCCAGGAGAAGAAAGGTAGGGAGGACGCAGTGTGATGCACTGCATTGCCGAGAATGTGCTGTACGACGCCGTAGATACTTATCATTACGGGCAAAGACATGTAGACGAACTAGCGCACTACGAAATACACCTACGCAGTGCACCGGTCACACGAAATCGCCCGCGAAATTCCACCACATACGCACACCCTTAGGCCACACATTGGACACAATATATAAAGCACACACCGGAACCGTCACAGACGCGGAGGCCGTAGAATTCCTCATCCGTCAAGCTGAATGGATTTATACGGACATGAGCAGCCGTCGCTTCCCCTGTCGCTGCCGCCGCTGCCGCCACAGTCCGCGGCGGCCCCGATGCCATCAGGCAGACGGCACCGCGCGGCGGCGGCAATTGAGTCGTTAGCCGCCGCGCAGCCTGGGAGTCACCTTGCTGTGGCGATGCTGGCTGCAGCTGCGGCGGAGCCAATGTGATGGTGTGGCTTGGCGACAAGCGGGCCAGTCTGAGGCAGTGCTGGTGGTGCCAGAAAGAAAGTCGGCCGTGGCACCGCAACGCCTCGCGGAAAGGGCCCCGCGGGTCCACACGGCCAACGCCGCCGACGCCGCCATCGCTACCGTCAGTGCCGTCAGACGCCCTGGAGAGCTGGGAAGGCGCGAAGGCGGCGGCGGTGGCAAGGGCGCAAGCCGAGGGATCAACGCGGGAGGAAGGAGCGGCTTCATCAGCTGCTGCATATCGGCACTGTTGCAGCTGCAGCTGCGGCTGCGGTGATGATGTCGGTGATGTCGGTGGTAGCTCCCAGAAACGCGTCAACAGGTCCCTCCACAGGTTGACGACGCCGTCGAGGCGCCGAGTGGCTGCATTGCTGCTCAGTGACAGCCGCAGCACCGACAAGGCTACAATCCAACAGCGGGGGCCGGGCCCCGGGAAGAAGGGCGCCCGGGTGCATGACATGACACGAGGATGAATGGCAAGGGTGGAGACCTCAAGCAAGGGCAAAGCTGAAGGGATAACGCAAACACGGTACGCAAAATTTTTTTCGAACGCGGGTGATACCAGATACACTGCTTAGGCATTTGCGCGTATGATCGGGTTGCCAGGGCCGGGTGGAAGAAAGGGGCCCCCGAAGGCCCCAAGGAGATGCATGGCAGGTACGATGTTGGGGGTGCGTCGTAGGCATGCGTCATCAGGTAGGAATGCATGCGTCATGGTTATGCTAGGTGCCACACAGATTTTGGCTGGGTTAACTCATCCATGGAGAGCAGCGAGATTTAGCTGTGTACTCCGTTTCGTGCACAAGATGCACACCAGAGAGACGATCAACGGGTCCTCAAAATTCTTGCCCCACCCTCACCCCCTTCCGCCCCACTCCACCTCCACCATTTTGGAGCCCGAAACCCATGTGGCCTGTAACTGTGAAATGGTTGCATGGCCACGTACCGTCCAATCGCTGCACTATAGACAGCAAATCTCTGTCCGGGAGCTCCAGTAAGGGGCTGTGGGCCGCAGGTTTGTCCACCATGGATTCCGATGCTGTTTAAGACGAGACAGGCTGAGGTCCCCGGGGACTCGCAGGCCTGGAGCTGGCGGCTATAGATACGGGGCTGCTGTTGACCTCGGGGTCCGATGTGGGGACACGGTCAACGTGGGTGATGGTGGTGGCATCAGGGCTGCGCTGCTCTCGATTTGCTAGCTGCAGCTTGCGCTTGCGCTCGTTTTTGCACCTATCGCTGCAGCACTTCACCTCGTCCCAGCAATTTTCCCACCTGCAGTCATTATCCCAGGGCTTTCATGGTTGTCCAAGACCTACTCTTTATGAGTAAGGTCTTACACTTTGCGCCACGTGAATGGCCGCTGGCAGGTTGCACAAATCTTGCTCGGCAGGTTTTCCTTCTTAACGCCGCGCGGCATGCTCTGACCTTGCCAACCGCCGCTACTAGCAAGGACAGGACAGAGAACTAGCTGAATGAAAAGTACAAAATAGGCACAGAATAAAAAAGAAAGCCTCTTTACATGGCGCAGCTCTACGGTCCCAACTCGTAGCTGTGGCCACACATCCACCTGAACACGCCCAGCTGGTATCCAATTCAGCAAGTTGAGGCCACAATCTGTTATTTCAACATCAATCCTTTCTCCGTTTTGTTGTAGAAGGGATTGAAAAGTTACGGCGCATCACATCGCCCGGCGCAGCACACGACGCATCAACATCTCATATGGATCATATGCAAGGAACAACGCAACTATCCAATCTGGGTTGGGGGAAGCACTCTAACAATGCTTGGTTTACGACGGACAGACGGAGCCTTTCAGTGTCGAGTCAACCCCTAACGAACTGTGACCGTTGGATGCAAAACTTTAAACTATAAGCTTAAGTACACGATAAAAAAATAAATGATAAACATTTTAGGATAGACCCGATCAGTGAAGCATTCAGTCGCGCAGATGAGCATGCGTAAACCCTTCACCACCAGGGCCTTCCAGCCGTCTTATCCCGACAACCCACCATCATCGCCTCTTCCGCAACCCACAAAACTAACCCTTCCGCATGCTGCTCGGCATACCCCCATTCCCCAAACCTGACCACCACTCTTCCAACGGCCCCGCCCCAAACACCGCCAGCCAAGCGTCCATTCGCTCTGTCGCCGCCTTCGACACCGCCTCTAACGTTCCAGGAGCCAGCGCATCCCGCGGTCCACCGCCACCTCTCTCCTCGCTGTTGTCAGCAGGGTCCACAAGGCCACCAGCACCTCCTTCTTGCCGCCGCAGCTCCTGGCCCCACAAGCTCCCCAGCAGCCCCAACACATCCACTTGAGGCGGCAGCTGACGTGGCCGCGGCCTCAGACCCTGCCGTCCCGAAGCTTGGAGCTGTGGTTGACGCTGCGGCTGAAGTTGCGGCCGCTGCGGTGGCGGCGGTGGGCCTGGACCGGAGGTGGTTGCCGCCGCAGCAGTGACAGTAGCAGCTGCAGCAGCGGTGGCCACGGACGGCGGCGGCAGTGGTGGTAATTTTCTGAACGCAGCTCCTTCCTTAGCCATGCCGCCGCCTCGGTCGACAGCGGCCGCAGCCACCGCTACAGTAGCCGCAGCAGCATTCTCTGTGTCTCCGCGCCCCTCCCCCCCTCGGTCCAGCCCCAGCCCCAGCTCCATCCCCGGCACCGTCTTGTTGCCCGTGGCCCCTGCGGCCGCTGCCGCCACCGCAGCCCCGTCAACACCCTCAGCCCCAGTCGTGTGGCCTGCGCGGTCCCACGAGCGATGGCCTTCACGGACGAGCCCCGCGCTGGCATTGACCCTGCGGCGCTTGGAGGGGCCCCCCGCCAAGTCCCCGTCTATTTGAGAGCTAGCCATTAGTGGCTGCGCTGCCGCTGCTGCCGCTTCGCCGCTCAACAACGAGGACGTCATTGGCAAGGGCAAAGGCGCTCTGTCGGCGTTTCCCGCCAGTGTACAATTCTGCACTCCAGGCCGTACTGGCGTCTGCGGTCCTGCAGCACCAGCTCCAAAATAACGGCTGGAGCCCTTAGGACTGCCCTCCACCGGCCCTACAGCCGCCGCTGCCACCCCCACCGCCTCCGGTTCAGCTCCCGCCAGCGGCACCGCCACCGTCGCCGGCATTCCACCTCCATCACCAGACTGCGGCGGCGGGCGCTGGTTGATCCCACCCTCCACTCGGAGAAGTTGCAACATATGCCCGGCGACGGTGGCCGACGCCGCAGCGGCTGACGTCCCGTACGGCACAAAAGAGTGCGCCGTCAGCGTGGCCTTGAGGGTGGGGGACGAGATGTCAGCAGGGAGAAGGCTCCGGAGGGTCCACTGCCCCTAGGCCTCCATTTACTACTAGTGCTCCCTCCCTCGTCCACCCGTCACGTCGCAACCTGTTTGTTTGGTACTCCGGACGTATCCGCACTTGCCTCCCTTGCTTCCTCTCGCATCTTGCATATGCTTTTCTACCATCCGCACTAACCGCGTAATGCACCAGCATCAGGGAATCTCAACACCCTCCCAAGCAGCACCCACTCCTTCCAACCCGAAACCCCGTACCGACCTTCACTAGCGGCAGGGAGACACCAGCTCCGGAACCCGCAGCCGCCGGTGCCGCTGCGGTCATCCCGGGGCCCGTGTCCTCGCCCGCCGCCGCCTGCTGCGGCTGCTGCTGCTGCTGCGGTGCTGTTCCCAAGGCTTCCCGGCACAATTCCAATGCTGCCGCGGCCACAGCCTCCATTAACGGGCTGATCGATGGAGGGACGGACGAAGAGGAGGATGCGGATGAAGGTGAGGGGGAGGACGGGTAGAAGGAAAACATTTCCCAAGCAAGGCGTGGAGCCCTCGTTCGTGTGCCCCATTCTCTCAGTTCCCCCCTGGACCGGTGCTGGCATCCTTTGAGTAGTTCCGCCTCATCGGCGCTAGACGTGTACTCCTAGTGAATGGATAGACCGGCGGCAGCTATTCTCAGGAAAGCAGTAACACGGGTAGACGACCGACATTGTCCCCCCCATATGGATCTGGTCTCAAGGGTTTTGTTGCCCCTAAACCCTAATCTGGATACGATAAACTGCTATACTCGTACCTCAGGCTCCGGGCCCAGTCAGAAACAGCAGTGGCGGCCGAATTGGCAGCATCTGTCGCAACACCGCAACCGCTGCCGTCGCCGCCTTCACTGCTGCCGGGACTGCTACTACCTCCAGCGGCCCCATCGACCGCAGAGAAGGTGACGGGTGTGAGCAGGGCGGGGGATGGAAAGGTGCATGTCTTGGAGGCGGTCCAGCCGCCGAACCCCGACCCATGGGTCACCAGCTGCGCGGTGAGCTTACCCGGCCAGCGCTGCTGCTGGTACCTACAGAGACATGGATGCGTGCGGGGAAAAGATGCGATGGGGAAAAGGCGGGAGATGAGGAGGAGGATCCGGAGGGGCTGAGAGGGATTAAGGAGCCCCCTGGACCTGGAGGGGGAGGGGGAGGGGGAGGAGGAGGAGGAAAACCGAGTAGTAGATCTCTCACTTCCCGGTCAAACGGGCCTAATTTTTGACCACATTTTGTACTCAGGTAGCCCTAATGGCATGGGTTTGGTGCGTCTCTTGCCGCCCTCCCTCCCGATACAGGCCCTCCGCTTCCCGCAACTTCATCCTCCCAACAAACCCCCCACTCCCAATCCCTCTTTCATCACCCACATGTCCAGCAGCACTCGCCCCACCAGGTCGATCCCCATGGGTCGAACCAATGCACACAGCCGCCTCCACCCCTCAGATGTGCCGGGAAGCAGCGGTACGGGCTGTACATACGTAGCTCCTGACTGACCCGGGCGATTTCCGGACGGGGGGTGGGGCCCCCCCCGCTGGACAGCCGAGTGATGAGGTACGGCGGTGGGGCACGGCGCGGAGTTAGGTGAGGGGGCGGGGGGGATCTGAGGCCCCACTGGCGTCAGGGTCACATGGACCTGTGTGTGTGTGTGAGTGAAGCGGGGGGAGAAGGGGGGGAAGAAGGGCGCCACGGGTTGAAGGTGAGGTGAGGGGGAGACAAGCCCGGGGAAGGAGGGAAAACATGGAGAGGGTAAAGGGAGGAGGGGTTGGGGAGGTGCGGGCCTGAGCTAGGTGCGTGGGTGGGTGGGTGAGTGGGTGTTGCAGGGTGGATCTGGGGGTACGAGGGGTATATGACAGAGCCCCGAGGAAGGGAAGTTAGGACACGCGGTTTTGAGTTTTGTATGGTACCCAAAGGGGAGTCGCTGCTTTACCTGGCTAACCTACGCGCCCCTGCTTCGCGTCTCTCTCTCCCTCCATCTCTCTCTCTCTCTCTCTCTCTCTCTCTCTCTCTGTCTCTCTCTGTCTCTCTCTCTCTCTCTGTCTCTCTCTGTCTCTCTCTCTGTCTCTCTGTCTCTCTCTCTCTCTCTCTCTCTCTCTCTCTCTGTCTCTCTCTGTCTCTCTCTGTCTCTCTCTGTCTCTCTCTGTCTCTCTCTCTCTCTCTCTCTCTCTCTCTGTCTCTCTCTCTGTCTCTCTCTCTCTCTGCCTCTCTCTGTCTCTCTCTCTCCCTCTCCCTCCATCTCTCTCCATTCCCCCCCTACACACATACACACATACATCGCACCTGGAGCGCCCGGGGCGGGCCCCTCCCCTTCCCTCTCTTCCCCTCCCTCTCATGCAGCGGTTTCTGCTGACAGTCCTGGTCCTGGTCCTGCCGCTTCTGAAAAGCTGTTCCCCCTTCTTCCTCCTCGTATTCGTCCTCCTCCCCTCCCCCCAGGCCCAGTGTCCGCAGTCCGGCGGGTTTAGCCAGCCGGGACGCCCTCCTGGCCAGTCGCTTGCTGCGGGAGATGCCCACCTTTGAGAAGGGGAAGTAGGGGGAGAGGCGAGTGTAAGGCGGGGCCCGCTCTGTGGATTGTGGACACAACTGCACATGTGGGCGGGAGGGACTGAAACTGGAGTAGCGGAGCCTTAGGGGATGTCGTCGTTGAAGCAGCATTTGGGTCGGTCAGCCAGCTAGCTGGCTAGGAAGCTAGCTGGCGAGCTGCATAGACACCGGATCAGGGCACCGACCGCTACGTGCATACCAGAACTGGTGTCTTTCGAAGGTGGCGGTGCTTCCATCGGATCGCTCCTCCTCAATTACCTAAACCCAAGTTCACGCGAGTGGTCAAAGCCACACATATACAAGGCTCATCTAAGTCAACCAGATTGTACACATACGACCATAACGGCATACACACATACAATCATACACACGTACATGGAGACATGCTGTCCCAGGTGACGTGCCTTCCCAGCGCATCCCCTCCAAAAATACCTCCCTTCACCGCTTCGCAAAAATACCTCCTCCGCTCACCGCCACATGTAACCCTAGCTGCGACCAGGTCTCCCGCCGAATCCGCTCCCCCAGCTGAACTGCAGCACTGACCCATGGGTCGTCGCGGGTAGGACCACCACCCGCAATGGTAGCCGCATCTGTCTCCTTGTCAACGCCCACGCCCTTCTCTGCATGGGCCTCCTCCACGTCCGCAGCTACGTCCCGTGAGGCCGGTGTTGGCCCCGCGCGCATCAAGATAAAAGCTTCATCCAGCGCACATCGCTCCAAGAAGCAGCACGGGGACAGCAGACTGCGGAGGAGCCTGTGAGAGACGTGAGACGTGCAGAGTGCATGTATGTGTGTGTGCGGGCGTGTGTGCTCCAACCGACCCGCTTGCGATACTCAGTCCGATCGTTCTGACTCGTCCAGACGGTGACGTACTGCACGGCGTACAAGGTCCGTTCTGGCACGATGTCCCAAACGGAAGCAAACACATCTGTGTTTTCATGTAATGCGAAGCATCGTGTAGACGTGTAAGACGTGTAATACCCACTACGGGTGTGTTTCTGAAGGCCTCCCCAAAAGACATAGACACTGGCACATTGACATGCACACTGCTACACAACGAAGGCATGCGCACGGAGATAACGTGATAAGGACATGCACTCACCTCATGAGCGTGGCGGAGGCTTCCCGGTACGGCCTGTAGGACGGATACGTGCCATCCTCGCAGTAAACATCTACGACATGGCCGCCGACGGCCGTCAAGAGGCGTCGCGCCTGCAGGGCCAAAGTGTCGACAACGGCACGCGAGCGGATTTTTGTAAATGTCTTTTTGCAGTTGCGCCATACAACGTTTTGCCCACTTATGTCGTACGTACCGTACATTCCTACTAGGATTAGAGCATGCTCTCAAACTGGAGACCAAGGCATCACCTAATTGGACATGACAGCATCCGCCGCATAGCAACCAGTCAGCATCGCACTCCTCTCCTTTCTTCCCGTTTGCAGCACCCGTGATCCAACTAACCCATGCACCCGCTTGCTCTTGCCTCATCTGGCGCCATTTGCCTCCGCACACCGGCTTGCCGGGCGTCGTGGTTGACCGAGATAATGTCTCCGTGCTGTTGAACCGCCAGGGGAACGCCGCGCAGTGCGCCATTGGCGAGAGCCTCCACCTGGATGCGATTCGCGTGAATATATGTGTTTCTTTCAACAAGCGGCAAGTTCATTAAGCGTGGGCACTTTGGAAGGCAGGCCTGAGACAGTGCGGTACTGTCATACATAATTCTAACCGTCTGGAAGTTGCAAGTTGGTCACCGGCCAATTATCCTGAAAAGGTACTAGTAGAAGGTAGATTAGAGGGTAGGAGGGTATATGACTTCTGCAAAGCGCACCTGGCATAAGAAGGCATCTACGGCAATATGCAACACGAAAAAACGAGCAGGGTCCTGTCTTATCGGCGTTCCCATTTTAAGCTCAGCATATCTCCTAATACTTAGTAGCATAACATTTCTTTCACTTCATTGCCTGAACCAGCAAAGGAAAATCATGTACGGATTAGCCGATCGCTCACGGTAGAGGTGATAACGAGAGCCATTATAGTACGTTATGCTACTATAAATGCTCTCTGCGTGGTATTACTTTTGGCACAAAGATAATAAGAGAAATGCGATCGCTACGTTTCTTACGGCTTTGCGGGCCAGCTCGGCGCTGGCTGGGTCAGGAATTCTCGTGCGGTAGTTGCTTGAGCATCAGCAGTACTTCGGCAATATCAGCAAACTCGGGTTACTTCTGTCCAGTCTTGTCGCAACAGCGGTTGGCGCTCCGGCATTTGCACGCGTCGCGTTGGCTAGCTGCAGAACCTCAGGCTGGGACTAGCCCTGGTGCCCGCGATGTGGCCCCAGTCTCAATGCGGACGTTGATTTTGATGCTTATGGCTGGTGCGGGAATCACGTACGCGACGCGGCTGTATACAGACCAGAAACTGCAGCAGGTTGTCGCGCAGAGCCAACAGGTTGTTGGCAAAGCTGCCGTTGGCGGCCCCTTCGACTTAATAGATCAGGACGGGAAGCGATACACGGACAAGGACCTGTTGGGGGAGTTCGCATTGCTATACTTCGGGTTTACGCACTGCCCCGACATTTGTCCCGATGAGTTGGAGAAGGTGTCGGAGGCCGTAAACCTCATAGAGAAATCTACTGGTGTTCAAATCCAGCTGGTGTTCATTTCAGTCGACCCCGAGCGCGACAAACCCCCGCTCGTGAAGTCCTATGTCAGCGAGTTCCATCCGCGGATGATTGGCCTCACCGGCGACCTGGATAACATCAAGAAGGTCAGCAAGTCTTACCGTGTCTATTACAGCAAGACGGGTGAGAGCGACGCCGACTACCTGGTCGACCACTCCATCATCCACTATCTTATTGACCCTGAGGGCGAGTTCGTGACTTTCTTTGGCAAGAATAGCGATGCGCAGCAGATTTCAAAGCAGGTGATTCAGCATCTGGCGAACTGGCAGAAGGAGCATCCTGGCTACCACCGCGGCAAGGTATTGGCTGCCACAACGCCCGCAACCGAAGGCGGCAAATGACGCGGCCTTAGTAAATTTGCATCGGAACTCCGGAAGATAGTAGCGGATGCTGTGCTGTTAATAACGCTATGGTCCAATGACCGAGGAGGGGAAACTGTTGCTCCTTCAATGGATGCCCCATGCATTCTAACTGCGGGACCCCGGAGGTTTCCCCATACCTGGGTTCCACGGCATCAACGGCTATCACAGGGGTCCCTCTTGCGTGTTGGGAGCAGCAGCCCCCTGTGCATATGTCGTCTTGTTGGCGTTAGGTAAAGACTGCGCGCCGGTAGGCACTCCTGCGTTACTCCATGTAGGCCTCAGTCCTTTCATTACCTGTGTGCATGTATAGTGATGGCGTACAATGTTTTCTACCAAACAGATACAAAAAGCGGATTCGTGGAGGAGGAATGAGCGCAGATGTGTTTAGGGTATACGGGTTAGGGTTCATTAGGTTCATTCTTTGCTTCATCCTGCCAACGATGCATGATATTTTTCTGTTTGCGCGTCTCTTGATGAGAAGTACGAGGAGAGAGCAATATTTTATTCCTACGCCATCAGACCTCAGCAAGAGCCAGCCAGGAACCAGGGCACAGTGAGCACAGTCGTTTCTGGTGTGTTGTTCTGACGTTTGTGGCAAGAGCAAAAAAACCAGCTGGCTGCCGCTGGCGTGCAGGTGGGCGGGATTATTTGGGTGTCTGTGTGTCTAACTTGAAGCGCTATGCCATGCTACGGAGCTTACCAAGACCGGCGATCCGGTCCTATGCACTGTAAGATAATATTTAACTGCCTGCAGCTCCTGCAACACACGGAACGCTACAGGGAAGCTGTCACTGCAGATTTGAGGCTCATACTAAATGCCAGTGAACGCCCGATGCAATTTGGGAAGATGTGTACAATACAACAGGCCCACACTCTGAAGGTGAAATGTTTGGGCCTGGGAGATCGTATGTTCTCTTTCTTCCCCAGGATTAAACCCGGACCACTTAACGCCAACGTGCCCAACCACCACAACCTTGTAAAAGCCCCAACGCCGCCGGCCTGCTCCCTCCGATTCATGCCTCTTGCCAGTCACTCAGCCGGTGCGTAACAGGTGCTAAGCCTGTACGTTACAGATGCTCAAGGCCTCGGGAAATTAGCATGGTTGTGAGGAACAGACGTGCATAAGTAAAACAAACGCAGGTCTGGAATGAATCCGTGTGTTAAGATTCCAAAACGATACAAAGAAAAAAAACTGCGTGTGATTCCGAGGTTACGATAGGAGGCCCAAGAAAAAACCTCATCGGTCAGATGTGGGAGCAGCTGACGACATTTTTGCGCTCTGCCACGTACATAACGACATGGACATATTACATGCTGTACAATGCCGTACAAAACTCCTTCTCCCCTCTCTCCTTGGCCAGAAGATCACCAGCGAACTCCAAACCCTACATCCACCTCACCTACGCCACGCGTTCCTCGCTTCAAAGCCCGAGCTCTCCATACCAACTGCCTTACATTCCTCCGCTCCGTTTTTGCCTTCCTCACAAACCCTTTCCTCCCCGCCCTTTGGCCCCCGCCCATTGCCCAGGGAGTTTACATCCCGGGTGGTTCAGCCGTCTTCCCCTAACCCTATCCAAGGTTCCTGTCCATGTCTGGAGGTTCCTTCCCATTCGTCCTCCTCCTGGAGAACCCAGCCCCCAATGCACATGATATGTGGGAAAGACACGGGCCAGACTTTAACCGCGCTTCTTTTCCCTGCGCCCCCGCCTCTGCTGGAGGAGTCGGTGGTCCCTCTGCACCCACTGCTGCTGTCTTTGTGCCAGTAGCAGCTGTTGCCGCAACCGCGTGGATGAACGGACTGTGAAGGGCGGACCGCCCCCAGCATAGCTCGCACAGGTCGCCCCAAAAGGCCGAAACCCGCAACTTGACCCGCGCCGTCTTCCCTACGATTGCAACGGCAGACGTAAAATGGCGGCAGTAGGACCAGGCACACCACCACAGGCCGCCGCCGCTGCAAAGAGACACGGTTCACTCCGCGCAGTCGCGGCTGTCACCGTCATGCCGTCACGGTTACCTCTGCACCACTTGCCGCCGCCACTGCAGTGGCAGCGGCGGCAGCCATCGCGCCTTGCAGCGCCTGCTTTGGTTTGGTGCATGCTTACTTTCAACCGAACTTCGGTTGAGGATCCAGGTTTGCCACCGTAGCGCGTGGTGAAGCAGCAACCAGCCGAATTCGCTTCAACGAGAATGGGCGAGACCCTAGACTACCGGTGGACGCCATTTCACGGCGCTGTACGGCACCCGAGGATGTCGTGACTGATACTGATGCTGTACTGCCGTAGTGGGATGACGGGCTAAGGGAGGAGGGAGAAAGTGGGTTCCTCCCCTCCGTATCTGCCATCGGTGCGTGCTCAAACTGCCTTTGCACCCCAATTGCAATGGGGGGCAACAGGCTACTGCTAGTGTTGCCGCCACCCCCCTCGCCACCACCGGTTGCTCCTATCATGGATGCGGAGCACTTCTGCTCCTCCTCCTCCTCCTCCATCGCCACCGCCTCCTTGTGCTCCGTGGGCTCCTCCTCTCCTGTCCTGTCCTTTCCCTCCTGCTCCTGACCCACGAAGGCCTCCCTACCCATAGCCACGGCTGCTGCCGCCGCCGCAGCAGCTAACTTACCGGCAGCGGTGGCGGTAGCATCCGCCGCTTCTGCGGCGGCAGCGGAATCACCAGGGAAGACTCCCGGACTGGCGCTCCCGAACTCCTTACCGGAAGCTGTTGTGGTGGTGTTGGCGATGGATGGGATCGTGTCAGGGGCCTCAGCCCAGGGACGGGTACCCGGGGCATTTCGTCGGGCTTGGACCTTAGGTGGCGTTTGGCAGGTTGCGGTGCTTCGTCGGTCAATAAAGGGAAACACGTAGCCCAGGCACTTGCGGGCACCACACCTAGGAATGCAAATGACAGGCGCGGTGCGTGAAAGTGGGTCGGGTTAGTGACTTTGGGTGGGTTGTAGGTTGGGTGGGGGGAAAGGAACGAACAAGCGGACCCATGCATGACACGACAGCGAACGCATGGGTACATATACGCAAGGTGGTGTAGTACCCGCGATGGGGCGGAGGCACGGTCGGTATCTGGAGGTTTAAGGTGGGCGGATGCGAAGGAGGCACATTGCTTGGCCCGTGGGTCAGGGGGCACCAGGTTCCTGCAGAGCTCCCTGTGTTGGTTTCTTGTTCCAGTGCAGATCAGGTCAGGTTAGCTCAACGAGGGTCAGTGCAATGGCAATGGCACTGGAAATCACCTGTCTATCTATCCACCCATCGTTCCAGCTCCCAGTCGCCCCATTCAACGCAACCCCCACCTGCACGGCACCAATCCCTCTGGGTGGACCTGTAACCTCGCCTTCTCCTCCTCGCTCCATCCCGCCTGGCGATGTCCACAAAAAAGGAGTCGGGAAACTAGAATAAAAACGGTAACCATAAGGCATGACTCATGCATTAGGATTCAAACGTGATTCTGTACGAGATCACTTGAACAGCACGCCCTGTTTTACAACTCTTCCTTGAAAACTTAAGCATTTTCATGCGGTAAGAACTGTTCTTTATGAACACGTTCTACGCAAGCTGAGCTACCTGATAACCAGGACTTGCGCCAACCCCTACCCCGCTAGTCCCAGCACCTAATCAGGCAACCCCTAACCCATCAACACCTGCCTCTCCCCGCTAACATTTCCCATCTCGCCCCACCTGGTAATCCAACGTCAGCTCCTCCCCGGCAGCGATATCCCGGGCAGTGCGCATCATGATGGTCATGTGGATGTCCTCCAGGCCACCTTAGGGAGCCAGCAGGGAGGGAGCGGGTAAAGGGGGAGAAAGGGAGAGGCGGGAGAAGGGATGAGGGGTGAAGGAACAGCTAGACACGCTAGAAATGCAGCGTGGAGACATGGAGGAAGGAGGACTACACTGAGGCGGAACTGCGTATGGTATCTCGAAGGGGCGCGGCAGGGAGACACGACACATACAACATCTCAAAATGAAGGAGCGTGTCCACTGACGGCGTCTAAACTCCAAACACCTGCCGGGCAGCTGTTCCGGGGAAGAGGCGGAGAGGCGTGGGCGGGAAATCAGGAATGAGCTGCCGGCGTAGAAGGGGGGAAGAAAAACGCCCGACAGGAACCTTGCTGCAGAGGAGATGGGCTAGGGAGGGAAAGCGAGGCAAGAGAAGCGGATGTCGCTCGGCCGATGCACGAAAGGGCGAACGGCCCAGACGGGGGTGCTGAGTGGCAGGACAAGGATTAGCAAGGCCGGCAGGGACCACAGGTGGAGCCATGGAAGGGACGAAAAAGGGCAGAATGGGAGGGACGGACGGAGGAGGGGAGGAAGGGCAAGTAGGATCCGGACAAAAAGGAAAGCAGCGCGGCATGCAGTGGTGCAACCTGAGCCGGGCGCCATATGGGGGCTAAAGGCGGCGGTAGCGGGTTTCATCCCACCCCTCTCACACGCATATGCATCCAGTCATCGCTCATACACATGTACACTGTGTTGGTTGATTGCCCACCTACCGATCCACTCACCACCGCGGGGTCCCCTACTCCCGCACACGCTATACCCTTACCCCGGCCCCGCCCTCAGGCCCCTTACCCCTTCATTGCACTCCCCCAAGCCCTATGACACCCCGCCCTTCATCCCCACATCTAACCCTCATTTAAACCGCCCACCCCCGGCCCACTCACCCACCCATGCACACCCACCCATGCACACGTTGACCGACACCAGGTTTGCGCCTTCACATAGGTGGTTTACGAAGCGAGCCACATTACCCAGCTGTGTAGCATCCACCACCACAGGAATGTAAGCCGACTCGCCGTCATCTTCAGCATCCCCACAAGCAGCGGCAGCAGAAGTTGCCCGGTCGGCGCGGCGTTTCCTGTCTCGGCCGCTGCTGGTCCCAACGCCACCGGCGGCACAGCTGACCTCAGTGACACCGCCGCCGGCGCTACTGCCATTGGCGCGCCGTGCATCCCTGTCGCTGGGAAGCTCGTACCGGTGACTAAGGTCGTACAGGTAATGCAACCCTGCTGGCTCATACACCTCCTCAAGCATCTCCGGCTGCATAAGATCGAGTACGGCATACAACACAGCGTTATACACCACATGCAGGTGGATCAATAAAAGAGACACATAGGGGCAGATAGATACATCCGTTTGTAGGAGGGAAGAACCCATGTGCATCTGCATGCAGATCTCAGGGCATTGTAACCTTTCCGTGATGGTTGAAGCGCTGCACGACCGAGTGGTGTGAGCGCGGGAAGCGCTGCAGCTCCGCCACCGCCACCATCGCTATCCCTTCCGTTATTACTGATGATGATGCCATGACACGGCTGCTGTCGCCGCCACGGGCTGCCCTGCTTGCCTCTGTCCTTCTTACCAATCTGGCAACTTGCTCGTGACGAGACGGACACCCTCACAACAGACATCAGGCATTATTGCTGGCAGCCTTATCACTTGATTCGACTGTCGCTACGGCTATTCCTCTGCAGTGTGCTTTCCCTCAGATTCCTTTGCTTGCTCCCTCCCCAGCTCTTTCTTCTCTCGGGGCTATCCCTCGTCTGGGCATATTCCTACCATACAAGTGTGAGCCCACCCAACCACTCCACCCCAAATGTGCAGTGGGCCCCCACCACTCCCCTGCACTCTTGCTGGGTCGCTCAAATCGTGATCTTGTCCAATCCGGATGCCTAGCCGTCCACTTTTTTACACCCGGCCACCCAACCCTTGACGGTACTGACATAGCGACTCATGCATTTGGCGTACATTCGTATACACACGATGGCTACCCCACCCCACGCGGCACCGTCACCCACCCCACCTCACCCCAACCCAGCACAACACAACACCCACTCAACCCACCTCGCCCCTGGGCAACCACACTCCCACGTACTCGAACAGGTAGGTGTCCGCGGGAATGGCCTCCCCCGCAAACACCCCCAGCTGGCCTGCGCCCAGCCGCTCCCCTGCCCGCACCTCCAACATGTACTGCACTCCATGCTCGCGAACATGACGAAGTGCCTGACGTGCCCTGATAGGCACAGGTAGATGGGTTGGTAGAAGTGAGTGGATGCGTTGCCTGGACGAAAACGAGTAGAGGGAAGCACGAAAGAGACAAGCGAAGCCAGGAGTGAGTGACCCAAATCGGGAAACAGAAGGATGGGCAAGAGGAGGAATACGCGGGGAGGAGAGAGGAGTGGAAAGGAGGACAATCCGCTGAAAGAAGAGGAAACGAAGGGGAGAGGCAAAAAGGTATAAAGGAAAGCAGAAAACGGATTGAAGACCAACAAATAGGGAAAAATGACAGCCAGTACGATGTGCTGAAAAAATCTGTCTGTCTGTCTGTCTGCCGGCGAGAACCCGTTTGCTCCGAGAACTTTGGGATTTGAGGTTTCGAGCTGGAGGGTGTGGCAGCCGGGGTGATGGTTTGGGACGGAATCGTACAGCAGCGGGGCAATCCAGGTCCACTGCTTCAACCCCTACCCACCTGCATAACCTGCCAGGGGTTCAGCAGTAGCAGCCCGCATAAAATGCATAGCTCAACGAAACTGCAACTTGAGCCCCTCTTCCGCGCCTGCCATCACCCCGAGTATAAGCGCTAATCCGTAAGATTTCATTCTCCACGGGATATCCTCCACGGCATCCTCGTAGCGGGGGGATGAAACCCTCTTGACCTCCTTCGCACTGTCCACACGCAACGTCTCAACAAGTGCGCAAGGAATGCTCTGCTGTTGTACATAATACCAGGGAAGCTTCTAGACTTATAATCGATCTGCAACTTAAACTTCCTCTCGAAATACTCCCAATCAGCAGTCCCGGAGTTGTCGACCCCTCCCACCACACCACACACACACATCCACTACCGCCCCACCTTGCCTCTATCTTATCACGCCTACCTGAGTTTCCCACACTCCCACGCGGCGCATTGGCACTCCCGCAGGAAGCCGTCGTGCAGGTGCGCCATCACCGGCTCCAAGGTGCCCTGTGTTGATTGGCGAGAGCGGCTGGTATGGTTGGATGCGTGTAAGGGCAAGCTACACAACGGGGCCATCCACGCCTCCATCTATCATCAGGCTCTCTTGGGGTGGGACACAACCTGAACGAACCCCCTGCCCAGGGCCACAGCCCTGCGTGAGGCGCTATATGACGTAGGTACGTGTCCCGCCTACATATGTGCTGCGGTAACTTTACATCCCTTCCTCCTTGCAGGAGGTATGTATGTATGTATGTGTGTATGTATGTGCGTATGTATGTGTAGATATGTAGATATGCATGCGTACACGTGTATATTCCTACATGTGTTATACACCTTGTAACCCTGGGGGGCCCCATACCTGGAGCCCTGAGGGGGCCAGGGGGCCGAAGACTCTACGTCCCAAATAGGTAGATATCAGATAGGTACGTATGTATATCTACAGTACACATGTACACCAGAAACACAGCCGCTGGTCCTCTCCCCAGTCAGCTGGGGTGTGGTAGGGGTCGATAATCCCTACGTCGTTATGTATGCTAGAGCGCAAAGATTCACTGGTGGACGCTGGTGTGCATCCATGTGCACTACATGCAATTATCTATCTGCAGCCCAGGTTGCTTTGTTAGTTGTCTCTTATACACACAGCGTCCCTGTATATGGCCGGGGCGCACGTTAGGTGCATACGCATGCGTCTGGACACGAAATACAGCATACAGGCAGCAGGACCAACAACTAGGAACTAGCAGCTTTGAAGCTGCTTCACCTCCATGCCTGCCTCCTTATTGGGCCTAACTGCCGAAAACCTGGCTGGCCTACGCAGAGATACAGTGATATCACGACTACAACAGGGTTTGCTACAGAAAGGTACCGATCAGCGGATGCAGATCCCTTGACATGCCCGGAATACATCAGGTACAAGTTGTTGGGCAGCATATCTATACACTATATGAAAACCCCCTTTGCGACTCGCTCTGCTGGCACGTCCATATCTCACGCTATTTACATCAATCCTGCTGTGCTATGAAGTAATTGGTCGTGCACGGAGGTCCCACTCACGTGTACGTTGTATGTAAGCAGGCTCACTAACTCAACTCTTTCTTACACAGGAACAAGTTACAAGCAAACTGATTCCAGACCCCACAACACATATACGATCATAGTTAACAACATATATGCATACATTCCCACAACATCCATGCGACGTGCACCTGTGCAGGTGAAGCAGCTAGCAACCAGCCCTCCCTCATCACCTGCAAGTCGTCCGGCTTACGCCACCAGGGCAGCATGGAGTACATGAACACCGTCTCCGGCAGCACTGACGTCACCTGGCAGCAGTGCAACTGCAGGGATGAGCTGCCACCAACCCAATCCCAGCCAGACTGCATCTTCCCTGGCGCCGCCGCGCCCCTGCACAGCGACGTGGAGCTGTCCCAGTAGCCCTGCAGCCTTACACGCGCCTCTCCCAAGGGCAGGCCGTCGGGTCGCCGGGGACCCAGGAGCCGCAAGTCCTGGCGCCAGGCCAACACGTCCTTGTCCTGGCGGGGAAAGGATGGTGGGGTGCAGAAAGAGGGCGATGAGGAAGTGGGCAAGACGGGAAAAGAAGAATCGAAGGGGTAAAAGGAGAAAGGGGATGACAGGGAGTCACAGAACGAGGAAAAGAGTACACAAGCATGAGGGGAAATGCGTCAAATCGACAGTTTTTCTTGGAAAGTGTGCGTTCATAGAGAACCAGGCGAGAGGACGAAGAAGAGTCGCGCTGAGCAAATGGTAAGCCAAAAGCGCGGTGTGGGGACACTGGGCCGACAGCAAATCAAGATTAATGCAAAAGGCACGAAAGAAGCCGGTGAAGGGAATCCCTATATCCTGTGTGGAGCTTGAGCTAGTTCGCCCACCCGGTCACGGTTGCGACGCTCGCCCAGGCGCCGTTTCCACCAGCCGTTGCACGGCTGGTCGGGCCGCAGGTCGCGTCCCGGTTTGTATGGCACAAAATATGCATAAAAGCACAGCTGACCCCCTCCCCGCCCTCCTCCTCCTCGCCCTCCTCCTCCATTCACAGGGTTCGTGGCGGCGACTCCTCCTCCCGGCTGCCCTATGGTGGACCACCACCCAACGCCAACACCATCCTCGCCTCCTGTTGCTGATGGAACTGGTGTCACCACCGCTGCCGCTGCCGAGTCCCCAGCCCCAACCCCGGCAACCATTGCCCCGGCAGCTGCCGCTGGACCTGCTCCAGCAGCTCCAGCCATCTGCACTGTCGCATTGCTCATTACTGTCGCAAGGGCCGTCCCCGCCTTCGCCTCTGCGGTAAGCGCCTGAGTCGGCAGCTGCTGGTCCCATATCGGCGTAGATGTCGGCATCGCAGACAGAGTAGGTGACACCGACACCGCCGCTGCGCCGGCACCACCCACACCGCCGTTCAGCCCTCTCCGTTGGCTTTCGTGCTGCTGCGGCGGCTGCCCGGAGGCCTCAGGGGGTGCTGTCGCCTCCAACCCCCCTGGAGCTGTGGGCGAGGGCGCCGTTCCCGCTGCCATCACCACCGTTGCCACGCATACGCCGCCCCCTGATACCATCCCCGCCTCACGAGGGCCACCCAGGCAGCTACTGGGGTCGCTGCTGGGCTGGTAAGGACGACAAGAAGGATACAAGATCTCCTGTTGCTGCTGGTGATGATGGTGTTGTTGATGGTCTTGGTGAGGAGGACGGCTGTGGTGGTTATTGATGTTCGGGTCCCCGGTCGGATTGGTGAGAGATGCCTGCGGCTGAGCAGGAGCCGACATGGAAGAGCGCAATGGAGGAATGTCCCCTCTACTTGCTCCCGCTGCTGGTACTGCTGCCGCCATAGGCGGTTGGTAATGGTGGGTCTGCCTGTGGGCGGCCACTAAGAGCATCTGCAATGCGAGGAGGGGTGGGCAAACGACACACACACACACACACAAATGGATGGCCAAGTTGGGATTGCAAATGTGGGAAGGCTGCAGGATTCTCCAAGGGTAGCTTCAAGATAAGAAAAAGGGGGCCGGCATGCAGCAAGACAGAGTGAGCAGGAGGACTTCCGCTCACGCGGGAAGCACGCACCTCCATGGACCCAGCAAATAAGACAGCACTGCATGAACGCGCATGGACCCTCGTTTCCCATGGCTCAAAAAGTACGGTCCAACGTCCCCCGGTCCAGCAGTCCCCGCCGGCTGTGGCTCCCGGCTCCGAGCTAGAAATCCCAGCCCTAGTGTTCACACTTGCAAACGATTGTGAGGAGCTTTATAATCCAGATCGCGAGGGTGGTACATGAATCGCTTCACATGAATCGCTTCGCTTGATCGCTTCTACCTCGTGGCACGCTTCTTGGTCTCACCACTACTTGTAGGTTTGGAGTGGAGGCCGCCGTTACAACCTTGAGCGCTAGGCCCTGGGCCAGGCAGCGCGCGTGCAGCGCCGCGAATGCCGTACGACTGCTGAGCAGCCCCTGTGGCAAGTAGACTAGATGCGGAGGGTGCTCCGGGGGCGGGAGCGGCCTGGCGGTGTCGTACTGCCAGGGCACCTCGCTGTGCCTCATGCCTACAAATGTGCACATGTGGCTTATATGGGATATGGGAGTAATAAGGTAGGGGATTCTGGTATGTGCGATATGCAAAGCGCTGTAGTGCCGACATCCAACACACGAGGTGCCCACATGGGTATGGGAGGCGTTAGGGGAACTCCCGATAACCTATATGTCAGCCAGACGGGGGACCCCCCATGGAAGGAAGAAGTTCTCCCATGTTCGGGTGTACTCAGCTGGTGATGAAGACATGGGGAAATGACGGTAGGGACAAAATCGCCAGAGGAGGTTGAGGACAAAGAGGCCCGGAGTGTTCTCAAAGGAGACCGTGCATGTGAGTGTGGCCGTATCATTGCATCTTCTTCCTTCGTGGAGACATGCACGCATGTCACATGTAAGGGTTGAAGAGATGGGGGGAATACAAGAACCATTTGATAGCGGCGTGTTTAAGGCCGCGGTGGTGGCCGCGGAGGTTGCGAACGCAGTAAGGACTACACCGGGGTAGGGAACATGCACGGTAAGCTAGTATTAAACTGGGCCAAGAGTATGATTCCTCGTTTCTTTCGGTTGACCAGCTGAAGCTGGCGAACCTTATCCACAGTATCCGGCTAAGGAGGGTCTCAACTAGCGGGGGTAGTACGCGCACTGCTACGGCATAACAGTCTGGACAGTCAGTCGGTTAGTTCGACGTAATATACCTTTGGAACGATAGGATATCATAGTTTTTCTTATGGGCTTAGACGATATCCATCTATTTTGGACAGCTTTTGGGGCCCCCCTCGTATGTGCCCGTCACGCCTTTGGAGGGTAACGCAGCAACATGGTGTTACTCTTATCTTACTTTTGCAACATGTAGAGTACACATAAGTTTTTCTGACTGTTATAACCTACGAACGCGCATGCAAAACTAAAAGCCTTTCCAAGCTAGCCTAAAAACGTCCTTAATAGCCTGGATTTTCGTACAATATTTCCGAAGTTTTGGAGTGGTCAACACACGGTAGTTTAAGAATTCTGAAGCCGTCCGCAGGCGGCTAACCTATGTTATTAGATTGCGAGTTCAACAACTGCTGCAGACAACTAGGTGCCAAACCAGGGTGCCGCAACCGCCCTTCGATAGTCGCTCACGGCACAGGCAAGTCGGGGTTGGGGAGCAACTCTATGATTCCATTGCACAGCCTGCGTAACATGTTGCTGGAACAACAGGAGCCGAAATGTCGGTGAAACCCGACGGGAAAGAAACACAGCCTCCCAAGAATGTAAGCAAAACACTACCCTAGGTTATCTGCTGTAGACCAGAGCCTTATTCCGTTCCAGGCTGAAGAGGGGAGTTTCGCCATCACAGTTTCAAGGTGTTATGCAGTCCTGCTGCAAGGGGCCACCCAGCTAAGGTGTCAGCGGTCCCCAGAAAAATACTCATGAATGGATGGATGGAGGAAGGAGAAATATGACTGCCTTATAACTGTGCCGCCTGATATGAGTTATCCTGCATGCTGCCCCATTAAATGTCCGTCGATCGGTGGCTGGGGAAATGGGGGAATGGGCAGATGAACCGGCGTTCTGTCACCACGGAATGGATACCCGTGGCAACTGTGAGATTACGCATGCTGGTGTTCTAGTTGTGCCACACGAAGCAAGGGGGCTCCAAGCGCATCTGCGAGACAATCCACCGTCTTACTACTGTCACTGCTAATGCAGCAGTTTCGCTGTTTCCTGGAAGTGAAACTTAAGAGTAGCGACCACAAGTTGCCTCAAGACGATTTGGTGGGTGTGTATGAATGATGGCAAGCGAATTCGTTTGCATTTTTCTGGTGCTCCTGTTTCCCCCAGGCCTTCTGTAGAAGGCACGGCATTCCAACCACCAGGGCACGCCGATGGTCATAACCAGAAGAATGTATCCAGTTAAAAAGACCAACACCCCGATTTCGAAGTTGGAAGTGAAAGTAGTGCGGAGGGCAACTGACAGGATATAAACTAACAGATAGGTTGCCAAGGACGCAAATCGGATTGCCCTCTAACGCCCCAGTGAAAAGTAGCCTACCTGGCACCGCGCAAGGCAGCTCGTTGAAAGTTAGCCAGCAAGGCGAAATGCAAGAGGCAGTGTCCGCGACGCATGACACCAATGGTGAAGTCGCAAGTTTGATGGAGCCCCAACCTTTTTCCTTGATAATATTAGGCCATGTCACCTGGTCCATTTTAGTGATAGATCCTCCGATGGATTAAGCTCTAAGATAAAATGACCGCGACGCGAAGCGGGTCAAGCCGCTTCTCATCTCTCTTTAGCAAAGGAGCTAGTCGGTAACCACAAAACGTGTTTGTTTACATCGTGCTTAGTCCTGGGGCCTCAAACGCTGGCGATTGTTCATCTCGAGTTGACGCGTTAGAGCTGCACTTGATTACGTTCATCCTGTACAATCAGTCGGTCTAAGATTAAAGCGTACTCAAGCGTTTCAACTGGAGGTTGGTCAGCCAGCAGAACGGCCGGTTGACTTGAATTCGGTAAGGCGGTGCCGTACGATACGTTGCCGTTTACACCATTGGCGGATTTGGCCGTGCCATCCTATGTGTTTATGGACAACCTGCTCTTCGCCGTACTGAAAATGGCATCATCGGTCCCTTACTATTCTTCTTCCTGAGGATTCGAGGTGAACACCCTGCGCGTGGCATGTATGTGTGTATGTATGTGTGCACAACATATATGACATAACATAACATAGAGGATTAAGAGTGTGGACCGTGCAGTTAGCATCCGCTATGCACATACCAGGGCGGGCTCTATATGGAAGTAATACCGCATGCGTCGACTATTGCACAGCTGCATGTCGCTTGCAAGCGCGCAGGGGTAGCTATGCGATATACGTACAGCTGCAAGAATTGATGGTTGTCAGCAATCCCATAGAGCTATGGAGACCTCCCCAGGGATAGCTAGCCTAGCCGACTGGGGGGACGACTGTTCTATAGTGGGTATATTACGATGTTTGGGTATTTGGGTGTATTACGATACATCGTGCTCAGGTCTCCCAGTCTTGGCTGCTGTTCCAATCTTGTCCGGTGCGGTTTCTGTTGTGCGGGAGGTGGCAGGCCTCGCGACCGATGGTCATTCTGGTGGGAGGAGGCAGCACCCACAGTGACCTGAGATGGACTACTGTAGGTCGAGGACGCACTCAACTGGAGGGGGGGAATAATGTTGTGCATCCTGGGCGCATCACGGGATCTGAGACCCGCCGATTGGTACTTTTCTGTAGTCGTGATACGACAACTTTTTACATAGCCTAATAAGGAGGTCAAAATGCTCCCCAATAAGTTGCTCTGGGACCGACCATAAAGCCGCCAAAAATGCTGTTTAATCGGAAGATTTCGCCCCCAAAGGCGCCTGCACGGTGCACATCAATTTACAGGACTCCTGCACTCCCTAGGGAGGCTAGTTCATGGCGCCACAGCCGCACGCAAAAGTGATTGCCTCTGAGTGTCCGGCTCCACCCTGAACGACCGCTGTCGTGCCACCGTGGTGAAAATCATGTGGTGCAGGTCGGCTCAGATGTGTGAAACAGGGGGGTGTATCTTCGCCCGTGGCAGCTACCCTGCGAAACCCTGCCTTCCCCGGTATTTCGGGGCACCATCATCCAGTCACCCTAGTCAACTTCTCAGTGGATCGCTCAGGTTCCGCACCCACCACCAGCGTCCAACGGAATCTGCCGGGTCGACAGCGGCCCAACTCCGTTCCTGGTCGGCTCGCGGGTTAACTTTATCCCAGGTCACCACCATCCATCGACTAGGACACGCAATGCCTTCCACCATCGGAAGGACTTTTGACCCTAATGGGTACCGATCCCGGGATCTCCCGGGGCAATGGTCGCGTCTTACCAGTAGCGCCAAACCCTCAGATGTTGGCCTCCTTGGACAGTTTCTGCAGTGTAGCAAGGAAGGTCTTGTACAGGCATAGCATTGATAGTTGTGGGAAGGGGAGCCGGACCTCCACCATGCAGTTGTGATGGCGGTTGACGGCTCACAGAAGGGCCCACATGCACCCTCCATTTCTACTTCCACCATACCTCGGCATGTGATTACGCAAGGCTGTGTCGATAGCGCCCGGCACAGAGAAGCTGCACGAGCAGGTCAACCGGGTAGCATGGTCTGCCGACACGATCCTGCCAATGGTGACGACCGCGCCCTTGCAGTGCTGATCCGTTTTGCTCTTAAACAAGATGGTCTCGACCGATCAGTGTAAACGTGGAGCTTACGTGTGCGGAGAAGCACATGCCGCAGGTCGTCAAACTGCAACAGCCCGCAGAATACCAGAACAGTTCCTGTCATGACCATCCTAGTGAGGAGGTCCACACCTGATTGATGTCGTTCTCCACCAACTTCGTTACCTCGGCCGGTGTAGCCACACCCACGTTGCACTGCACCACGACTGGTGTTCTGCATGCAACCTCCCGAAGCTCCAGCAGAGATGTCCGCAGCACACAGGGATGGACGACCTGCCCAGTCATGCAGGGCGGACAGAGCCACACTGGCCCTGTCGACTGGCTTAAGCCCTATAACATAGGGCCTATATTCCGCCTTGCCAGAACACAATGACTTGAGTGCCAAGGTCAGAAATTAGTGTAATGAGTGTACAGCGTGAAGTACATCATCAGCCCCTTGTGATGCCCCTCTGGAGAAGTGACGCAGAAGTTCCCCTTCAGCTCCTGCAGTGGAATGCCAAAGCTGTGCACATTTGCCATGGCAAGGGCCTAGGGCCCGCCTTGAAAGCCGCATCCATGTTGAACACCACGAGGCCACAGTTGAAACCTTGGCCGAATACACATCAGCGACAGCTCCTGGACGGACCAGCGATGGATGAAATACTTAAGGAGGCCAACGTTGGTGTGTACAACAAGCCATCACCGAGTCCCGGTGCCCTCCTCCTCAGCCTTTTACACAACCCAGCACGATGTACGGGTGGACTGGCAGCCATACTTGCCTGGCGCCTCGGCACGTAGGAAGAATGTGTGCATTGCAGGGCTTGTGCCCAAGCACAGAGGTGATGAGGCCATCGTTGGAGCTGTCCAAGTGCACTGTTGGGTGCAGGGTGCAAGCGCCGCAGGACTAGAGGTTAAGGAGATTAGGACTGGGAGTAACACCTTCAATCTTACAATGTCAGGTTGAGTCCTTGGGTAATGGCGGGGGCCGGAGCTAGACTCGGAACATGCTAGGAATGGTTAGGACTACGTGCGTAGAAGGGCTACTTGAATAACGTGCAATGGATTGCCACTGCCTAAGGGGCCCTGCGAGGCCTTGGATCGTGTTCCGAAACCGGCGACTACTACTTTCACACATGGATGGGTTGCTCGACAGACGCGTGACAATCCACGTATTTGCACACTAGGTATAATTTTTCATTGCACTAAAGATCATTGGCGGGACCTTGTCCAACTGCCTGGTCTCCACGCTTGTGGTAGCGGTTGAACCTTGCAGATGGCGGTGGAGATTGTATTCTCGTCAATGGCGTCGACATCAACTAAATCCGTCTTGGTCAAACTTACCAACACCCCTCCCCAAGTGGACACAGCGCACGAAAATCAGCCCTGACACCCTGCACACTGGTTGTCTCATTGAATATGTGTCTCATCAGTGGACCCTCCATCGTAATTCGTGTAGCTCAGGTGTGTGTAACAACGCGCGACATAGGCACAACTGACCGGGAAAAGTGGTGAGGGGGTCCCACTCCATGCACATGGTAGTACCTACGGCGACTGAAAGGCAGATCTGTACATAACTGCACTCGCATTCACTAAAACAACTTTCAAAAAGTTGTTGGTCTGCATTTGCGCCGGAAGCTGCATTTGGGACGGCTAAAATATAAAGATAATCTGCTTAATAAAAAAATCGTTGGATTCGTTCGATTTTAACGTCCGGTGTCGCATCAGGTTTATGCCCTGCATTTACGAATACAAGCTCACCAGATGGCCCCGCCCTCCACCGGCGGCTTCACCTTGCTGTCCAGGGCTGGTACCTGCCCCGAACTGCTGGCTAGACATGTACGCATGTACGTTATGACTTGCTCGTCCCGAAACAAATCATAAAGAGTTTACGAGCAAGTACACTCTAAATTGGGCGGGAGGCCCAGCAGTGCGGTTCGTCGCGTTTATTTATAATCTACTGCGCACATCTAGCGCACGTGAGCAAAATAAAGAACTCCAACCAGGAGTGTAAGCCTTAATGCGAATATTGGCCGTATAGCTTCGTTCAGGAAAATGGACGACTGCGACGCTTGTGGGCACCTACTCAGGAGGTTCCGGAGGCCGTCCTTATGCATATCTATCTTTTTCACTGTTTATCTGGCGCTTCTCAAACTTGCTACTTCGCAGATAACAATTCAACTCCGCAGTGGGGAAGTTGAGCTCAGGTAAGAATATCACAGTTAAGACGTCCCGGATGCATCTCCGCAGGAAGCTTGCAAGTCTATGGTAATTGATAGCAGTTATTTTGCTCTTCATAACTTCATGCGCATCTTGTTCGCCTGCTTGTTCGGAAGAGAATGAGTAGTATACTAGCTACGGAGCGGCAACATCTGTGCGCGTCTTGCACGCGAAAGTTCCCTCTTCCCTGTTTACATTTAGAATAACATCTGTGAATCTAGCAATCGACAGTTCTGGATAGCTGCAGGAACATGCGGCGTTGCGTTGCTTGTTACTCATATGTTCGGTATTCGTTGCATGGAATGTGCACATGCACACGCACTCGCGTCTTTGCGTGCAGACGTAGGTTGAGTAGGTTCCAAGTAAAGGTGTTATGTCATTCTGCCCAAAAGAATTGAGCATATCTCTGCTCGAGCTTGTAGGACTGTATGCATGCCAGCCAGCAGCTGCCACACGCACGCATGTCCGTCTGCAGGGCATGCGGACGGACATGCTTCCCTAAATTAATGCGCTGCCCGATGAACGATGTACGGTGCAAAATCATGCTTATAGTGACCTGTGATCCGGCCGGAAGTAGAGTTGTCATCACCGTTGATCTAGCAGAATCTGCTGGGTGGTAGTGCTGGTGGTGGTGTGGTGGTGGTCTGCCGGACCTCCAGTGGAGCGGGAATTTAGCTCCGTATGCAGGGCCAATGCATTTTACAAGGTAGCCATCTCCTCCTCTCATCACTGTACCGATGGCCATCCAGTCATGTATATGGTCCCAATGTCACTTTCGCACGTGGCACAATATATAGACAGTCAAATATTTTACAGATGCACATGTGCACCTAGTTAGCTTCCCGTGAGGGTACTGAGGGTACTCCTTGGTGTCCGTGACACCATGTAAGTATACAATCAGGATACTGTGTGATGTTGGCGAGCAGGCGCAGCCGTCAGTAGGCGAACCACATACATTATTGAGTCCTGCATGTGCCCGTACTTGCGGTAGGTTCCATCCGTCCCTGCCCATCGGCCATAACGTGTGTCCAGCTGCCATAGGCTAGCAGGGAGCTTGACATCCCCCACGCTAACGCGCCCCCACACTTGTCTGCGTGTATGTGTGTACATATCCCGGCTCTGCCCTGCTGCGACACGAAGCCCTGCGGCTGGCATTGTAGCGTCCCCTGGGGAGGGCGACATCAAGCCTGAGCAGTACTTCGTCCAGTACAAGTCTGGTATGTTCGTGTGCTGCTTGACGGGAAACATCCATACATACCTACTTCAATACCCTGTAATCATGGCAGGGTGTCACACTCTGATCCTGTTCCCTCTTGAGCTATTTACTGCTCCTTGACATCTAGGTACCTCTTCATCCATCCACTTCGCGTCCCCCTGCTGCTGCCTCGTTTCATCTCTCGCCATTATCATTAGGGAGTGGGGAGGCTCTGCGTGAGGAGTTGGTCAACCAAGGTTGCTCTGTGGCAGCATACATACCAGATAATACGCTGCTAATGTACGGGCGGTACAGGTCTGTGCTGGAAGCGGCGCAGCGATATGACGCGCTTGTGGTGGGTGACTTGTGGGAGGCTGCTGGGAGGCACGCGGACCTGTCACAGCAGGCTTGCCGTGCAAGCCAGAATTCTCCTCTCCCTTCATCTTTGTTGGGATCTAACTAGCTAATGAATTGTGAGGGTGTGTAGTTAGGCTGCTATGCATGTGTGCAGCATGTATCTCTCGTAAGTTGCACTGAGCCAGCGCCTGCAGGCGCCAAGGTCGAAGCACAGCACAAGGGGCTAGCCCAAACAGCAGGTCAGGCTTTTGTGCCCCTACCCCAACTTACACCACGAAATGCGATGCAGCCACGCGGCAGCGCCGCTGTGTCCCACATATGTGTATTCTTGTCCGTGTTGCTTGGTTGTATGTGCCTTGCAAACTATCTGTGGACTGTACCTGTATTCAACAGACATTCGTACATGTGTTAGGGCCATTATTAACTCGATATGGTAGCCCATTGTAATTCTGAATCCGGCCCTGGATGGCACTTGGTGCCAGCAGTGGGGGCAGGTCAATTGTACAATTTTAAGAGAGTCGGTGCAGCGTTCTGTGTAGATGATTTGGTAGCTAATAGACGCCGCCAGTATCAGTCTGTAGTAGCAAGCTTCCCCCATCCCCCATGGGGGCATCACCACCAGCAGCTAGCAAGCAGCGGGACACAATCTTAATCCTGTTGGTTACCCTTCAGGCAGGTTACCGGCGGCCTGTGTTTTTCTATAACGTATGCACGCAATACCCTTCAATCTGTCGATCATTCAACTTTTGGCCTTCATTGGCAAAGTTCCAATGAACGCAGGCAAGCGCAAAGCAAGGTACTCATGCTGTTTGTGTAGCTGGTGGACCCATGCCCGTGCTGATCCAGCTGATGTATGAGTACCCATCCAACCAGCCATTCATTCATACGTACATACATCCCAGCATGTCCTCCAACTATCCTATCCCTTCACCCAGGGAACGTATGGTGCCAACTACAAGCTGGCTCCGGAGCTGGTGGAAGTCACAGGAGCCATGAGACCAGCAGCGAGACGGAGGAGGCGATTGATGCAGCGTCAAGTGGGCGAGGCCAGTCGTTTTGATGATGGAAGCACTGCCGCCATCCCCGGCAGCTCTGGGGGCCCTGGTGCCAACGAGGGCCGGCTTGAGCCCCAGCAGCACCCCATCATCCGGAGCCTGGAAATCTGGAGCGTGCACAGCAAACGCGATAATCACCGCAAGGAACCTCGCCATGACAGGAAGCGCATGATGCACATGCGACGGGGGAGCGAGGATGCGATGGCGGTGCAGGACTTGAGCAGCATTGACAGCCAAACCAGCAATGGTGTTGCTGAGAGGTCGCTCCTGGTATCGTCCACGCAAGGCAACACGGCAAATCTGTATGGCATTGAAGTCTTCATAGTGCCAGGTCTGCCTGCTGCGGAGATTCGGGGAACAATTCAGGATGGCTGGATGACCTCACTGGCGATAAAACTGAGACGCGACAGCGATCCAGCGGACCCCTGCCGGCCAAGGATGCGTGATGCAGACCTGTATGACTCATTCTCGCCACGGCTGCGAGCATACTTCTGCGCCGAGGTAAATAAAACCATGGGTGGTAGTTCTTCGGTCAGGCAGCATTCTGTCACCACATCGGTCTGCAGAGCTGTTAGGTAGTATGACCTACATAGTTCCTTTGCCTTCCTAGTCCGTTTACTTGTCCTGCCTTAACGACAGCGAACAGTTACGGTTTCGGTGATGCCTTATATGGAGGGAAAATTCTTGGTTCTGACGCGCAAAGATGTTACTGTTTTGTTGTCGCTCACATGGTGATGTGTGCATGCACTGACGGACGGATATGATGTGTGAAACAGGGGGGTGTATCTTCGCCCGTGGCAGCTACCCTGCGAAACCCTGCCTTCCCCGGTATCTCGGGGCACCCTCATCCAGTCACCCTAGTCAACTTTTCAGTGAATCGCTCAGGTTCCGCACCCACCACCAGCATCCTACGGAAGCTGCCGGGTCGACAGCGGCCCAATTCCGTTCCTGATCGGCTCGCAGGTTAACTTTATTCCAGGTCACCACCGTCCATCAACATAGGGTGCAATGCCTTCCATCATCGGAAGGACTTTGACCCAAATGGGTATCGATCCCGGGATCTCCCGGGGGCAATGATCGCGCCTTACCAGTAGTGCCAAACCCTATATATGGATATGTATTCAGGACATGGAAGAGGCCGCCGCATTGCTCAGCCAGCAGGCGCTGGTGACCTGGCTGGAACCGGTGCTGAAGGCCACCACCTTGAACGCGGCTGGTGGATGGCTGGTGCAAACCGGTGAGCATGCGTGGGTGGCTCTTGATCAGGTTCCTGTTGCGGCTGTGTTACAAAGCCCCCAACATCATGGGGAGCGCGAGTAACAGCGCTCTAGCTACAGCAATGGCGATGCTGTACCATTGCCGAGTAGGATGTCATGAACTGCTTGCTGGTCCTGCAACACTGTCCCAGCAGGTAACAATCTAAGTTGAATCCCAGAACAATCCAAACCAACCAATCCAATCCAAATCCCCCAGCCTGAAGTTGTCCAAAAATGGCTGGCTGGTTGCCCCTAATAGTCGTAAAGGAAACAGGAAGCGGCAATCTATCTGTTGATGTTTGGATAATTCGGCTGCCTGCTCTATGCTTACATGTATGTATGTGTGTGCGCGTGGGCGTGGGCGTGGGCGTGGGTGTGCGCGTGGACATGCGCGTGTATGTGTGTGTCTGTGTGCGTGTGTTACACCTCTGTTGCATTACCCAGCGAGTTGTAATGAGCCCATACGAACCAAAGGCCCAAAAGCCTTGGAGCCACAAGTTAGGTACAGGTTATAATATAACGCAAAAACTTCTAGTATTCAAGCAATTCACCCAGGGGGAACATATATACCCGCAGGTGATCTGGACCTGGCTCGGTACAACAACCTGACCGGCGGCGACCTGCGGCCCTACTGGAAGGCTGGGATCATGGGCAACGGAACTGTAGTCGGGGTAAGCAAGCGCGTGCTTGATCGTGTGTACAGCAGGGCACGCACGTCACGCGTTGTATCTATCGTAGATATCTTTTTGACCAACGTATGTGGGTGTGGCTGATTCTTTGTATGCATGTATGGCAATTGTAGCGTGCTACAGGACTGAAAGCAGTCCCAATGGCTACCTACTTGCGCATTCGGACGCGATGAAACTCAGATGAGTGATGATATGGAGGACTGAACGTGAAATTAAAACCAAACGCCAATGCAGGTGGGGGACACCGGTATCGACCTGAGCCATTGCTCATTCGTGGATGACAACTACGACCCCGCGGCCCTGAAGAACTTATTGGCGGGAAACCCGATGCGGTGGAATCTTCCAAACCATAGAAAGGTCGCACAATACGCCATCACAAACACTGTATCTGGTATGTAGCTCGCACCGACCGACAAGGCAGTTGAGTCCAGCGGGCCAGGCAAGAATTAATGGGTGAAAAATCAACCGCGGCTTGCTTCCGCCCCCGCGTCCCAGAGAAAGACCTAGCTCCTCATCACCTGCTGCGTGTTGCTAGCTGCACCCGATGGACGTATGTATGTATGTATATAAGTAGCGGATAGAAGGTGTGAATCCCGTGGTAACCGCAGATGCATCCCCTACACGCATACCCTTGTGGCTAATAACCCAGAAGCGTCCTTCGCTCTTCGTCAACCAAGCTTGCAAAAAGTGTACATTTATGTATTCCGTCGCACCGCCTTGCCCACACATCATCATCGACGTTCTGATAGGGCTGGTAGGGCCCAGCCAGTGCATGGCCACGTGGCCGCACCCATGCATAAAGTGCACCACCACTAATGATGCATGACTACATCAACTGCATGCAGACGTTTGCATGGGGATATAAGTACATGATATAGCCTTGCGGTCCCCCACATGACTTGAATGGCCAACATGGCGCACGTGCACTTGCAGATCCGCTGTCGTATTACGGTGACGAGGTGGAGGGCCACGGGACACACGTGTGCGGTACTATTGCCGGGGTCAGGGTATCCACAAACAACGGTCTTCTCCTCAACAAGAACGACACTGGCGCAGCGCCTGCTGCTAAAATCAGCTTCATGGACATCGGAGTGCCCGGCGCCCCTGGCTTGGAGGTCCCGTCGGTGGCAACCGTATTGCTAGAGGCGGGTGAAGTGTCATGACCCATAATCAGTTTTGCTAGCTCGACCGCTAGGACCAGGGAACGTGATATATGGCAAACCCACTCACGCTGGGCAGGCCGGAAGCAAGGTACCTAACTTAGTTTATTCTGGCAGGTAGAGGACTTTCCTGCCTTCAGTAGGAAGCGTTCTTATCTGCGTATGTTATTTTGTATTTAATGTACATCGTGCATATGTACATGAATTGTTGTTCGCCGTCGACCTACTTACTACTTCTTCATCACATCATCGTATTTGCTTCTGATGAGTACATCCATGCTGGGTGCGTAGTGCATGTAGAGCCGCCCAGCATGCGTAGCGTGGCCGCTGCTGAAACGCCCGCATTTACGTTTCACTCATTGCGGCTGCTGAGTATACACGGCGTAGCCTGTCTGACGTGAGATGATGGAGTCCTGCTAACACTATTGACCGAGCGCATGCATGTCTGCGATGTGGTGTCAATACATATTGCCATGCAGTGACCATACCCCTCCCAATGCACCCTGTTTCCCCACCATATCTACATCATTAGTCGCACTTCACGGCGGGCGCGCGGCTCTCCTCCGATAGCTGGGGATTGACAGGCTCATTCGCAGTCCGGTATGACTCAATAGCACAAGGCTTCGACCTGTTCGCCTGGAGGCACCCTGACTTCCTCAGCATGGTTGCCGCCGGCAACTCGGGTGCGCATGCCATGTATGTCCGTTATACATATGTACATGTATATTAGTGTTCGATATCTCGCTACCAGCATTACCCAATAAATGGTCGGTCCTGCCTAAGAACACTAATAAGGGCATGTGCCACCAAGGCAGGGTCCCTAGCTCCCTCTGCTCCGTCTGCTCCCTCCCTCTGCAGTCATGCGGTGGACCCCCTATAGCTAGGTTTTATAGCGTCCTGCGTGTACCGATGGGTATCGCTAAACGTGGTTGGCCGGAGTTGCCAAGATGCATGCATTCGCCCTTGAATGTATTTCTCGTAATCCTTCACATATGCGTGCACTTAGGTATTCATGTTTGCATGCGCTTCCGCTGCACGCAGGTGTGAGCGGTTTCATGGCAACTGTCGGGTCGCCTGGTACGGCCAAGGTATGTTAGTGTAGTACGTTTACATATACCCTCTTGGATTACTTGTGTCTAACCATATCCGTCCCTTATCACGCGTTTGAGCTTATCAAACTGCGTACCAGTCATGCATGTCGGCTTAGCATGCCCCGCCCATGCAAACTGCCTGAAACCTACGGAATGCCCTACCGACTTCGCATCTGCTGCACGTCTACCATCTATACGCATGCGAAACGTGCAGAACGTTCTGTCTGTGGGGGCGTCGACCAACCATCCCAAGGGCGTCGCTTCCGCCGCCAGTGATCAGTACGCATTCCTGTTCCGCTATCGGGATGGTGCTCGTGCCCTCCAACAGTCGGCGGTGCGTGGGTGGGTGTATATAGGAGGTTGGAGTGCGGTATGTGGATTGGTTGATTGTGATTGATTGTTACAGAAGAGTGGGAGGCTTCTGGGCCGATTGCATACACGTAGATGTATATGTTATGCATTACGTCCATGCATATACGTCCATGGCCCCCCCGGCTTTTATGGATGTGTGCGGAACTTGTAACTTGTAACATATACACAAATGCAAGAGTGCGTGTTTCCTCGAAATGTGTAGCTAGTCCTCACAACACAAATCGTGCTTGTAGCATGGCGTGCGAAATGGGGAGGTCCAGGAGGTCTCTGCCTGTCTTCATGTCTGCATGCTTGGGACTCCTAGCTACTTCCTCAACCTTGCTCATGCAGATCTGGCCGGCCGGCGGCCCATACTGGGACGCGTGGCGCACGTTGCTGCAAGACAAGGCAAGTGCACACCGTTGCAAGACAGTATAAGCGGATGCATGGGATTCTGTAGGAGCGCATCCCTTAATATGCTATTAGCTGGAAGCTAGCTGGCATTATATTTGCCAAGGGAAGCCGGTGGCGAGCTAGGTGTTGCGGTAGCCTACATGGGTGGCACGTACGTAGTGCTCAGCAGGTAGTAATAACGGGAGCTTCAAAATCTGTACACCTTAAGGGCACTTACTAGAAGTAGCACTGGTGTACAAATCTTCGAAGCTTCGAGATGCCGGGCGGAGACAGGGTGATGGGGCTGCCAAGGACCGTACGCTACTGCAGATTGCCGCTCTCGGGATGTGATGTGAATTGTGCATAATAACTACGTACATACATACATACCTGTGTATCTGCCGCATGCCATTGCGTGCAGGAGGTTCCTGTCGTACTGGCCAACCCGTTAGGGGCGTGCAGATCTCTGATGAACGATAGGTATACCGGAAAGGTGGTGGTGGTGGATATGGGCTCGTCAAGTTGCAGCCCCGAAACGCGAGCAGCCAACGCCGCGGCCTCTGGGGCAGCGGCCGCTGTCTACATCCGGGGGGACGCCTACTTCTCCAACGATGAAATCACCGCCAACGAAAGCTTTTCCTCAGCGATCATATTCACAATGGTTACAAAGGTATGTATGTCAAACATGTGGTCGGTAAAAGCAGATTATGTAGCATGCCTGCGTACGTACGTATGATGTGTGGAACAGGGGGGCATATATTCACCCGTGGCAGCTACGCTGCAAAACCCTGCCTTCCCCGGTATTTCGGGGCACCCTCATCTAGTCACCCTAGTCAACGTCTCAGTGGATCGCTCAGGTTCCGCACCCACCACCGGCATCCAACGGAATCTGCCGGATCGACGGCGGCCCAACTCTATTCCTAGTCGGCTCGCGAGTCAACTTTATCCCAGGTCACCACCGTCCATCGTCTTGGTGCATTTCACCTTCCACCATCGGAGGGATTTCCGACCCTGACAGGTCCCGATCCCGGGATCTCCCGGGGGCAATGGTCCGTGCCTTACCAGTAGTGCCTAACCTGAGCACACGTGTGTATGTGCGTACATTAGCATGCTATGCTAGCTTTTTTGCTCATTGCTCGTCTCGACCGCCATGTCGTCCCTTCAGTCCCGTCACGCGCACATAGCTAGCAAGTATGATGGCGTGCGTCATCCCCATACCTGCCCACAGGCCCATGGAACCTACCTCAAGGCCGTCTTGAGCAATACCACAAATTCAAACTTTTACATGACCTATACCTCCTATGTAAGTGTTTGTGTGTAATTACACCTTGCGTTGCGATACTCTCGAAATGCGTAACCTAGGGCCCCATACGAGCCGGGGGCAGGCCCCATTGCTGTGTAGGTGCCATGGCACGACATGGGCAGAACAGACATGGGTCCTCTCAATTCCGTCGTCAATAGTGAATATTCAGCTCATGCATACGCAATTTTCGCTTTATTACTTCTACAATATTTATCGTCTATTGACAAGGTCACTGTATAAAAGGTGGGACCAAGCGATAGATTGCATGTAGATTCGTGGAATAGATTGGCATGCGTGCTCCGCACTTGGTATGCTGCAGCCGGCGATCAACCTGGGCATTGACAGCATTGCTAGCACCTCATCGCATGGTCCATGGCCTGACGGCCGCATCAAACCGGACATCGTGGCGCCCGGAGCAAGGGTGTTGTCGGCATCTTCTGGTGGCTCGATCGTGGCAGGCGCAAACAGTACGTATGTATGACACGTGTGATACATTTCCGATGCATTGACTTGATGAACAACGCGCATGTGGCATTCACCTGCTTGGGTTTTATCATCCGTGGTTATGTGAAAAGGTGTGTGTGTGTATGTTTCACCAGCACCTACTCTGTTGATGCATGCAGGTCGTACTTGCTCTGATGGCTCTGTGTACATGCAAGGAACGTCCATGGCGACGCCTATGGTAAGATATAAGTACGCGCTAGCATCTTCATCGCTTAAATCATTTCGTGCATGCGCGTTTTTTGTCGTTGTCACAACAGCTGGCTAGCAAGCATCTAGCAAGCAAAGACGCCTAGCCAATGGTTGCATCGCCTGACGCTGGATGAAACACAGGACAGAAGAGGGAGACCGACTGGTCCGTATCGGCACGCACAGATACTCAACAGTCTCGGTGTAGACTAAGACCGGGCTAGCACTGCTGGGACTTTGCCGCCGTACCTACAGTACCGATACATTAGTGTTGCCTCAGTGACAGGAAGTGCAGCCGAATATACACACGATTGTTAGCCTTCTTTGCTGTTGACTGTCAGTTCACTCAGGGGTAAAATTACCGTTCATCATCGCCTATGAGCGGATCCATGCAAAGTAAATTGTCGTCCACTACCCGTAATAAATGTGATGGTGAGGTCCCAACCAGGCGTAGGTCGGCCTAATGCGGTAAAAGAACGTAAACGCGCCCCCAAATTCAACAGTCACTCTGTGGACGGCCCCATCCATGATTTGGGCCTTGATGTGATGTCGCTTCATCAACCGGCGCCCCGTCTCCATCACGTTAACTGCAGCCAGGAGTACTACATCCCTTACACGCTGCTGCATTTCCACCGGGGGTTGCAATATAATTAGCCAAACTCGCGGGATATTGGATGTCTCAGTCTTATAATAATTTGGTCAATGACCACTTGAGCGATTGTGCAGGTCAAAAATGATGCAGTCAAGACTGGGACTCTTGACGATGAGGTGTGAAAGCCCCGCACATACATGCGGTGGTGCTGCCTTAAGGCACGGGGCCTTTCAAGTCCCGCCTAATCTCCTGTACAACCAGCTGGGAGAAAAGCTCCATGCAGTCCATGCAAACCTCCCATGCAAGAAAGAAAGCCATGGAGAACAGCATGTCTACCGTATGTATGTCATGAACGCTTAACCTGGCTAACACTCTTGTATGTGCACTTGCAGACATCTGGGCACCTTGCTCTCATGTGGCAATACTTCAGGTACCTAGGGACCAACCTGCTTGTGTGTTCATGCATGCATACATATTTCACGCCTTCGACCACATGCATTCTTCACGCCATGCAAGCTACATAGGCGTTTGTGTATGTTCGTGGCGGCATTGTTCAGCGCATTAGCTTCCGGCCGCCTAAGAAGCTTGTCACTCGAGGTAGGATGCCGGAAGTGGCTTTCAACATTTGTATGAACTGGTGGTGGTGTGTGCCATACTGTATGACAATTACTACAGTTAACCAGCTTCTGGCAGCGAGCCCAGCATGATTAGTCAGCTAAGATGGTTCGTTTGCCATCTAGATTGAGAAATAGAGTGTTTGTGCGCACCTAGCTAATTTTGTTTGCATCCATGTGTGCCAGCTGCAGGAGGATGTTGTAGGGCAGCGCCATGCATGGCACTTCGTTAACCATCCATTCCCGCCCGTTGATTTGACTCCGATGCAACACAGGGACGGTATGTATCCGGAAGGTGACCGTAATGCAGTTTCCTCTGTCGGCTTCGAGCCGTCAGGCATGCTGATCAAGGTAGGTGCATGGTGCGCCGCGCAGGTGCACCTACACACGCAAGCAACGTGTGTGAATTTATTTGCCTATCAATATGAGTGTGTGCGCCGCGAGCTAGGCAAGGTGCGATGCGCATGCGATGCGCTGTGATGCCCGCCGCCGCCACCATCTTTGACGATGAAATAAAGGGTTGCAGACCAGCAGCCTTAGAAATGCACTGTGAGCCGTTTGCGCCTGGACGACATCAATTGCTTACACTCCAGATAGATATACGTAGTACATTGTATGCATTGATTAGATACTCGCCTACTGCTGATGCTCCCAGTCTAATCGCCGTTGAGAGTTAAATTTCAGTGTTATGCTGACCGCTGGCGTCATTGCAAGGCCTTCAGCAAATAAGCAAATCCATTTTCATCCTCATTCTGGGGAGCAACTCCTGCCTATCCATGCTGTGCATGTACGCAGGCCGCAGCCATCGCTGGAGCCAAGTCCTTGGCGGTGCGATGCCGTACATTATGCACATAGCTGTTTCTGCTTAATATCTTGTTAGCTGCAATACCAATTATATATCGTAAACAGATATAAGTATGTGATACACATTTTGTAAATATGCTGTCCATCCACTTGCTGGATGCACCCTTCTAGCAGTGCGGCACCAGCAGTCTGTAGGAGTTGTCGTACAGCACGGCACACACCATCATTACGTCATGCACGCTAGAGCGCATTCCCAGCGTCTCGAGAGGCCTTCTCGGCGGCTAGCTACTACACAGGCATGCCAGCGCGAGCATGTGTTACTGTGAGCAACTGAAGTCCTGCCTGACTGCATGCCACCCGCGCCTCCAAGTTCCACCATCTAACACTCCCCCAACAGCTAAATTCTAACTGGGTGTACCTGAAATCATCGATATGAACCTGAAACTTTACAGGTTAACGCTCGACCATAGTTAATTACAGACTCACAACCTGTGCCTTCGATCCACGGGACGTGCTGCCTCTCACATTCCACTCCCCTCTCCCGTCGGCACTCGCATCATGCATGTGTATGCGCTTTCATCGCTGTATGTACTCATCTCTGTATGCACTGCAAGGTGGCACCTTGCAAGGATGCCAGGTGTACTGTAGACATATCACCCATACACTCATCACAAACGGCTTGGCTGCTGTATCCGCCGCCGTATGCAGGGCGGTTTTGCTCGCTCTGCCGGAACCGTACTGGGTGAGGCTCCAGACGATTATCAGGTAACTAGTGAAATGCATGAATGTGGTCACCACAACGGTTGTGCGTCTAGATCGCCGGACGTACACCATACGTACCGTGCCGTGTGCTGCCGCCACATACACCCAATAATCGATAATCCTTGTAGGCCACCGTCATTTGCTGGATTGATTGGGTATGTAACTCCTGGAACCACGCTGCTGCATACGTACGTACCTAACTACGTACCTAATTCTGTTTGTCAGTTAGACCGCACACCAGGACTGCCGGCATTTTGATGGACTACGATGCACACTCGGGTAACATGGGGCTTTCGTTGCGATACCACAGGGCTGGGGCCGGTTGGACCTGAGCGGCTGCCTGCCCCTGCCCGGGCTCACGAGCCCTAACATGCGGATCCAAGTGGCCGACATGGGACAGATACAGCAAGGAGAAACTATTTACCTTACCGGGATATGGGCAACCGGTACCGGGTGCGTGCATAGATGGGGGGGGGGGGAACGGTTCTGCACATATGTATGCGTTGCTGTTGCGGGTCGTTTGAGATGTAGAGATTGTATCGCTCTGCTTGGTGGCCCGAGGGAGGAAATAAAAATACCGAAAACTTGCTAGCTGCTTGGAATTGCGGCCGCTGGGCACATTTTTGTTTGCCAGTAACCAAAGCATCCTTGCATGCTTGTCGCTATATACTCTGCTGCCTGCCTACCACCCATGTACAAATGGTTCATGGTTACGGACGAAGGTCAGCGAGGTTATTGGCGTACGGGCCCCCGCCCCCGCCTCCGCCCCCGCCCCCGCCCCCGCCCCCACGATCGCCCCCGCCCCCGCCCACGCCCACGCCCACGCCCACGCCCACGCCCACGCCCACGCCCACGCCCACGCCCACTAATATCTTGCACGTATGGATGCGACGACTCTGCCGTCGGCTCTGCAAGGGATTATAGCCAGCTTTGCATTCTTAGTACGTTGCCCTTACACTTTTTATCCAACCCCACCATCACTGCACGACTGCATGAGGCACGCACGCACACGACTCGTGTAACGTATGATTAATGTACGTGTAACGTATGATTAATGTACATGCAGGCGGATTGCGGCGGCCCTGGTCTGGCATGACTACCCGGCATCCGTCATGGCAAGCACTACCCTTGTCAACGACCTGGATTTCAAGTACAGCATTAACCAGGGCGCGCTCATGCAAACACGTGAAGGTGCGTGTGCATGCATGTGTATACATATGCATACCATGCATTAGATATTAATCTATGTGTGTTACATGCCCAATGTAATCCAATACCTGAAAATAATAAATGCACCTCCTGCCAGTAGCCGATCCGCGCCATCCCTGCCAGCTTGACGCCTTTCCACCGTCCTGCCAAAAGGCATTTTATGTATTAGGCACTCATTGCTCCACTCATGCTTCTTGCCCCCCGGACTTCGCCTCGGGTGCATGTGCGCAGGTAGGTTTGAGGTAGGTTCTTCTACCTGCTGTATAATTTTATATTGCCTATCGATCGCGCCCCGGTTTATTGGATTGCGACCATCCCTATCTATTCTACCAGGACACGCACGATCTGTAGAGGATGGAAACATTTACGTTAGGACTCGTTCGTTTTCCCGGGGCCATATTTCTTTGGTTGTGGCTACGGCTACTCCTGTAATCGGCCTCCTGGAAACAATTATCAATCCCACAGATCACTCCAACAATGTGGAACGCATCGAGCTCTCCTCCCTCCAGTCAGGCGACTCGGTGACCCTGGCGGTCAACGGCACCAAAATCGTTCACAGTGTGATCGGCAATGGAAGCGACGCACAGCTGCCCCAGCGCTGGGCCGTGGTGGTGGTGGGGCACTTCCTGGGGACGCTTAGGACGCAGCTCAACCCGGTTTATGCGCGACCACACCGGCTCAAGGTGGGGACTTGCGCCGGCGTGTGAGCTCCGGTTGGTGGTGATTCCTTACGCGATAGCTGCTGTACAGTACGGCACACGCACCGTCGTCAATAGGTATATGCTAAAGCACCATGCCAGCATCTTGAGAGCGATGCCTGTTAGGCTTCCAGCATTTGCTACGTACGCCGTACCTGGCCTCAGGGACAAGATGAAAGCTACACATAGTCCCCATGCTTAGCGCTAAATATGTGTTTTACCGAGTGTGTGGTTCAGTCTGTGAAATCGCTGTACAATTCAGGGGCTCCGCCACGCAAGGGCAGCATGGGTATAGAACCGCGCGCTAGAACCATACGAGGCAGAGATAGGAAAACAATTGATGTACAGCAAGAAAGGAAAGTAAAGATGTGCATCGCCATGCGTGCGTACGAGCAAACGCAAACACTCAACTTTAGGGGGTTCATAATGCTGTGGCGCAGCTCGCCTAGTATATAACGCTCAAATAGCGCGTGTGACAAAATATATGCATGTAGATGGGCAAGCTTTACATAAACCGCAAGCACGTGCGGTGGACGAGCATATATGTGTGCAATCTAGCTCGCTCCAGAGCTCCTGGCACTGTGTAGTAGCTGGTACACAGTACGGCACCTTGAACAACTACAAATACGCGCAAAGTGCTTCACCGGCATCTCGAGGGGCCTTTTCAACGGCCAGCTATTGCACGCTGCATCCGTGGCAGCGATGGAAGCAGCTGCGTGTGGGGACCCAATTGCCTTCTTGCTGAACATTCCGGTTTATTTGTCGTGTATGTGGAACTCGTCGATAATCTTTTTGCCCGTGCAAATGCGTCCGCACTGCTTCTGGCCGGCCGGCCGGCGGATGTGCTGCTGCTGCTGCTGCTGCTGCTGCTGCTGGCAGTTGCGTGAGTTATTGCATAATGCGGCATGCATGGCTGCTGGCCGTTTGTCCCATAGTCGCCTGCCTCTTGCTGACCTCTCTCTATATGTATTGAGGACGTAACATACATCATACAAAATCCTAGCTAGGAATTCCTTAATGTTCGACTACACACGTCGTTTGTATGTATGCATGCAGTCTTCAAATACTACTGTCGGCGGCGTCCAAGTGTGGGAATACGAGTTACGGCAGTACGTGGCTGCAGGTACTCAGCAGTCAGCAGGGCTCTGTGTAACGGCAGCCGGGACCTCGCAGGTACCTCTCATAACCACTACCTGCAGCCAGGTCGCCACCAGCTTTTCGTTCTTCGAGGAGCCAGGTAAGCAAGGGTGGATCTGCTGCTCTGCACGCATGCTCTAGCTATGTATGTATTAAGACTACCTATGTGAGTATTAAATAATGTTGCTGCCTCCATATCTCTCTTGATCGTGATGTTCTTGCCGCCAGGCAGCAGTGTGACTATCTTTCGCCATATGGAAACAGAACTCGGCCCCGTCTGATCTGAAATTGACCAAAAATGGCTGGCTGGCCTGGCGCAGCTTCGTCGGTCGAAAAGTTGGAAATAAATAGGAGGCCGGCTTAGGAGCCTTGAAACATTCCTTGCTAAGGGGAGTGTTTCCGGCATTGTTGTATCCTGGCGGGCGCATCACGGGATCTATATATCCGTACTTTTCTGTAGTTGTGATACAACAGGCATGCAGGATGCAGGCAACACTACGTCTGTCGTCGGTAAAAAAACGTATCGTGTCCTGGTATGAATATTAGATGGTTTTTATTAAACTAGTAGCCTTTGGTGATACTTCACGCACCATGCTTCGCCCGTATCTTAACGTGTTTAATTCTAAATGCTGCAACTGCGTGCTCACTGCCTGCCCTTTGCAGACAATTCTACTGGCGGCTACATGTACGTGGTCAAGGACTACATAGGCCGGTGCCTGACTCTGGCGGCAGGCAACAGCAGTATGTTCTTCTCGGCGTGCGACCCATCAGATGCAAAACAACGGCTAGCCCTATTCAAGAACGCTTTGATCACAGTGTACGTAGCTTCACAATCATACCTCTTAACACGCAGCTCGATATTTGTTCCCTCGAGGTCTTGGGACCTACCTATCCCTCCCGCCACTCGATCTCTTGCTTAAATACTCCCCTACGGTCGTCTGGAAAGCAACCTTGTATATAGGTACGCGCGGGCCTTGTACGCGTGTAATGCAGCACCTACGAACGCATCTCATCACGGATACATGCGAACGGCCGTGGTCCTTGTTATGATGCTTCCACTCCCGCCAATCACGACTTCATGCCGAGTATAAGAATAATACATAATACAGTTTACGCAATCACCACGCGTGTGTTACTCCCAATCATTTGACGGCCTTGACTCCAAACCCATGGCTGCTGGCGATGCATGCTTTGAACATACAGTCACCCCGCAATAATCCCAGCCGCAACCGACTGCCTCGCTATCAATGGCCATCCAAGAGGCCATCCTAGCCTTGGGCCATATGTTAGCGTGCGTGCACGATGTGACCAAGCAAAGAGAATAAGCCTGCCGATTCCATGTTACCATGTACCTGCCACCCTGCCTGATCCCTTCTTCTGGTGCCCTACGGATGGACGGACGGGGCTTGCTCTGTCGCACTTTCGTATGGTGCGCGCTTAATACAAACCCATTGGCGCGCTAATAAACACAGAGAGACGATATGGCAGCTGGTTCCAAGGCCCCTGCTCGGCAGCAGCAGTAGCAATGACAGCAGGCAGTGCCTGGTCCAAGTTATGTATCCTGCTGCCACAACGGGAAGCAGTGGCCTGCTGCAGGTATCCCCCTGTGACGAGGCGGACTCCGCGCAAAGATTTGTGCTGCGAGATGCACCACGAAATGGGATGCCACCGCAGCCACCTTCACCGCCCCCCAGGCCGCCTTCACGATCACCGCCTCCTCCTCCTCCTCCACAGCCCCCTCCACTGCCATGGCTACGCTTCGAGGCTGCATGGGCCCTTGGAACAGGTAGGTCACTCCCAAGCCCGCTCCTACCTGAACGAACAGATCACGCATCAGCAGGGCGTTGTCGCTAGCTACCCATAACAATTTGATATTCGAACTTGATTCCTCACTGCGCCGGTGCAGTAATAATCTGTAAACAGCCAGCGACAGCAACCAGCATCCTTACCTGCAGGTAAGGATGAAGAAGGTAACCCAGCTGGGTTAACCTTCTTCATCGTCCACATACCACGAAGTCTGTATACTGTTGCAGAGTGGTATATCTATAGACATATAGCTTTATCTGCCAGATGGTTGGCTTCCGCAATGATTGGGCTGTTGCACCACTTAATTGGATGAGGCCAGCCAGCGGGGATTTTTAGGACCGCAGGGAGCTTTGACAATGCGCTGCTGACGGACGACGCCACGTGGGGATCGTGTCATGGCAGCGTGCATGTTGCCACCTTATTATCCACCTACGTCGTGTAGCTACACACATATGTATGCCACCTACATATTTGCTGCATGCAGAGCCCAGCACGGACGATCTGGACATCCTGGTTGCATGGACCGTCAATAGGATCGAATACTACGTAACATACGATAGGGTGAATGTAAGAGGCGCAACATACGAGGGCGATAACGTGTCTCCCACCCCGCCTCGCAGCTTTGAAGCCGTGTCCTGGGGCAGCGCTGAAGAGCCCCCGGATGCGACACAGTATCGGATCTGCATGCTGGTGAATATTGCCATTCCGGACACGTACGACGTGAATCTGACTGCTGCCATGGGGGCCACTGTAGTAGGCACCATCCGGAAGGCAATCAGCGCCGAATCAATTACTGGCGCCACGCGATCATGCTTTTCATCGATGGCCACATTCGTTGGAAGCTTCGTATATCCACCAGGATCGCCTATCATTCCGTCGCCTCCCGAGCTCTTACTGCCTTCACCACCACCACCACCGTCTCCATCTCCACCCGCACCGTCGTCCCCGCCGCCGACCCCTCGTCCACCGCCGCCTCCTGGGCCCCCTTCCGATGCGTTGTTGCTGCCGTGGTTGCGGTTGGAGGTTGCCTGGTCAATTCAAAACGGTATGCTATGCACATGGTCAAACATTCGTTCATTAGGTTTAAGGGGACGCTGAAATCCGGGTTTAACCCCCCTCCTGAAAAGGTGACATCTTTGTTCCAGTTTCATTCAAGGTGTGTGGCTAGACCGCGGACGAAGTGAATTCTTGCCCTACTTGCTTTGTTTGACCGTTTGTGTCTTTCATAATCCTCCTGGTCTTACCATTATGTCGAATCCCATATTACGTACAATATTGATTGATTGCTTTCATTTCCTTTTCCTCTCATCACCGCACCGGCCACATGTTGACAAGGCTCCAACTACTTACTACCCATCTGCTGCTAAGGACTCTATCTGAAAGCCCGTATCCTACGGCGGAACCCGCCAATCCTTATCCATCCTAGATCCTCTGGGCGCGCGCATGTGCCTGTATTTCTTTACTTGTATCGATGCAGACCCGAGTCCCAAGGATCTGGACGTCGCAGTTTCCTGGTTCTTTGACGGGATTAGATACAGCATCTCATTCTATTCGGTGGCTTCCCGAGGCGGCCTGTTCGAGGGCGACAACCTGGAAATAGATCCCAAGGTGAACCGCGAGGCCGCAGTGTGGAATGATAGCGCACGTGCGCCTGACACCGCCCAATACAATATCTGCGTGGCATGGTACTCCTACAATGCGGGACCCACGTACAATATCTCCCTGACGGCCACTCTGGGTGGGGGTGTGGTTGCCTACACTTCTTGGAGGTTATTGGACACCTCCCGTTACCCCGGCGGTCACGGGTTCGATAACTGCGGCACCTCTGACGTGACATATGTGGGAAGCTTCAACTACGTCCCCAAACAACGGCCGCCGCCGCCGCCATCACCACCAAGTAATTCCTGGGCACCACCCTTGCCGCCGCCACGTTCCCCGCCGCCGCCGGTCCCGCCACAACGTTCGTTGCCGCCACCAACGCCGCCGCCGCCATCGCCACCGCCACCGCCGTTCCCACCTGTGTCACCGTCCCCATCGCCACCCCAGCCGCCACTGCGCCCTCCGCCATCCCCAACGCCACCTCAGCCTGCACCGCGCCCGCAGCCGCCAAGCCCACTGCCGCCACCACGCCTACCATCGCCACGCCCACCCCCGCAGCCATCCCCACCGCCACCAAGCCCACTGCCGCCGCCGCTCCCACTGCCGCCGCCGCTCCCACTGCCGCCGCCGCTCCCACTGCCGCCGCCGCTCCCACCGCCGCAAAGCCCACCACCGCGGCCAAGCCCGCCACCGCCACCAAGCCCACCACCGCCGCTACGCCCACCCCCGCCAAGCCCACCACCGCCGCTCCCACCGCCGCAAAGCCCACCACCGCCGCTACGCCCACCCCCGCCAAGCCCACCACCGCCGCTACGCCCACCGCCGCCAAGCCCACCTTCATCATTCCGTCCACCGCCGCCGCGCCAACCGCCACCATCCCTTCCACCGCCGCAAACTGTTTCAATGCCTTGGCTTAGGTTTAGGCTTGACTGGGCCGTGCCGGGCTCGTCAGGTGCGTCACCACCAGTCAGCTAAAGCACCGGGGGTGCTGAGGTGTGGCTGCGGTACAGTAAACCTGGCGATGCGGTGCTGCAGCCTCTTGTGAATTCAATCATTTTAGCTCTACCAGACTCCAATAATATTAAAGGACGCCGTAGTCATGGATGCAGGAATGCAAGCAGCAGCAGCTATCTAGGCATCCTAAGATTCCACCAAGTAACAGATTGCAGCATCCCATTGATCACCAACATCAGGCAGGCATTAAGCAATAACGCCCTATTAAATGCCTACCTGCCGACTTAGGCAGAAGCAACGAGTAGACCGAGAATGCCGGCGCTGATAAATCAACACCACGGGATGTTCTCTCGGGGTTTAATAGTCGCTTGCAATCCGTCTAAGGGCCGCGTGGATTAAATGCCGACCTTAACAATAATGATAGACCTTGGTGTGTAATAGGAGCTTTGCCCCTTCTGAGAAAGGTTACGATGCAGTTCTAGCAGTGATGAGCGGGCAGACGTGTACGAGATAAATACAGCAATCACGATAGCCACAAATAACTACGGCTGTAGCCACAATAGTAAGGTGGGGAATAGGAATGCCCTCTCGTATGTTGATTTCTTGGTCCCGAACTAAACTCATACACCTTCAACCTGCATACATATACGCATATATGTACATGCAAACCGCAGGCTCCGCAGTCTATGACCTCGACATTTTCGTGGAGTGGAACTTCGGTGGCAACACCTACCGCATCACGTCCACCGCTACCCACATGCGGGGCGGCTTTTACGAGGGTGATAACATACGAGGGTACATGTCGCTACTGAGAACCAACTCGGAGGCAGTCTCCTGGGGCGACAGCACGCAGCCTCCAGATCCCAGCGAGTACCGCATCTGCTTTGTTAGTTATAAGCCCTCACCTGGGCTCAGCTTCAATCTGACTCTAACGGTCAGCTCGGGCAACCGCGGCACAGTTCTCTATACTACATGGAAGTTGATGCGCGCTTCAGCTGGCTTGGTAGATCCCTTCAACTGTGGTGTCAATTCTGCTGGCTATGTTGGCAGCTTTAAGTACCAGCCCAACCGTGCGAACATGCCGTCCCCAGGTCCACGTCCTCCGCCAGTAAAATTTGTCGCAACCTAAAGGTGACACCCTCATGTAGTAGGTAGAGACTGTCCCCATCTAATGCACGAGGGTGTCACCTTTAGGTGATGAGAAATTTTACTGACGTCCACGGCCGCTGCCGCCTTCCCCACTTCAACACCGCAGTTTCCCGCTAACCCGGCAGCTCCCGGACGCCTTGTAAACGGGCTATGCGCCCTGCCTAACTACTGCTGCCTTGCTCTCTCACCGTGTCCGCTGTACATGGAAAGTTTAGTTATGCCGGTACATACATACACACTTGATGTATGTTGTTACAGGGTGGTTAACTTCGCCAGCGGCCCCCTTTCCCGGGGCAGTCCCTGCTCTCCCCTGCTAGAGGGGCACCCTAATCCGTCACCCCATCCGACTTCAGAATGTATTCGTTGGGTTCGGCAACTCACCACCAGCATCCAACCAAATCTAGCGGATCAACGGCGCATCAACTTAGTTCCTGGTCAGCTCGCAAGTATATGATATATGAGCAAGGCAACCCCTGCATCCTATGGTGGGCACAGTAATGACTGGGTATAAGTGATGTCAGATTTGCGGCTTACTTAGCTGTATGATGTTGTTACAGGGCGGCATAGCTTCACCAGTGGCTCCCTTTCCCGAGGCACTTCCCTGCTCTCCCCTGTGAGAGGGGCACCCTCATCCATTCACCCCATCCGACTTCAGAATGTGTTCGTCGGGTTGAGCAACTCACCACCAGCATCCAACCAAATCTATTGGATCAACAGCGCCACAACATATTTCCTAGTCAGTGCTCAAGTTGATATAATCACGTCCGACATCGTCCACAAGATGGGGGGCCACTTCCCAATTGAACACCCCTCGCAAATAGAGAGATGGGCAGGAAGATATGAACCCGGAACCACTGGGAGCAGTAATCAGACCTTCTGCAAGCCACCTGTATGAATGTGTTGGTTCCCAACCCAGCATCTAGGAGGCCATGTCCAAATTTTAGCATTTCTCCTGTAGTAGAAGCCGTACTGTGTGGCGAATACGTACCTAGCAAAGAAATAGGCGAACTAAAAATGAATTGCTCATCTTAGGATTCCTAGAGGCCTTGTCGGCGGTCAGCTGCAGGTGTTGGCCACAACGTCTCCCTCCATAATCATTAGTTCGCAGCCAGCTGACTCTGTGCTCTTGACACTTCTTTGTGTTAGGGACTCGCAGCCGGTTGGTGGACTAATCCAATCGTATATTGTAGTGTGCAACTTCGATTTCAGTAAGTGGGAGTAGGAAGCGAACAAATGGTCTATAAGGACGTAGTTGGTAGTGTTTTCCCCTTCGGGGAGACGAAGTAAGTCTTAGGTGACGGCTGCTGGCAGGGAGTTGATATGAAGGATAGATTGGGGTTTTAAAGCGTCCTCTGCCGTTACATTGTTTTACCTTCAATATCTTCATGCGAAATACGTACTTATTGAGTTCATCGATCGAGCTTTGCTGTGCCTGTTTGAAGATTGTTTGGAGACTCGGGTGGTGCAAGTAGCACGTGTGCAGTAACATCAGTTTAATCACACGTGATAAGCGCCAGCTCAATTTGGTCGCGACAGATGAGTCAGCGTGGTAGAATATTATATATTGACGGATCGTGGGTTGTGACTCGTAGGTCCAACATGCTGACATCCCCTAGGGCATGTGTGCTGTGCACTCTGGGAAAGGTTTTCACCCGTAAATTCATGTTTACCCGTAATCGCGTGGTCTTCACATGTAATTACCAGCCAAGAAAATTTGTACACATGCTTATTTTTAAGTTGCCAAAGCATTCCTTTTATAAGGAATAACACAGGTGACATTTTGTTGGTTGCCCGTACTGGAAGTCATCCACAGGTTACATTACCCGTAATCACAAGGTCTTGACCCGTAATCCCCCAAGCCGTAATGCACAGCACCCGTAAAATTTCACGGGCTTAATTGCGACGAAGACGTTTTATGCGTGTGTGTGTGTTACATGGTTGGGGGTGCGTGACCCCATACCTGTAAGACTACCCATACGAGCCGAGGGCCCAAGGGTAATACTACAACGCCTAAAAGCCACGGAGGAAAGGAAAACACCGCACATCAGCCCAGACTAGCGTCTAAAGGGGGTAATTGAGTTTTGGTGAGCCCGCATATGTTCCAATATCCTCGCCGCATGTGCGGGTTCCCATTGCATGGCCTCCAACATGCTCTGTTGATGACCGAATCCCTCTTCAGCACGAATATCATTACAGGCTGGGCATTCTATTAACAGGCGTTCACATCCTCAATTCGGCTATTAGTACCACAACAGTGGCAAAACCGCTGCCCCCTGGGGACGTGGTACTTGCCCCTTCATGCTCTGTTTGCCTCGAAAGCCCAACAACATAAACGAAACTGCATTACCTTACGATGTGCTAAACGAGGAATGAAAACCTTAGCATGTGTTGGCCACATGACGGCTGCGGCTCCCGAAAAGGGCAGCCCCATCCAGTGCTTATACTTCGCCATTTGCACTCCCGGTTGCTTCCCATCTGATGGGTAGTCTACTCAACAACCAGTCAACACGCTCCTTTACCCCCACGACTTCTTGCGGTATTCCACTCCAAAGTCATGTGGCACACCAGCTACCGCGGCCATGACACAGGCAAACTGCGGCTACGTGACTTCCGTGACCCGCGTGGTGGGGGTCCCTTCCGTGGGTTTCCCCTGCCTCTACCGGACCCGTTTGGCGCCTACCCCTCCCTTTCCTTACGGATTGAGCAACTCGGGACCAAAACATCCAAGGGGTGCCGAGCTCCCCCGTTGGAACTGCGCCCCGACTCCTCTCCGTGACATTGCTTCATCCGCACCCTCGCCCTCTATTGGCAGCTGTGCCATGCCCCCGGCGCCCCCCCAGGGTCTGCAATCTCCGACTACCTTTTCCGTCCCACTGACCAGGGTCACCAACGCTTTGTGGAGCGTCCATTTTCCAGCAGCATGTTAGCCATGCGAATGGGCAAACACCTGGAGGAGGCTGGTGTCTATGTCGGTCAAACCCCTCATGGGTTTCGTTGTGGTACTATCCAGGCCACGCAGGCCGCTTGCGCCTCCCACGCGGAGCTCCACGTGTTCTCCCAGATCCGCAGCACTCAAGTCCTGGAGCGTTATACCGACACCTCTCGGCCCACTCGTGTCCCTCGCGGCTCCGGTCCCAAATCCTAGCCTCCGCCTCCTGCTGGTGCTGCCCCTCTTAGCCCTGGCGCTCACATCGTGGCTCGTCCTCCTCCCCTGTCCCCACCACATCGATGGGCGGGTGGGCGGGTTCTGACTTGCGCTTGCTTGCACGGTTGACTGGTGAACTTGCGTTGTCTGGATTCAGCGCTTTGTTCCCAGCTAATCTTTGTAACGAACTACCGTATCAGTCCCTGTCCTCTGGCCCATCCTGGTCTGCGCCTTCCTGCGCCGCACTTGCCGTATTGCACTACAGGACGAGCACTTAATCAACATGCAATACAGAGGCGCAGCTTTCCGTCTTTTTCCACTACCCGCAAGCCATTGATAACCGTGGGGGGGGCGCGTCTGCTGGCCATTCCTGTATCACCCCTCGGTCAAGGGCCTTTCTCAATTCGGCTGTAACAAACTCACTGTGCTGAGTCGCGCTGCGATGGTTAGGAAACTGCACGGCTCGCGGCCGGTCACCCGCCATCATAAAGTCTAGGACGCAATCCGGCGCTGCGACCCACGTGTTGTATCAATCATGTTCGTCGATCATACACATTCAATGGAGTTCAAGGATCGATTGATGAGTGGTTGGAAGCATACACGTCTAGATGTTCAGTCAGACGTGTATTGACCAGACGGCAATCAACCAGGAACTCACATGGCGAAGTATAAGCATTGGATGGGTCTGGCGGCCCAGCAAGCCGGCAGGAAGGAGGTGCTCCCGCATATCACAACGTTTATGACGCGAATCGCATGCTTGTGCAGTAAAGGCATTGGCGCTCGGTCCTCCTTTTGCTGTACGTACGGTGTCGTACGAGTAATGTACGATGCCTGATTGAAGTCGTTCCCACGCGGCGCGGGGCGGTGACTGATGGAATGGTTACCACGAGCACGTCAGGTACTGCACACGTTGGACGAGCTTACAGCTGGGTTTACAAGCATGCAGATGGATGGGCACAGCACAGCACAGCACAGCGATCAGCACAGCACAGCTCAGCAGCGCACGGCACCCTCCAGCCCAGTTGTACATTTTCGTATGGGCGGGTGCACGGCTGCAGCGGTAGTGTAAGGCCGCAACCATGCTGGCAAGTCGGATGCGCAAGCGCACCATTGACAAGCCCCCAAGAAATATTCAAGTTAATCGCAGGTCCTCAATGAGGACCATATTAGCGATTAAGCTAATAAGAACAGATACTACACATGATCTGAGCCAAAAGGCCGAGAAAGGTATGAAAACAACAGGGATGGGCCACGGACGAGTGCACGGCAAAATACTCCTTTGGCCAAGCTTGCGCTCGATGGTGGGGGGTGGTATTTAGAAGCACATTGCTCCCCCTGAAAGCACCTGCTTGCTGTTCCTGGTCCGCAATGTCGGGGCCAAGCAGTAGCTTATTACAGCAGGGCCGATTAAGCTAATGCACAGAGCTGGTGATTCGGCCGCTGCTTCAATCCGTCAGAGCGGTGTAGCGGAGTCCAGTCAGTAGGGACCCATCCATGTCCCTGCCCGCCTGCTGCAGCAGCAGTCAAGGCAGCCGGGTGAAGCTGACGCCACAGACCTTGAAAAAAACAGGCATGCGGAGGTGGAGCTGCGCGTCAGATATCGCGCCTGTAACTGTAGGCTTTATGAGCGAAACGAAAGAAAACAAAAGCTTTCTGTGCATTTGCCGAGCGTGTACTCGGTTGAATGTCCTTGGTGTGTACGGCTGGACCGTACAGGGCTAGAATAAGTCGCAGGAGTGCGACGGAAAAATGCAATTTCGCGAGTTCATAGCGAGTTCATACTGACAGGTTTCCGCTGCGGCTTCTGCCTAATCTACAGGCTTCAGAAGCAGAGTCGCTCGGTAACCAGGCTCGCCCCCTCCCACGGAAGCAAGCACTAACTTTCCTGCCTGCAGGTACCCCTCCGTCTGAACGACCCCTAAGCGGTAAGGCAACTACTCAAGAAAACAAAGATTTGGCTGTAATAAAGGCTTGGCATTGTAAAAGCAACGTGTGCCCTGTAATGGACACTTGGCGCTAGCCAACCGTGAGGCCGCCGCGGCCATGCCATGCGCAGGGGTTGGAATCCACAGCATCCACATCGAACACGTACGGGCCAAGGAAGGGCATCTGTACCCGGACAGGAAAACACAGCACAGCGAGGCGTGCATGGGGTATCAGGGGGTTTCACAGGGCGGTGTGCAGCCATCACAAGCCTCTCTTCCTGCTGCTTTCCTGCCTTCCTGCAGCCTCCCTATCCACAATCACATCGGCCCTCTACCTACTTACCTACCGGGGTACCTACCTCTACATATGCCAATAACGACCGGCGTCATGATCAAGCGGCCGCCACACCCTATTACCTAGGCCATGTGCACAAATCCGCTCGGTCCTCCTTTTGCTGTACGTACGGTGTCGTACGAGTAATGTACGATGTCTGATTGAAGTCGTTCCCACGCGGCGCGGGGCGGTGACTGATGGAATGGTTACCACGAGCACGTCAGGTACTGCACACGTTGGACGAGCTTACAGCTGGGTTTACAAGCATGCAGATGGATGGGCACAGCACAGCACAGCGATCAGCACAGCACAGCGATCAGCACAGCACAGCTCAGCAGCGCACGGCACCCTCCAGCCCAGTTGTACATTTTCGTATGGGCGGGTGCACGGCTGCAGCGGTAGTGTAAGGCCGCAACCATGCTGGCAAGTTGGATGCGCAAGCGCACCATTGACAAGCCCCCGAGAAATATTCAAGTTAATCGCAGGTCCTCAATGAGGACCATATTAGCGATTAAGCTAATAAGAACAGATACTACACATGATCTGAGCCAAAAGGCCGAGAAAGGTATGAAAACAACAGGGATGGGCCACGGACGAGTGCACGGCAAAATACTCCTTTGGCCAAGCTTGCGCTCGATGGTGGGGGGTGGTATTTAGAAGCACATTGCTCCCCCTGAAAGCACCTGCTTGCTGTTCCTGGTCCGCAATGTCGGGGCCAAGCAGTAGCTTATTACAGCAGGGCCGATTAAGCTAATGCACAGAGCTGGTGATTCGGCCGCTGCTTCAATCCGTCAGAGCGGTGTAGCGGAGTCCAGTCAGTAGGGACCCATCCATGTCCCTGCCCGCCTGCTGCAGCAGCAGTCAAGGCAGCCGGGTGAAGCTGACGCCACAGACCTTGAAAAAAACAGGCATGCGGAGGTGGAGCTGCGCGTCAGATATCGCGCCTGTAACTGTAGGCTTTATGAGCGAAACGAAAGAAAACCAAAGTTTTCTGTGTATTTATATGCTACGAACGTGTTCTCCAACGGGTCAAGGTTAACGGTCGCCTAGGGTCCATCTTTGCATCTCTGCAGGGCGTGAAGCAGGGGTGTCTCATGAGTCCCAATTTGTTCGGGTTCTTCATTGAAGTTATTGCCGACTACCTTGAAGCGAGGGATGGTATGGACGAATGGTTCAACACACGTGCACACGAATGTCCTGTCATTAATGATCGTCGGTTGCCTCTGTTGTTCTATGCAGACGACCTTACTTTGTTCGCGACCTCGTTGGCACGCCTCCAGTTCTCGCTTAAGCTGCTTATTGAGTTCTGTGCTGCTTTTGGTATGCGCTGCAACGTTCGGAAATGTGAGGCCCTTGTTGTGGCTGCTTCCGTTGATGTCGTTAAGAGGGCGTTTGAGGGGGTGAGGCTCATGCTTCCTCTCCGTACTGATGGGTCGCTTTGGCACCCACCCATGGTTGGTAGTTTACTTGTTCCTAGTCCTATTAACTGGTGTGGTCGCGTTAGGTACTTGGGTCTCTATTGGGGCCCTGCGTCCCCGTTTGCGAGTTGTGTCAACGAACTTTTGGAAGCAGGGCGACGGGCTATGTTCGGTCTTAGTAATCGGTTGGATGAGAACAGGGTGTGGGCTCCTGCCGTTCGGCTTCAAGCGTTCGACACCCAGGTCCGTTCGGTTCTCTGTTATGGTGCTGAGGTCTGGGGTCCTGATAGGATTGTCTCCGTCCTGCGGTTAGGTAAAGGTGTTTTACCCGCTGGTAAGTCATATCTTGATTTGGCTTTGGAAGATGGTATGGTCCAGGTCCAGCGTGACTTCTGTTTACGTTGTGCTGGGCTCAAGCAGGTACCTTACAAGCTGTTGTACAGGGAGCTGTCTCAGTTGCCTTTGCAGTACTTTTGGCTACGCCTTGCGTTGTGTTTCTGGAATAAGATAGTCAAGTCCCGTGGGTCGGTCTATCATGACGTGTTAGTAGATGATCTCCGTCTGGCTCTTCTGTCTGATCTCAAAGTGGATTGCTGGTCGTCTAAAGTGCTCATCATTTTGCGTTGGTTGGGCCATGAGTGGCCGGCGTGTGACTCCGTTTCTCAGAAGGTAGATGTATACTCGTCTCAGTTGATTCGAGTGGGTGAGGTTCTGGAGAGGTTATCTGCGTTCCTTTTAAGTGACTGGGATCAGTTCAGCCAAGGGGGTGATCCGCGTGTGTTCCAAGGTAAAGGGGTTTCGCTTTGCAGGTATCATAACTGGATGGGCTCCCCTTCACCAGCAAGAGAGGGCTCCGATCCCACAGGCTATTTGCGTGTTTATTTGCCGGTCAACCAGTTGCGTATGGTTGCCAAATTCCGTCTTTGTTGTTGGCCTTTGGAGGTCAACAAAGGACACCATAGGCCGAGAGAGTGCCGTACGTGTCAGGTCTGTACGTCGGGTAAGGTTGAGGATGAATATCATGTGCTCATGGAGTGTGAGGCGTATACTGAGTTGCGTAATAGGTTTCTGATTAACGTTGAAGATACTGATATGCGCAAGGTATTTCTTAATACCAATCCGAGGAAAATCGCTACTTTCCTTACTGAGGTTTTTGATGAGCGTCAACAGCGTGCTCTGGAGCCTCACGGCTCGTGAGGGCACCCGCCGCGTCGGCGGCGGAAATACTGTAACCACAATACAATACAATTTGCCGAGCGTGTACTCGGTTGAATGTCCTTGGTGTGTACGGCTGGACCGTACAGGGCTAGAATAAGTCGCAGGAGTGCGACGGAAAGAGCAAGTTCGCGAGTTCATAGCGAGTTCATACTGACAGGTTTCCGCTGCGGCTTCTGCCTAACCTACAGGCTTCAGAAGCAGAGTCGCTCGGTAACCAGGCTCTCCCCCTCCCATGGAAGCAAGCACTAACTTTCCTGCCTGCAGGTACCCCTCCGTCTGAACGACCCCTAAGCGGTAAGGCCAAGAAAACAAAGATTTGGCTGTAATAAAGGCTTGGCATTGTAAAAGCAATGTGTGCCCTGTAATGGACACTTGGCGCTAGCCAACCGTGAGGCCGCCGCGGCCATGCCATGCGCAGGGGTTGGAATCCACAGCATCCACATCGAACACGTACGGGCCAAGGAAGGGCATCTGTACCCGGACAGGAAAACACAGCACAGCGAGGCGTGCATGGGGTATCAGGGGGTTTCACAGGGCGGTGTGCAGCCATCACAAGCCTCTCTTCCTGCTGCTTTCCTGCCTTCCTGCAGCCTCCCTATCCACAATCACATCGGCCCTCTACCTACTTACCTACCGGGGTACCTACCTCTACATATGCCAATAACGACCGGCGTCATGATCAAGCGGCCGCCACACCCTATTACCTAGGCCATGTGCACAAATCCGCTCGGTCCTCCTTTTGCTGTACGTACGGTGTCGTACGAGTAATGTACGATGCCTGATTGAAGTCGTTCCCACGCGGCGCGGGGCGGTGACTGATGGAATGGTTACCACGAGCACGTCAGGTACTGCACACGTTGGACGAGCTTACAGCTGGGTTTACAAGCATGCAGATGGATGGGCACAGCACAGCACAGCACAGCGATCAGCACAGCACAGCGATCAGCACAGCACAGCTCAGCAGCGCACGGCACCCTCCAGCCCAGTTGTACATT